AAGAAGTTGTGCAACCACACATATATATATACAAGATAAAAGCAATCTATCATGCACAATTCAATTTTGGAAACACACAACACATGCTCTAAGTCCACAACTACTATGGATCCAAAATGTCGAATCTTCAGTGTGCGATTCGTTACACACTATAACAATGTTATTCAATATTGAAAACACAACTTCATGCTTATAACACAAGCTCGGAATCATGATTTAAACATATAATCAACGCCAAATACATGATTAACTCATTATGCAATAAAATCAGAAATTAATTAAATAACCTAATTAATTTTTATACATTTCAATTCTCATCTAAATAATCCATAATCAACATATGTTGAACAGTACAGCATGGTCATTACACAAACCAACTCAAAAATTTAATTAGGTCATTGGAACTACAACATAGAATTTAATTAAAACATGATAATTAAATCTCTAAATTCTAAAGCAACTCCAAATGATTACAAATTAACACATGCTAGTAAACAAGTCCTAGTCATTGCAAATATCAAGTTAAAAACTTAATCAAGTCGATGGAACTATTAAATAGATTTTAATTAATTCATTTAATTAAAATCTCTAGATTTTAATTAAAATCTTTAAATTTTTTAAACTCATCCAAATGCTCTCAAATTAAAGTATGTTAAAGAATATGCCAAGGCTTAATCTAATAACATAACACAAGTTAATTCCAAACTAGATATGACTAGGTAAATTAAACTTTCATACAAAAAAATAATTAAATAAAGTTTTCAATACTCATTTAAATATTCTCAACTTCATATATGTTAATGAACATATCAATGCCTAATTTAATATCATATTACAAATTTTTACATGCTAAGTACATCCATGTGAATTAAATTTCATCCAAAGAAAATATTTAAATTAAAGTCTCAAAACTTATTCAAATATTCCCAATTTAATATATATTAATGAATATATCAATGCCTAATTTAATTGCATGTCACAAGTTAATTTCACACTATATACAATCATATAAATCAAACTTTCTACATATAAAATAATTAAATTAAATTCTAGATTAATTACAAAGGCATGCATACATGCTGTATAAGCTTGTAAATCATTTAATACAACAATCATATGAACCTAAAATATCACCTACCTCACTTTGAGATGAAATATCAAATCCCCACAGAAACGGAGCCGCTCCGAATCCGATGATACTTCGAAGGTTTGTCGGGGATAATGAGGGAAACAACTTTCACCCTTAAGGCACCACCAAAATCCAAACTTGCCCTCAAAATCCGAACTAAAAAATGGTCAGAACCAAGACCTACGATAAACGCTAAGACACTACGCCAAAATTCAAGAAGGAAGGAGGTTGATTTGAGAGAAGAAGGGTGGCAGCCCCCTTTGGGCTGTAGAACTAGACCTACAGCAGTGGAGAAGAAGGGGAAATGAAATGATTTAATTTTTCAAACCCCCTATTTATAGAAAATCCCAAAAAATGCCCCGAACGGGTTCTACCAGGTCCGGAAAAGTGGAATTTACGCAGATGCGCTTAAACGGTAAAACACTGTGAATGAAAAAGAACCAAAATAAAAAATAAAATAAAAAAATGAACAATGGAAAAACAGCGTCAAAAATTGAGTCCTATGCAGAAAGATATTCCCCGTACAAGTTCGGCGACAACTGGGGCCAGAAACCCGAAAACTGCAAAGAATGACCAGCAGACAATCCTAAGAGTACTCGAATCGACGAAAAGTGAAAATAAATCCCGTACAAGTATCCAGGCTCAAAATAAGGCATTTTGCAATAATTTTCATTAATTACATAATGGCCTCTACAAAAAGGATAACTACAAACTACCTAGAATGAAAATATCTTCCAAAAGATATTTTCTTAAAAACTCCTGAAATAAATATCTTTAAAAGATATTTACAAAAAATACCCCAAGAAATATCAATATTTCTGAAGAATCCTTTCATCCACGCTCCTACGGGAGAAAGAAATAACCGACGAGCTTTTCTCTAAAAGTAAAGTTACGCGTTTCAAGGAAATTAACTGAAATAAAAACTCATGAAGTCAAAACTCAACTCCGAACACGAAAAGTGAGGTTGTGCCAACAAAGTGACAAACGAAAAAAAGACAAAAAGTGAATAGTGTCCAAAAAATAAAAATGTGGAAATGACTTGATCCTTAAAGAAAATTGTCAATCTAAAGGAAAAAGTCTCGGAAACCACTTCCGAGCACTCGAGACAACATTAAGTAACAAGAAACCAAACTCATAAAATAAAATTCAACGAAAAAAATTCATCCGTAAAATTTGAGAAAAATGAAATGAATGAAAATGACAGGGTTATTACACAAAAAGTAAAAAAAATTGAATTGAATAAATTAATTAGAAAGTTAAATAAAGAAAAAAAATGGTCAAATATTCTAGGAACTACAGCCACAGGCGAAGCAACGGTAAAGGCAAACTCCGGCGAAGCAACAGCGTAGGTAAGGACTGCACCACGGCACCACCACAACTTGTAGCTTCACTACCGCCATCCTCACCCATAACCACCACCATCCTCTCTCAAACTGAAATGGGTCTCTCTTATTGTCCCAAAAATGTGTCTACAAAAGGTTAGAGAGAGGGGAAAAAGAGTAAAGAAACACTTTCGGCGTTTTTGTCTTTTCAAAATTTATTGTATTAGTAATAAAATAGTAGAATATAGATATAATAAGGGTAGAAAAGTAATTTCAATAGATCTGTTAATGCCATCCATGATTAGGGATGGCAAAATACCCGTCCCGTCGGGTACCCGCCCCATCCCATCCCGTTTAAAATGATTATGAAGTGGTTAAATCATTTTGGGGCGATGATGGGGATAGATTAAAAACCAACATCGTTATGGGACAGGGATGAAGAAAGATCACCTTGCCCTGCCCCATTTATATTAATAAATTACAATTTTGTGTTTATACTTTATTTTATATTTAATAATAAGTAGTATATATTAAAAAAAATCTAATTGATTATATTTCAATCACTACATATCCTTTTGTATTATTATGTATTATTTTGTTGTTCTTACAATAATATTAAGTCTAAAATTCCATTTGATATGTTAAAGTTTGTTTTCATTCACATAAGAAAAAAAAAAAATTATTATTATTACGAAAGTACTCTACAAAACTCGCCCCTGCCTTGCCTCGCCTCGCCCATTCGCCCAGCCCCATTTAATAAACGATTTTGGGACAGGAATGGGGGTAGCTATGTTAAATGGGGATGGGGAAGGCATTCCCAGCCCTAACCCTCCTCGTTGCCATCTCTATCTATGATCCACCAAGAGCTCTGACAGGAGAAGTCATTGTAATTTGGAAAACAAGAGGGGAGATCAGTTGTTGACTAAATCTCATGAGAATTCAGTATAATTATCCCTATTTCTTTTAAAATAGGGTAAATTACACAGACACCCCCTGAGGTTGGGTCATATTTCACCTATATAAACATTTTGGTTTTATTTTTCACTCATATGAGAAAGAGTGGTTTAGTATTTCACTAACACCCCAAATATTAAAAAATATCAATTTTTGGTAGGGTCAGACTACTGTTGAAGTGTTAAATGACTATACTACCCATTTGACCCATTGTTGACTTGAAAAAGGTTGTTTGAATATTTTTTTTGACAAAATTACCCCCAACATACAGCTCCATCACCATTACACAATACACATCGCCACTGCCCAATCATACACCTCCATCGCCGCCGTCGCCCACCCAAAACCTCTATCATCACTGCCCACCCAACACCTCTATTACCATAGCTCCCACCCAAAACAAAACCCAAGGCCACAAAACCCAACTAAAAGCCAATCCATCTCACTGTACCTTCCCAAACCAAGCTTACAGCTCGTCACCGCCAACAACCAATACCGTAACCGTCGTCGACCAGGAGCCCATCTCCTTCCGTCATCATCCCTTTACTTGAAGCAATCGTCCGAAGTGGAGCTCACACACCGATCAATAAATTGATCAGGGAATAGAGGAAAACGACGACTATAACGAAAGGGATGAAGACTACCAGACGCCAAAAAACGAATTGCCGCCACAGCCACTGTTGCCGACCATGGATTTTGGAGATTGCAGTGCCACCACTGGCGACCGCAGCACCACCGTCCTTATCTCCGGTACTTCTCGATCGCCAGAAACATCTCGTCAATTTCGAATCTCCAAAGAATCACGATCGTTGATCCCGACGCCAATACTTTCGTCGCGAACGCAGCTAGCCGTAGATGTGGAACAGAGCATCGGAAACCATACGTTGTTGCCGCTGATCGTGGAACGATCATCGTCGTAGCCACCGTGTCACAGATCGTCGCCACTGCCGCAGATCATCATCGTTGTTGCATATTGTTGTCACTATCGTCGCCACCGCCGGAAATTGCGTTGATAATCGTCAGATCGTTCTGTGGTGTGGTGATTCTTTGGAAGGTGTTTTGGAACTTTGACGGGGAGAGGGAGTGCGTGATTTGCTCTCAATGATTTTCATGATGAACAAGCTTCCTGGTTTCGCCGGTGGTGAGTTGAGAAACTCCGACCAACTTGTGATGGCGATGGTGACTTGAACGACAGTGGAAGGGGAGGCGATGGTGATGTGCTGCGACGGCTGCCTATTTTGTTTTGTAGATAGATGGAATAGATAGAGAGGAGAGAGAATGAGTGATTTGGAATATTAGTATTACATAGGGGTAGTTCTGCCATTTTAGTTTGTAGAAATTTTGTATTAAATTGCATTAAAAAAGTGAGGGTAAATAGGTCAATTCACATGTGTCAATGTTCAAAAAGCAATTTGGTGTGTAAGTGAAAGTTAAAACCAAAATTTTTATATAGATGAAATATGACCTAACCTCATGGGATGTCGGTGTAATTTATCCTTTAAAATATTGGCATGCCCAATCTGGTCGGCCCAAATTGATAAACCCAATCCGGTTAAGTCCAGCCCACGTTTTGGCACCCGATCTAACACAATACTGGCAATCCAAGTTTAAGCCCAGGAACCACACATTGACATTCTCCTCTACCTCTCACTTTGGTTGGCCTTCGAAGATTTACATTACAGAGGAAAAAAGGGGTTCTAGGGTTTTCATTTCGTCAGAGTAAGCTTCGACGCGTCCTCTTGCTACACATCGAAGGCGTTGATTGATGCAACAAAAGGTCAGAAGACTCTTTCTTTTTCGTAATTTAGATCAGTTCTAAAATTTTCTCAATTTGTTCGTTCTTGAATCTTTTAAGTCTTTGAAAACCAAATCGAAGGCGTTGAAAGCTTTCTTGTTGTATGTTTGTTCCTTTTCTGTGAGTTATATAGTCTCAAATGTACTTTCAGAAGCAATTTCATTTTCATCCTGCTTTCATAACTGGTCTAAATCTGTTTTAATATATATTTAGCATCTACTCTTCAATTTGATGTTGGCTATGGGCATCTATTTTTCATGTGGGTTTGTTTTACTTATTTACTTCTGCTCTTTCTCTAATATTGTGATTTGCTTAGACCAATTTTAGTTTTGTACATAGTCATGTGGGGTTTCAAAAAGATTCATTCGTGTTCTAACAACGCATCTGTTCCTTTTTTTTTTGTATATCTTGGTTGTGTGAACCCAGTTTGTATTTTTGTAGTGTGGTTTTTGAAAGTGTTGTTTTGGGTTCGCTAGCTTTGTACCCTATTTTTTCTTGTTGTACTTTCTTAATTGGTTTTGACATTTTTGTTGTAGGAACGAGGTCTGACCCTTTATAGCATTCTTGTTGCCAACTGAATTTGCTGTGGGGCGTGTAAATTGATGACACATTATGGAGATACAAACTTCAGGGAGACCAATTGACCAACTTTTGGAGAAGGTCCTTTGTATGAACATTCTCTCTTCTGATTATTTCAAAGAGCTTTACCGGTTGAAAACTTACCATGAAGTGATAGACGAGATTTACAATCAAGTTGATCACGTGGAGCCATGGATGACCGGAAACTGTCGGGGCCCTTCAACGGCATTTTGTCTTCTATACAAATTTTTTACGTTGAAACTGACAGTCAAGCAAATGCATGGCCTATTAAAGCATCCGGATTCGCCTTACATTAGAGCAGTGAGTAGAACCTTTACATTATTTATTACGCAAGGCTTGCTTAGTTGTTACTTACTTGCATGAGTAATGCTGGGTAAAGCACTTTTGTATGTCTGTGAATCACAAAACTTGAAGTGTGTATATGGACAACCTTGCTCGGGGAAAGCCCATTGAATGGACATGGCTGTAAGTAAGGTCTGTGAAACCCATCTTAGACTCATGCACGGTTCATATACTCAAATGAGGAAAAATTGTCTTATACAAGTATGATGCTAAATTGGATTATGGAAAAGCTGGAATGCTTGCTTCTGCTCTTCTTATCTGCTAGGTTGGTCGTGTCAGGCAATTTTAATTTGTTTGCCCCAAGGTCGTTAAAATGCTCTTTATGCTTGTTCAAAATGTTTTTCAAGTCACTCCAACATCAGGAACACTTGAAGATAGATGTTTCAGTCTATTGCGGTTTACTTATTAATCTAAAATACTCCCTCTGACTATAATAAGTGTCCCTTTTGGGAATTCAAACTTTTTAATGGACATGCGTTTGGTGCATGCCTCTATGTGAAATTTCAGAACTAGTCCTCCAAAATGTAAATAAAATTTACATTGTTAATTTGGGAAAATTTGTCAAGTCTAAAAATAATTATGGAGAGTTGCAAATTCTGTATTGATTTTTGATCAGAAGGGACACTTATTTTGAGACATTTCAAAGGGGAAATAGGGTTACTTGTTTTGGGACGGAGTAGAGAATCAGATTCATCTGTGGGGCCCATTTAGCCAACATGCAGACAGCCCTTTAGAAATCATCAACTTTGTGTCACAATTCTTGGATTCCCCATAAATTTGGTGTTGATGAAGGATTTTTATCAGTCGAATGATTCTTGAACTTATCCTGCCTCAACTCACTATTGAACTTCATGGAAGTGATGAATCTTTATCAAAAGTAAATTAAGTAATTAATTAAATCAAGTAAGGAAGAGTTCACTTTCCTTGTAAGATTAATGAATTTGCAATTTGACAATAGATGGTTCTATCTTTGAAAATATGATCTAAGTTTGAGTATAATTTTTTGTTTCCATATTTCATGAAAGTGGTAAGTGGTTAAAGGTTTTCTTGTAGTTGTTATCTTGGTTGGAAAAGAGTGGTTGTATTCTCAGACTACGTATAGCCATGATTGCTGGAATGCAATCTCGATTGTAAGATTATACAATCAAACTTTCTTTAAAAACTCTTTTATCAGGTTCTCTAGTTGTCATCAAATGAAAAGAATTTGAAGTTTGGTAAAATATCTTTTGTCGTCCAATTATAATTTTTTTGGTTGAATAATTGCAATTTCTTTTAATTGGTTCTCTCTGTATAATTTATAAAATAAATTGGCATGTGGCACAGAGAAGCCACGACATGACAAATCTTTAAAAAGCAGGGGACAGATAGATACGTGCAGAGAGTGAATGGACGACTAAGACAGAACACTGAAGTGTTGGAAAAGATCTTCATATGATCTTTATTGATTTAGAGGAAGAATATGATAGGGTACCTAGAGATCTAAAATGGAGGATTTTAGAAGAGAGAAGCGTTACAAAAGGATATATTGACGTTGTAAAGGACATGATGAGAAAAGTGACTACAGTTATAATGACCGGGGGGTTGCAAGTTAATTATCATAGACTTACATCAAGAGTCACTTATAAAAAGATTAAAAATAAATAAATAACAAAAAAAGACTTACATCAAGAGTCAGCATCAAGCTTGTATGTTTTTATCTTAGCTAACAAGAGAAATTCAAGATGAGATTCTATTGTAATTGTTATTTGTTGATGACATTGTTTTGATTGATGAAACTGGAGAAAGGGTAAATACTAAATTGGATGTTTAGTGAAAGGTTTTAGAATTAAAAGTTTTATTTTAGGATGAGTAATAATAAAATTAAATATATAGTGTAACTTTAGTAAATCTAAAAATACAAAGAAGGATGTAATTAATATTGATGATCAAGAGATACCAATCCTCTATTATATGCTCCATTATTCGCAATGAAAGAGACTTTGAAGATGGTGTTATCCATAGAATCAAGGCAAAATGGGTTTTTTTTTTTTACCTGGGGAGGAGTGGGGAGGGGGGAGGCTGGGGTGAGTCAAAACTAGGCTCCTGCTTGACTCGGGAGTGCCTCTACCAACTGGGCCCAGCTCACCCTAAATGGGTTAAATGGGGAAACTTTTTTTGGATATTGTCTCACTAGGGTATCCCTCTGAGGAAGTTCTATAAAACTGTGATTTAGACCATTCTTTATGTAATATAATGTTTGGCAACTATTAGCCAATCATTCTTTACATATGTCATATGCACAAAGTGAGCATGGCGGAAATATAAATTCTGATATGGATATGGGAAGACATGAAATGATAGAATTAGAAAGGAACATATTCATTACTAAAAAAAATTGATTAATATGGTTTGGGAATGCGCAAAGAACTAAGTGCACTAATTGGGAAGAGTAACATGGTCCGCATTGAGGGTAACGAGAAGACCAAAATTATCACGTGTAGAGTTAACTAAGAAATTATGATAAAATGTGGTTTGACTGAAGTTACGAACTTTAGATGTAGCATAATGGAAAAGTATGATTTATGTAGCTGATCCCGAGAAGTTAGGAAAAGGCTTTGTTGTTATTATTTATAGTACATAAAAAAAGAATTATGTGATGATGATTTAGTATGATATTCTATTGTTGTAATATCTAATCTGTAATGTAGTTTTATTTATATATTTTTTCTCATAATCTGTAATGTATCATTCACAACTAAGAAGCATGGATACAAATACGAGACAAGAAATCGACACAAGGAGGACATGTTGACATGGCAAATCTTGAAAAAGTAGGACACTTGCAACGAGGACACTACAATAAAATATATTTTTTTTACCCAAATTATATTAGATACTACCAATTAAATTTTTTAGTTTGTAATAAGAAGTTTGTGGCTTATAATTATAATGAAATAATAATCAACTCTTCCACAAAAAGAAAACAAAATAAGGACATTGTATATTCTTATATACATGTCTCCTCCTCTTATGAACTGCTGGTTTTGGTTGCTATTATTTTTGGCTCAAAAATGCTTGCAAAGCTAGAAACACATTGCTATCCTACCTTTCCTTCATTTAAGTGCAGTTTGATTAATTTTGCTAGTTTTGTCACTAGCTTTGAGCTTAGGGGCAGGGATTCATGCCTGTAAGTTGTTTTTGCAGGTTGGATTCCTCTACTTGAGATATGCTGGAGAGCCAAAGACGTTGTGGAATTGGTTCGAACCGTATGTCAAAGATGAAGAGGTATTTTTAAGTGTTGTGGCTGCCGTTTTTTTTATTTACATATAATTTTGGAAGATGATCTTGTAATAATTTTCGGAAGTTTTCACTTGCTCACTTGTCTTATTTAAATAGGATACAAGATATGCATTTATTCCTTTCTATTTAGATATTGCATTGTTTAGGTTCTGTCCCCAAAAATAGAATACCTAGGAATGGAGCAGTAGCCCCCACTGCCTTAGCAGAAAGCTGCCTTTTCCGTATGCCATGGTCATCAAATTGCATTTCAAGTAGTATGTACAGCCGGCCACCCATCAGTGCATTCTAATGGATTATTTCACTGAACACTCAGGTTATTCAAAACCTTAGAAAAGAACTTCCAAACGATGGGAGCTCTGGAACACTGTAACTTTGTGCCAACACTTCTCCATAAACTTTCTGTTTACGCTCCAAAGCTCCTAGGGATGGCAACGGGGGCGGGTTTGGAAGGGGTTTTGCTGAACCCTACCCTGCCCCGTTAAAAAATATTACATACCATCCCTGTTAGAAACCCGGGTTTTTGTTCATGATCCCATCCCCGTCCCATATAAAATCAAAGAAGCCATTTCTGCCACAACCCGTTTCCAGTGGAAACAAGATTCTATATACGTATTTTGAGTGAGAAATACAAATTTTGAGAGAGAAATATTTTTTTAAAACATTTGACAGAACCGTAAAAAGTACACATAAATACATATATCTCTACATTTAGATTTAAAACAAATGAAACCCTATATATATAAATTACTGGTGTGTGTAGACTATCGAGGGAGAGAATTCTGACTGGAGAGTTGATTGAGATTGCCGATATCTGATCTGATCAGAGTAGGGGAGAGCGGGACTGCAAGAATGGGTGAGGCTGGCGGCTTGCTGGGAGCAGCGGGGTGGGAGTTGGGAGAGGAGGGGCCCTGGCTGCATCATCTTTGTTTTCTAGAAAAAAAGATGAGGACTGAATAGGCAAAACCCTGTATGCAATATATATAAGGGTAGTAAAGTAACGATATCTTAAACCTAAGGGCATTTGTATAATTAACACATATATAGATTATCGGGGTGGGCTGGTTTAATGACACATCTGGCCCCACTGGCAGTGGGTGGGAGTTGGGGGAGGAGGGAATAGGCTAAGCCCTGTATGCAATACACACACACACGCACATATATATATGGGTAGTAAAGTAATTATATCTTAAACCTAAGGGCATATGTATAATTAACATATATAGATAATCGGGACGGGCGGGGGGGCGGGCGGGGGGGCGGGGCTAATGACACATCCAGTCCTGCTCCAAACCCGAGTCAGGTTATACTATTTTATACCAGATCCACTCCTACCCCGTTTAGTGGCATACTATACGAGTCTTCCCAATTTTATTGAGTACAAAAACCTTACATATTATGCCTAGGAGCCAAATTATGGTTTAAGGTACCAGGGGCCTGTCACCTATGTGATAGCATTAGAGAGCATTTGAATAAGAATATGATCACCAAGTACCCTTGGGGCTAATTCATTACCCTGAAACCTTTACTCGAGAGATTCCTTTAAAAAAGAAGAGCGATACAGAATAACCTCAACTTTTTTAGGGGTTAGTTTTCGTTAAAATAACTTTTTAAAACAACAGACTTAGGTAACATGCCAGCCTCGTACAAGTTGACAACATTGCTTTGGACAAAAAGTCTTCCCAATTCATTGAGTGCAAAAACCTATCCTTCAAGTGCTAATGCAGGTTTTTCTTGGTCATTTGAGTCATTCTGAGAAGTAAAACACAATAAACTTGGATGACCTTTACTCTGATTGCTTCTCAGGGAGAAACTCAGAGGGCCTTCTCTCTAGGTTATAATTTAATGTATCACGTTTGACTATTCAGTGGTGATCATGAATGTTGGTAGACTCAAGTGCCCTATTGTTTTCTATTCAATGGTGATCATGGTTCATATAGCTTCTCGGTCTAATTCCCATTCGTATCCTAAAGTCTAGAATTAAAGATGTTCCACATTGCAGTTGGGCCAATCAACTTCAGAGAAGCATTGTTGAGTAGTCCCTAATGTCACGGGCTTAGAGTTTCAGCACCACTCTAGCTACTTCCGTGCGACACCAAGACGTTACTTCTACTCTCGCAAGTACTTGGTCAGCTTAACTCCCGTGCACACCTTAGCCAACACACTCCCCTTGTGCGCTTACTAGTGTTGTAGTGGCCCTCGCCCTCTCTTCACTTGGCTTGCACACTCACACACACTAAGGCACTTAAGTTGGCAAGGAAAGAACACTTCTATTACTTCAAAGAATGCTTTGTACAAGGCTAGCACTCAAACTCTCTACAAGGCTCTCAAGACTCACTCTAGGACTTGTTGGCTACAAAATGAAGTCCTACTCCTATTTATAGGCATCCCCATCCCTAATGGATGGCTAGGATGCATTCTAACCAACGGTGGAGATCGATTCTTTAGAATCTTCTCCCACCTTCTTCATACTTCCATACTTATCCACAAGTATCTACAACATTCTAGAACTCTCCATACTACTCCACACAATTCTGGAGAATTCTAGAATATACTACACATATCTAGAATCTTTCACACAACTCTAGACAACTCCGGAAGACTCTAGAAACTCCAGTTGCCATGCAGCGTCCTCCTCAGCGTCTGCGTGTCGCCTGCGTGGCACAACCTCCATAGGCGGGGCGTGACACTAAGCACACTTCATAAACTGCATGGATTTATCTCTGGTTGTATATTTATGGCTTCACTTGATGTTACTTTCCTGTTGATGATTCTTTGCTTATTATTTTTAATGTGTTTATCTTCAATGCAGCTGCTTATTTTACTGCTCCTTCTCATGGCTATAATATTGAAGTACTGACAAAAATTTATGACAGTATTTTATATGCTTTATACTCAAACTCTATGATGAATTCTTTTAGGGCGTTGAAAAATGAATTTCTATTTCAGGAATTCTCTCCTGGATCGAACGGACGAATGACCACAATGGGTGTCTATGTCCGTGATCTACTTCTTGGACAGGTCTGTTGCCATGTCATAATTCTGAATTACAGAACTGATATTTTGGATCGACAACACTGGCTCATTTACCTATGCCTCTAAAATTTTTCATATCTTTTCTTAAAAGCAATAGTTTCTAATGAAAATATTTCATGCCACAGATTTTATGTTTTTTGTTACATGCTATATGTTTAATGTATACATACAAAGTGTACCATATGGTGTGTTACAGAATTAATCAGAAAGCTTGGAATTGAACATCCCAGCTAGCTTAGATGGCAAGGAATTTTGGTGATTAGACCACATATTTCAGTTTGAGTTACTTCAGGTTTTGACATCATCTTCACCTTCTAAGTTCTAAGTTATCTAATTGCTAAGAACTAACTACCTTTTTCCTACCTGAAAAACGAGAAAGGTTGCGATTTGTTCATATGGGGTTTTCCTAAAATGCATTTATGGGAATTGTTTACAATATCAACTGAAATTACATCCTTTTTTTTTTTTTCGTTTTTTTCTAAAACAAATACTGGATACGAGAATGACAACACAATTCTTTATGTTTTCTAGGGCTGAATCGAAAGGATTAAGAACTAGTTGAACTAAAACTGAGTATATGGAGTATAAATTTAATAAAGATCTAGACATTTATAATATAGTGATGACACTCTAAAACCAAAAAATTACTCGAAACAACCACTTTCGTTTTCTAGGATCGATAATACCGAAGATTGGAGAGAGAGATAGTGATATAACTAGTAGGATTGAGGCGGGTTGGACAAAATGGAGACAAGCTAGTGAGATTTTATGTGGTAAAAGAAAATTCTCTGGGGACAGTTCAAGATGTCTTCTTGAGCTTCAGGGGACTTTGCATGGGGGAAGAATAATGGCAAAGAGCATCAATTTGAAGTTCTGAAATATGAAACCGATAATTGATTTTTACTTCCTGATGATGAGAGATTAGTAGTAGGAAGAAGATTTACAACACTTTGCAATTTACACGTGTTATTTAATTTTGCTTCCCTTTTGGGACGAGAAACTCCCTTCTAATATGAGCATATGCCTTTTCCATATATTGTTAACAATCAATATCAAACAAGAATTATCATTCCCTTACGCTGGCATTAAAGCTTTTGGTACTGATTTGGAAGCTTTCTTTTCTTTTCTTTTCTTTTCTTTTCTTTTATATATATGTATATTTATATTGGATTTGGGAGGTGGTGGGAACGTTGCCACTTCCAATCACGTCAGAAACAAAGCTTGCAGGCACCAGTAGGAGTAAGGGTAATTGCTTAAGAGAAGTTGACTAGTTATGGATGAGTGAGTAGAGAAGTGAATTGACTGAGAAATCATTCTCAAAGAGGCCTGCAACAGAGGCTTTTTGTTCTAAAAGCCTCACTAGGAGATGCAAAACTGGTTTCATATATCCCGTATCGACTCAACCAGTTCAAGAAGGACCAACAACTCATCAATACCAAATAAAGATGTCAAAACCCCTTCCTTTGGTATATGCTCCTGCTCCATCGGGAGAGGGTCTGAGATCTAGGGAAAATTCCTTTGGTATATGCTCCTGCTCAAAGAGACTTTGCGTTGGGAGAATAATCGCAGAGAGCATCAATTGAAGTTGCAAAGCTGATAATTGATTTTTACTTGCTTACCATAGATTGATTTGCTAAAAAAAATTATACCCATCACATTGACCTTTCTTTTTTGTTCATTTCAAACTTCCAATGGTAAGAGGTTGATTCATGGTCTTTTTCGAACTTCTATTTTATTCTTCTATAACCATTTTAGTTTCTAGATTTTATCATTACTGACATGTTTTGTTGGTTGCAATGAACACAAGATAACATGCTTGACATTCTTTGTTTGCTAAGTTATTCCATTGATCACGTGCAGTTTCCACTAGTCTGATGCCTATATTGTTGTGTTCTGGACCTTGAAGCAAGGACTTACATATTGTTATACTTTTGCAGTACTACTTTGATACTCTTTTTCCTCGCATCCCTCTTACCGTGATGCGGCAAGTTGTAGCCAACCTAGAAAAGATGAAACTCCCCACTAAACATGCTGGTGTGACTGGGGATTCCACCCGTGGATCCGAGGACACTGCCCGACGGCCACCTTCCGTCAAAGCTGCCCTGTCAGTCTCATTTGGTCAGCGTGCTCCACATCGTGCATCAACAAGGGATTCGTCCCCTGTTCGCCGCACCCTGCCACCACCTTCCTATGATAGAAATGGTGGTGATGATTTACGAAGATCTCCCAGCAGTCGCCGTAGCCAGAGCCGTGAATTATCTGATCTAGATCATTCAGAGAGAGACAGAGACAGGGTCAGGGACAGGGACAGGGATAGGGACAGGGACAGGGACAGGGACAGACACAGGGACAGGGACAGGGACCGGAGGTATGATCATGAAAGAAGGTCAAGAGAAAGCAGAAGGGTTTATGAGAGGAGCAGCAATGATTATCGTAGAAATTATAGAGAATCTAGTTCTCATAGGAGCAGGAGTAGGAGCAGGAGCAGGAGCAGGAGCAGGAGTAGAAGTCAGAGCATGCAAGCTCGCAGTGCACGCGCTGATCATTATCCCAGTCCACCAAGAGACGAAAACAAAGACAGGACATCTGCATCTAGCAATCTGGCCAAGCTTAGAGATCTGTACGGTGACTTGAGCAATCAGAAAGAGGATGCTGGCCAAGAAAGGGGTTCTACTAGGGATAATGGTGCTGAGGAGGTTATTAGGCTTGGTGGTTCTACTTGGAAGTAGGATTTTGTTGCTCATGCATCGTCTTCCAGGCAAGGTAAACTTTCAACTTTCTAATTTCACAGACAAACAGTGTCTTCCAATTACTTGCTTCAATCTCTCTTTTCCTTCTCTCATCATTTGTGTTGCCATGGTAGACATGGTGATATTCAAAGGATAATATCTACACAGGGGACATGTAGTACCTCTGCAGTTGGAACAAGTCTGTATGTATATTGAATGTTGTCTGACATTCTTGTCTACTACATCTTTATTTAGTGGATTGTTAATTGTTCAATTGTTTCACAGAAGTTTTGTAAAACAGATTGCTGATAAAACTGTTCAATTTTCATAAATGATATTTTGCTATTTCTATGTTGTGGCTGTCTGTTGCTTGGAACTTCTAGTTTGGTTGTGGGTACACAGCAAAAATGGCGTGGGAGTTTTGCAACTCTGGCACAACAAAAATGCAGATTTAGAAGCTTTTTGTACTTCGCATGTGCGTTTTGATCCTTGGCAAGCAGTTTTCTTTGGTAGGAATGGATTTAGGAGGATGATGTTCTTAAATTCAAATTGCCGACTTTTTTCAAACAATCTTTAACATCTCACTAGTCTCTTTATTTTAGTTTGGAATTCCTTTTCATTTTCTTATGATGCCTACTGAGTATTTTGTTTTTCTTGGAAAATGACGAGTTTCTATCAATATCACTTTTTTCTCTTGGAATTCCGCTTGTATATGGTTTATTTTAGCAAATATAAAACATCATTTACATATGCACACACATACATAAACGTCAATAGTGATTTGTTTAAAACGTGGCCTTTTTTTTTTTCACTCCCTTGAGCAGAAAAATATAATTTCTCATGTTATCTACTTTTAAATAAAGAGTTAGAAGAGTGATGGAACTCGTTGGTCCATTCTTTATCATTTTCTTAGTTAACAAAATTTATATTTTATCAAATTTCAGAGGAAAATAATTGGCGAGAATAAGTGGAAACAATTAACATATATTTCGTTTCATCAAAAGCACAAGGCAAATACTGTTTTAAATAAATCATTCCGCTCGTGCCAACTTTATATTGAAAATAATCCAACTATGCTCGAACTATAAGTCGCAATCCGTATCGGTCACGTTCGGACGACATAGTGAACTATGATTCCAACCATGCAAGCACTATGATTCCAACCAACCATGCAAGCACCATGGGTCGCAATCCGTACCGGTCCAACAAACTATGATTTATGATTCCAACAGTACTTCCCTTCTCATTATGATTCAAATTGTATACTCTGGCTCTTTTTAAAAAATAAAATAGAAGTTAACTGATACATCCGATATTAGTTGCACTTAAAACCATACTTTCCTTCTCATTATGATCCAAATGCTGTTTTTGAATTCAAACCCGTACCCGTATGGAAAGATGGGTTGCTGTGCAGATAGCAAATATTATGATCTTAAGAAGGATCAAAAAACATGCGTTCCTTAGCTGGTTTTCATAATTTAAGTGGGAAAAAGAAAAGCAAAAGCCACGCAATTTTCCCTGAAAATTTAACTTTTTAGGCAACATTGACAGTGGAAAGCAATACAGCATTGAGCCACGGTATTGATCAGGTACTAATCCCTCGTCTCAAAAAGAAAAACATAAAAATAGGAACACGTCAAGAAGCCATCTTCACGTGTACAAGTCCATATTAGCTTTCAGAATATTGAAACAACAATAAAATCTCATATAAAAATTCTAACACTAATATATATATCATATATATTGTTGTGCTGAAAACGTTAAAATATAATATTTTCCACATAGTACTGATGTAAAACAATACAAGCTTCCTTCGGATAAGTCCTACGGTCCTACATGGTCCTTGATCACTGAGGGAATCCCAAAAAATCCTTAAAACATACCTCTTGATCAGAAAGACCAACTTGCTACTCACACTTGATAGAGCGGTATATATGACGGACAAATAACAGTGCAGCACGGAAACCAACAGTCCCAAGCATGAGGAAAAAACCATAGCAGATGCAAGCCATGTACCCAAAGAAGAACGAAGTTTGCATGAAACCTGACATCTCCGATCGTGCATAGTAGTAATATAAGCAGTAGCCATAGATGAACAAACCAGTTGATCCACCACAGAGGAAAGACCTGATGGTAACAACCAAATGTACATGAGTAGGTGCTCCAAAAAGCAAACGTAAAATCATAAATTGTGTTGTTTTTGTAGCTTCTTACCGTATAAATGAAATATGATTCACAAAATCAATCACGAAATGAAAGGAATAATAAATCCATTCCTAAGAATCCAAGCACAAGCTGGCAAATAATATCACCCAACAAAACTAGTTAAAGTATAAGATTACCCTTCCCTAGATACTCTTTGAAAAGGGCTTGAATTCTAAAATGTGGTTTGAATGCAACATAAACCAGAATGCTTGAAAATTTTACTTCCCAAATACCAAGCCAAAATATTTCTTGGGAGCAAATAACATAAAAGAGGGATCCATGGAAAAGAAACTGAAATCAATCAAGCTGCAACAATTAGCCGGCCCCTTGCTTTGAAGTGATATAATTATCTGGATTAAGAGTATCAGTGAATAAGCCATTGTCACAACCAATCATAAATGAGTTCATTAGCCTTTGGTTTCTACAAATTAGATTAAATATTTATTCAGAATGAGTAGTTCAATAGACTTTCCTTCACGGTGATGAACATGGAGTTTAATAACCATGTCCTTCAAAGGAAATGAAACAACATAACTAGTAAAGTATTTAAAAACAAGAGGAGGAATCAAGTCTTTTAACTCTTCTAACAACTGCGCTATGCAATCCTGGCGGCTAGAGAAAACTGACTAGCCATTCTAAGAACATGCAAACTTCACTCAATTAGCAGGAATTGATAAATTGAATGCGTTATAACCTGCAAATTGAAACCAAGTTGTAGAAAACTATCAACCTCTCTAGAAAGGAGAAACCGTGGTATGAGTTTGGTAGTCCAGTGTTTCTATAATAAGATCCCCAATATCTTCTTTTTATATGTATAAATAAATAGATCCACTAAAATATGCCTAGGGTACAAAATTTGAGTATTGACAACAAATACAAGAGGAAAAAAGAATACCTAAAACATCTCATACATTCATATCGCTAAACACCAAGGGCCAAGGAAAATGCAGGGATGAGAAAAGATTGATGGAAATGGAGAAGGATTATGCATTGTTTGCGAGTTGTATAGAGAGAAAAGAGAAATGCAAGGAAATCGGCATCCCTCCAGCCTCACTTTTTTTTTTTCCTTCTCAAAAAATGAAAAGTAAAGAAAGGAAAATGATATTGTTATTCCTGTCTTGCCCCTTGTCCTTATAAGAGATTTCCTGTTTTATCCTTCCTACTAAAAAAAAAAAAAAATTATTATTCCTTTTCTTTCTTTTCTCTCGGGCAGGGGTAATCACATTCCCTCCCTTTCGTTTCTCTCCTCAAGCGATAAACACTATCCTTTCTATTCTTCTCTCTTCAAATTCTCCAAATAAAGTGTAAGGAAGTCCATATGAAGTATCAAAGTAATTGAGTAAGGGCGAAACTTCCCGAGAAACAAGAAAAAAATTAACTCAATAGCAATTGGTGCAACCAATGATTTTAGAGATCCACTCATCAACAGAATGCCTATTCTGTTCCTTCCACATTCTTAACCATATAGGCAAAACAGAGTCATCTTCAAACAGGCTCTCTACCAACGCACACCCCTTGCCAACTATTCAACCCCTCATCAACTAATCTAGGAAAGAATATCGCACCGCAAAGGAGGTGACACACCCAAAGTTTTTTAGCCACCGGACAATGCACAAGGAGAGAGATTCAGTTTCCTTAGTTCTCTTACACTTGCAACACCAATTCAGAACTTTACCTCTTCCCTCTAAGCTATCCATCATCAAAATATTTCCCAAGCTACTGCTCTTCATGCAGAGAAAAGGGCAAGTTAAGAGGGCATTTTAGCTTATGCAAAACAACCTTTTAAGTAAGCTAGAAATGAAATCATTTCCTACACCTCCCACACCAATGATTACTCCCCATCTCCATAAGCAGAAACACCGTAACAAAGACGAAAACATATCCAGCAACTTTAGCTTCAGATAATGTAAATCCAACAAAAATAGAGTCCAAAACCACTCCACGCTCTGGGAAACCACTTTGCTATATAGGCATTGTTATTCACTGCAACCCCAAAAGGTACGAAAACAACTCCTTCACGGGCCACCCCCACACGAACAAGACCATGCCTCAATCTCACTCCACCATCCATTACTACTTTCCCGATATAATTAAAATATACTTTCATATGAGTTACAAATTGCTTTAAGCTTCATGGAAATAACACAATCTAATTAAACTTGAAAACAAAGGTACATAAGGCTACATATAATACTAAATAAATACCGCGTGGTCAAAGTAAAAGAAAAGCAATGAACAACGTCAAAGAAAAGAGAAGTGAGCAATTATAATGACTTCATCTATATTTTGTAAACATGTTAAAGAACCATGCAAAAATCTACTAATGATATCTCAATACAAAGAAATCACGCAGAAGATGAATTCATGAAAAACGACTCAACAGAAAATACATTGGAAGAATAAAAACATCAACAGTTAACGGCTTGTGCCACAGCATGATAAATACGTTGCTGACCATGATAAAGAGATAACAAAAACCTGTAAAATGATACATACCTCCACCACCATTCATGATCCTCAGCAGCAAGTTGAAAATATGTCAATGCCACAGTAATGAAAGCAGTAACAATCAGGAGAATAATGAAGACTATGAATAGGATGCTGTATATGGTATAGATCCTGTGACCCCACACACTGGCAAATATGTAGTAGAGTTCAATATAAATTGCGCTGAAAGGAAGAAACCCTGCCATTGCCATCTGAGGAAGAGTTCCACGGTACCAAGGCAAAGGTGGGATCTCCCTTGGATATTTTGTGGTGCGACAAGGAGCTTGAAACTCTGCCTTGCTATTCTTCCCTGCAATCCCACCCAATACTAGCAGAGGTGACGTTACTAGAGTCCAAATGAGGACTATCACAACTATTGTACCAAAAGGCAGTGCTGCGGTAGCACTGTAAACAATTGCAACTGTATTGAGAAAGCAGAATGTAAGAAACAGGGGTCCGCAAAATAGGCTTCCAGTCAGCAGCAAATTTCTCACCTGTTGAGTCAGAAATGGAACATTAGATCAGCGTATTCTCACTTCAAATTTTTTACGATTCATTATTTAATATAATAGCGAAAATAACTTGTAATAAGGAGAGAGAGAGAGAGAGAGAGAGAGCATTCATGTGGCTGACTCCATTTATATAAAATAAATGGCAAGGAGATAATATGCCGACAACAACGAAGATGTTGATTGCTAATCATAAGAATGGAACCAGGAAGATACCCAGACCAATGAATATCACGTGATTATTACAATGGCATTGAAATGGTATTGCTTATTGCAGCAATCTAAAACAGGGGATACTTGAACACCCCATTTAACTTCCAAAAAGAACAACCTAGGTGAATTTACTGCATCCTGGAGACCAGTAGAATGTGTTCTCAATCTCAACTACTCAAAAAGATAAGCCAGAAAATAGAAGCACGGTGTTCACATTATGTGCTCTTAACACAATGCATTTTTATGCGGGTATGAAGGGGGTATAAACACCGGGCAACTTCTTCTTCATCATAATCAGCGTTGCCTTTATCCCATATGAAAACATCCTGCAACTTGATTATGCTTAAAATGTGACCAGTACATATTTGTAAGAAAAATTATCTTATCATTTCAAACAGATAAAAATTGGGGCATTTTGGAACATTTATCAATGAAATCCTGGTTCTTTCAACTCTAGTTCTGTTGTACTCCAATGGTCCAAACACAATAGAGAACACAATTTCCTATAGTTGAATTGTGTTACTTCTCATTCAATAATCAAACGGGAATCATTAAGAGCCATAAAAAGACAAACTTCAAGCAAATAATTTGTTCCTTTTTTCTTGTATTTTTTGGTAAGTAACAAGAAGAACTCATTAAAGAGTCAGAAGTTGTACAGGTTACACATACCAACGAATGGAGTACAATACGCAATACTAAATGAAATTTCTATAAAATTATGCAAGTTGGAGATGAGGAAAAAAAATTTACTCAAACAACAAAATCTACAAAAAGGCAAGCAAAATAGAATCCGTGACCACATACCCAATTTGTTCCTTCTAGCTGACAGTAGAAAGAGACTGCAGTATAGCCTGCTATCCCAGATGTAAGTGCATATATGACAACCAGTGCAGTGAACAGCGCTCCTCGATTGTATGGATAGAACACACCAACCAGAGCAAGTGCAAAGATAAATAATGTACTGAAAAGACAGCACATAAGATTAAATTTTGCACTAATGTTGAGCAACATGATCAATTGAGCCAAACTTAATTGAATAGAACATCTTAATAGACATACTTACAGGGCAAATAGCTGGGTTCCAGAACCAAGGGCAGCAGCAAACAGAGACTTGTGTTTTGGGTACCTAAAAACATCGCCATGGATGTACTTCCACCCAGTTTCTTCTTGGTCTTCAGCCGCCTCCTCATCATGGGCATACCTTTATACAAATAACAAAATAAACACAAAAACGAAGTAAGATTCCAAACATACATGTTTGTGTAGAAGCAGATGATAACAAATGGAAAGTATTCCTCACTTAACAAAATCATTCTTCAGGACTCGCATGAGAATCGTGGCAAGAAAACCAGTTAAGAGGAGAACTGTGACGCAGGAGTTAATTATTGAGAACCAATGGATTTCCAAGTGATGTGGTAGTGAAGAAGATTGAGAGTACTTCTCCATCCTCTTATCAAAAGGAGTATTTGTTTCCTTCCACTTGACGGTGTACATGAAATCAACATCAACTTCTTTATCCTCAGTAAGGTCCACAAGGGCATTAGGATCAGTTCGTACATTAATCTCAATGACACGATCCTTATTGTAAAGGATCTCAAAGAGAAGATGCTTAAAAAGATGGTATTTGTACTCGCTGGGGTCAGCTTTGCCTTCCTTGTCAACCTTCCCTAAGAAACCCCAGAGTGGCAGGTCATCATAGTACATTTGGAAAAAGTAGTCCTTTGTAACAGCACTTCGGAACTGAGCAACTTCCTTCGTTGTCAGCTTCTTTTTGCAAATAATTTCAGAGTCCTTATCAACTAAAAAGTCAAGTTTATAGAGAGCACTGACCAAACGATCACCATTCAAAACTTCACCAAGAGCCTCCGATTTCTCTTTCACATGAGCTGCCATTGACATCCCAACATCCAATCAACAATGTAAACTTCCACATATAAAACCAAATCGCAAACGACAAACAAACAAAAGGATGACCAATTGCAAACCTGGCAAACAGAAAGGGAGGTCGAAGTAGCGGTATGTTTCGCTGAAATTGCAAACACAAAAGGCAAAAATGCCATCAGCCCATCATCGGGACAAATATAAATATAAATATATCAAGTAATTTTAACATTCACCATTTAAATTATCCAAACCTTATTGCAGAAATACAAGTTAAATCAAATGTATAAAAAATATTTAACCTTGCAACACCTAAATTCAAGAAACTTGGACCATTGTTAACAATAAAAATAAAAAAGTGAATAGCAATATGTTCTGGAAGTTCCATTAAACAACTCAGACATGAAAACCTTGTCCGCAGCTCAATTCGAATTTGCAAATAGAAAAATAATAAATAAATAAATAGAAAATACATTAAAGCACATTTGCTAGCAAGTTCAATTTAGAATTTAACAGTATGTTTTGTGGATTTTTTTTTTTTTTTTGGTGGGGGGTCAGATATTCACTTCATCCTTCAAATCTTTATGCAGACCAGTCTACTTTTACGAAAGATGCATGCTTTGAAAAGCATGTCTCAACATGCCCTTAGACCTTGGAAACTCGTTGGAAATTTCCATCTCCAACTGACATTAGTTTTGTAATTTCCCTCGTCTATACTGCCATGATTAAATTAGAGTGGCTTCCTCTTCTCCTACTGATTGAAATTTCAATTATTTCAGAATCTTATTGATAGGTCAATTGATAGACGGTCTTTTCTTCTTCACATCCTTATGATGTTAATCACTATTCTTACAATTCAAACTCTTCAACCTAGCAAAGAATTCACTTCTACTTCATTTTAAGATCCATTTAAGTTGATTCATGAGTTTCCAAATTTTCTACATCAAAATAACTGGAAAGTGAATTAAGGTCAAATTCATAGCTTTGGCAGTTGACTGTGGGGGGGTTAACGCCAATTACTTGCTTCAAGAAAGGAGACCTGAAGATCATCTATGACCCAATATGGGGTTCATGAGCAAATAAATAGAAAAATTGGCAGAGCCATCGTCACTCCACCAAACTGTACAAAAATCCCCATGGCAAATATTTGGGATGGTTGGAATACATTCCACTGCCCTAACTCAAAAACCTGCTAGGGTGAAGTCTTTCTTATTGGTCTTTTAAGTCAAACATAGTTAAGTTTGCAAATTGTGGTTCCTTTGCTAGTCTGTGACACCGTGGTTCATATGGTTGAAACTGCTAGAATGTTGACAACAGACTTGAGGAAGATAAGGACTGTGAAAACTCATATTTGATCTGTGATCCCTTGGAAACCCATGTCAAATTGATGCTGAAAGAATAATTAAAGACAATGAACCAAGGACCGCTGTTTATTAGTAAACCACTTAGCCAAGGAGTTCAATTGGAGTGAGGATCAATAAAGGTCTTCAAGACCTTAGAGAAGAATGTCTGATGGTTCAAGGCACGTGCCACTGATGCCAGGCATGCTGGACATAATTTATCATAAAGGTATAAAAATATGGGTATTTGGAGATGCTCATACTATTATCCAAATTTATAATTTGGATAATGGATGTTATTGTCTTTGATCCATATATCAGGTGACACGGAGCTCAGTTTCTTGATTAAGAGACATGGATTGTACCTAGAAGTCTCTTCCACCTGGGGATGTGTATTCATGTTGCATGCTTAATCAAATGTGTCAGTTTTCTGCCCAAAAGAGGTGGAGAACACTGATGATTTAGCTCCTTTTGAGGAAAAAAAAAATAAACAAAAAGAAAACATGCCATCAAGACGAACTCATTATGGGTTAATTTTATCTCTGTCCATAAATTACTTTGATCTGGCTAATCATGGTAAGTAAACCATTCATCTTACATATAACAAATCTCCTTACTTTTTACAAAATTTCATTTTCAAAAGTACATATTTAATGAGTTAATCATAAACTTGCTACATTAAACCCAAAAGTAGAAGATATATTTAACTGGGACATTCTGAAGGTTCTTAATCACATATTAACTTCGACAACTGGCAACCAATGGGGGAATGGATGGACATCATCCTACTACATCCTTGGCGAAACATGGCTCCATTAGATGTTATTGTTATAAGCATAGCAAGTTGATCTTTAATATGATATACATATGCACATTACATACACTTCTTTTTCTGTTGCTTTGTACACTCACACACAGAAGCACAAAGACATGTATGAAAACCTAGCACACGAATGATTACAAGGCTCTCCACCCCAATATTCATAAACTAACATTCAAAATTATTCGAAATTTTCATTAAAAGACACTTTTTTGTCTCGCAAAATCCCCATTCCTTCCTTCCAAAAATGTTCATTATGATTTGAATCTGATACACACACCACACACATGAAAGTACATAACCATCGTCCATTCCTCATATGATTTGAATCTGATACACACACCACACACATGAAAGTACATAACCATCGTCCATTCCTCACCTGCAAACACCCCCCCCCCCCCCCTTCCCCTCTCTTCTCTGTCATCTTTTGATTCTAATTTGCACGTCATCTCTATTTTCTCAACGCATCAATTTCACTTGCTCAGGTACCTGGGAGTTGCATAGTTAAGAAGAACAACATAACCATTCCAAAATCTAATTGTTCTAATTTGAGCTTCCAGTCTCCATTCTCTTTGTTGCATCAATTTCAATTTCCAAGTACTGAAGTAGCTGCATAAAATTAAAACCTACGAAAGCCTATGCATCATATTCATATGAAGAGTGCACAGAAAACTAGCTTGACTTGCTATCAATAAATTTCAAATGATTTCCACATTGTTAAAATAGATAATCGAGATCAAACAGCAAAAAAGTCAAACCAAGTTGTATTCGACACACTTAATCCACTGAAGAAGGGCATACTGATATGGTTGACTCATCTTTCCACACCGACGGATATGGCTTCGACAACAGCACCCAAACTTTCCACTGGTCAGACCATATACATATACACAAAACATATAGAGCTCACGCACGCACACAGAAGTTTGTTTGGATCTATCTACGATCCAATTTGGGCATAAACCAAATATTCAACAGATCCACAAAATTAAATCTTAACCCATAACAAGAACATACATACATTTCATGATATATCACGTGATAAGTGATGGATCGTGATGGAGAGAGGAAGAGATCGATACCTGGGATTGTGGAAAGGGCCGACCTTGTTGGCGTAGAGAGGGACCTGATCTCCAGCTTTGTATCGATGATCAGAACCATCCGATCTTACTTGTGTTGCAGTGCAAATCAAGAGAAGGGCAAGGACAAGCCACGCCATCGTCTTCTCCATACCAGGCACCTTCAAAGTACAACGAGTGTTTTGAGAGAGATTTTTAGAGAACTGAAGAAAATAGATCTCGATAACTCTGTAAGGGCAGTCCAGACCCCAGAATCGGGTTGGATCAATGGGGAAAGATTTATTAAAGGGTTTGAAGCTCCACGCGCTTTTTTTTGAGAGTGGAAAACAATCGACATAGCCAACCGGTAAACAGAGAAAACAAAAAAAAAAGGTTTAAAAGGAAAAATATTTATTAAATTAATGTAAGTTTCATTATTAATTTTGTCACTCATTTCAATAGTTTGACTACATTATAAATTAATGATAAATAACAAATACGGACTAAATAAGATGATTTAAATAATTAATGAATTTAGATATTTCCCAGTCAAATCTCTCGCTTTGATTCCAAAGACTTCACAAAAAGAATACTTATCAAAAATAAATAAAACAAAATAAAAGCTTCACAAAGAGAATAAGATAAGGGATGAAATATTTAGTCTATTACTTGGTCGGTTATTGAAATTGCTCTCTCTCTCTTAAGATATATATCCTTATTTTTATCCATTATTCCATTTCGAATTTTTTTTCAAATAAGGCATTCAAATTGTAGAAGGATAATCTATTTTTTCAAATAATAATAATAATAATAATTAGATAATGCATATTGCAAAATATGGACATGTTAGAAATTTGGCTACCTTACAATTGTTCCAAATAAAATTTCTCGAAGAGTTTGAATATTAAATAGAGACGCGAGCGAAAAGCACTCATAGAGATGCATACAGAGTGTATTCATTATACGTTTAAAAAAGTTTTTAATATTCAATTTTGGAGCAAATAATGACCTGAACACTGAAAATATTAAAGTGCCCTTCTATAATTGAATAAAAAAAATAGGTAAAAAATAAATTAAATGTTAAAGAACTAAATTATCCCTCTTTTTATAAATATAATATAAGGTTGCATGAAAAAAAAAAAAAAAAAAAAAAAAACACCCTTATAGTATGTATATAGAGTATATAACCCCCCCTGTGCATTATAAAACCTCCTTAACATTCAATTTTGGTGCAAATAATACCTAAATACTGAAATGACTAAAATATCCCTCTATAACTTAATAAAAAAGGGGTAAAAAAATTACTTAAATGTGATAAGTATATATATATATAGCATTATCGGAAGAGACAATTATATTTTTTAAAATTTATATCATAAACATGTAATATGCAATGAATATGACTAAATTTTTAACGAAACAATAACCCCAAACTATTTTTTGCCATATTTTTTCAAATTTACGAACTTATATAGTCAAAATAAAAGATAAAGGTGTTATTTGCCCAAAATGTAAACATTATGGGTGTTTTTCTCACCCTGCCCTTATAAGAGTATTATCGAAAGAGATAAGAGTGTTTTCAAAATTTAATATCTTAATAATGATTCAAATTTCTTTTTTACTCATTTTTTAAACTTAATGGACTTATATACACAACATAAGTCATTATTTGCTTATTTTTCCAAACTTAACGGAGTTATGTACCCAAAATAAATTATAGGGATATTATTTGTCCAAAATTAAAACATTAAGGATGTTTTTTCTCACCTTATCATATTAATTAAGAGAGATATTCTTATGTTTTTAACTGAAATGACCGATTTATTTCAAGCTTTAACGATATACTGAAAATTCTCACCATTAAAATCTTCCGTTGCTTAATTTCTAATTTAATAATAAAAGAAAATAAAATTTTGTAATGGGGCTGGGAAAAGGTAAGAAAAAAAAGTTAATAGGAGTAAAAGACTTTGGGATGAAGTAACACTTGGAATCTGTATTTGGATATTACTCACGAAGTGGCGCTTCCTCGCTCTTGTCAAGGTTTTCTATGTATAGAGATTGTCTCATTTCATCGAGAGTTGTATGTTTGCGTTCATCGTGATCTTTTTAGAGGTGCTTAATTGATCAATGGTATGGTTCTCTTTCTGAGTTGAACGTGTGAGTTAGAGAAGGTTGTGTCTGTCTTGTTTGGGGATATTTTGGGTTCTTTCTCCATCTTTATGTTGGGTGTGTTGATCTGTCTTAGGAGATATGGCGTTGGTCTGTAGTTATTATAGATTTCGTCTTATGCTTGCTAAAGTTACCATACTTTTGTGGATTTGTTGGAGTTATTTGCCTTTGTTATGTATTATGTTTTATTTTCCTTTTGGTTTGTTTCATGTCAGTGGTTTTTGTGGCGGTCTTAATCATTGGCTGAGTCTTGTTTGGATTTGGATATGGTTGTGTCTTCTTTTGGTCACCTATGATGAGTTGATTAGGCGTTCACTGTCTTTGTTTGTAAGCCGATGGAGAAGGGCGTCGTAGACGCGATCTTGGTGGCGACGGCTTCCATCACTGACTATGGGTTAGTTGATGTTAGGGTTTTCTTGACAGGTGATGAGCTGTTCCGGATGGGAAGAAGTGTGGCGGTGGTGGTTTTTGGAACGCTCGGGGTGGAGATCAACTCCGTGGATGGACCTCATTATTTTACAGATCTCGGGTTGTTGGCAGTGGATCTATAAGGTTGATCATTTCTGGAGCTTTCTTGTTGGGAGTACTTAGCGGGTGAATTTCATGTTGATACGTATTCCGTTGGCATCTGTTGTCATTGCTTCTTCTGTGTGGGAATGATCGGTGCGTTTTGGCTGGGTCGCCTTTGGTGGTCGTCTTCTGGTTTTTTAGTGGCCAACTTTGTAACGTTAGGCATGACGTGTCCTTAAGATTTTTTGTTGATATTACTTGCTTTCTGTGGGGCCTTTCCTTCGACTTTTTTTCACCCAATATCTAAGGCGGTGCTACATATTTACTCTCGAGGTATGCGTTTTACTGTGTTATAGCTTTATTTTGTACGAATTGTTATGATGTGTGTGGTTCCGCTGGCTTGGCATAATAGATACGCTTCTGGTTTAGACAGTTTGGATCCTATTTATTTATTTCATGTTATTGTTGCGTGTGGTCCTCTGTTCTTAGTCTCTTGGGTTCTTCTCCCACGTGTGTTTTCCCTTTTCTTTGTGTATTTCTCCTTTGAGTCTTTTGTTTCTGTTTCTAAATAGGCTGGGAGATATTAGTGGTGGGCAATAGGGTCCATTGTGTTCTTTTGTTGGGCTATTCTTTGTAGGATGGAGATGAAATCAACTATTCTGGATCAGTTTCAAGGTTTGACATTGACTCAGAAGGAAAATGAGCCAATCCAGTTGTCGATGGAAGATATTGCCCAGAGTGACCAGATTTATCGATCTAGTCTATTTGGAAAGGTGTGGGCCTGTACAACTACGACTTTGGCAGGGGCAAAGTTTACCTTTGGTAAGCTTTTTAATAAATTGTGGTCAAAAGATAAGCAACAGCAACCTCTAGTTAAGAGGTTACAAATTTTTAAGGCGGCGCGCAATCTTTTTCAACTACTTATTCCGGATGCTTCTATTCGTCAAAGTATTCTGGATAGTTGTCCATGGCTATTTAATAGACATTTGGTGGTGCTTAAGGAATAGGAGGAGATTTTATTAGTGTATGATATTCCTTTCTGGGTCTTTCCGTTTTGGATCTAACTATTGATGTGAATGCTAATCTCTTGTCGAAGAAAGTTGGGTAAAAAATTGCCACTTCTTTTGGTCGATGTTTGAAAGTTGAGTTGCGGGATAAAGGTTTGAATGAAGGGAAGGAATTGGTGATAGCTGTTAGTCGTGTCCTTCGCATTCGGGTGGAGATAGATATTACGCAGCCTTTTCGGCGGCATATTCTTCTTACCAGTCTGATGGGTGAATAGTTCAGGGCGCTGGTTCGCTATGAGAAGTTGTCAATTTTTTGTTTTCCGTGTAATATAATTGGCCGCCAGTGGAAATCTTGTCTTAATGGGATCTCTGTAGGTCCTGGGGCTCCTACGGATTATGGGACTTGGCTGGGTGTTGATGGTTTTTTGGGCAAAGATCTTTGGAATTTGGAGCAGGATGGGGTGGATTTAATTAGTGAAGGACATGTTAAGAATTTGTTGTATGTGGAAGACGGAGATGTCGATGATGTGGAGGGTATTGTTGGGTCTAAATCTTCTTCTATGTTTTGCCGGATTCCTGGTTAGGAGGTTGATCCTTGTGTTTCGTTTGGTATACCTATTAGTGGTCAGGGGTTTCCTCTGGGTGAGAAATTGGGTAATGAGGTGGTTGCTCTTTCGAGCGTTGGTGGTTCGTTATGCAAGGTGGGGGGTATAGGTTTTGGGGACTTGTCGAGTGGTTAGGGGTTTTATCAAACAGGGGTTGTTTTGTGGGCTCAGGACACACGTTAGGGTGCATTTGTTTGTCCTTCTGGTGTGCCAACGAAAGTCGGCTTACTACCAGGTTCTTCATCGCAGAGCCATGTGGCGTCGGCACATAATGAGGAACTTATAGTTTCGGAACCTGTTACTTTTCCTATTAAAGGTCGGATTCTTCCTTTGCAACGATGGGATGAAATGTCAAAAGGCTGGAAGAAGGGTAAAAGTCGGGCAAAACCAATATTTGGGTCTACTTCTGATTCCTCTGCTACTTCTCACAGCCAAGCTTCCTTACCAGCTCAAAAAGGTAGGAAGCGTATGTAGTCTAACTCGGGTGGTTCTTCAGGCGACTGTTTGAGAGGGGAGAAGAAGTTTAAGGCTTTGGTTGCAAATGATGTGGTTCAAACGGTTGTTATGAATGTTGTTGGTGGTACGATTGGTCGGCGATCTGAATCTTCTGAAAAGTCTAAGGCTCATCTTGCGGATTCCTATACCTCGGAATCATTTCAGTCATTTGCGACTCAGTTAGCTTTACTTGTGGGTACAAGTACTCCCACAATTATTGACACCTTTTAGACTTAAGTTGTTGTCAAGACTGCGATCTTAACTTGGATGTTAGTTTGGTTTAGCTAGCTTTTTGTTTTTTTTTTTGTGATGTTTGCAGTTCATGTTGGATGATGCTATTTGCTCTTTGCCTTGTAGATGCCGTTTGGCTTTGGCGCTTTTCTTGCGGGGGTAAAAAAATTAAATAAAAAAAAAAAAAAAAAAAAAGGGTCTTTGGGATGACATTATATGGATGTCCTGATAATATATATAAATTTGAATTGACTTATACTCTGTATAATCTGTCTATTGACTTATTTGTAAAATAATAATAATAATGAATAAATAAATATCCAAAGAGTTAGGTAAGTAATACATATTGACATTGTTGTTGGTTGGAATCGCGAAACACAATCCCACGTAAAAATTTATTTATTTTTATTTTATTTTTTTGCAAGTCTTTCATGAATTAAGTAATATCATTATCATCTCATAATTCATTTTTATTAATCCCATATTCAGCTCATGGCAGGTTCATGCATCCAGCTACGAACATGGATTGTTCGTGGTTTTTTTTTATAGAATCTTTGACTTACCAAAAAAAAAACCCTTTTTAAATCAAGTTAGTTCGGTTGAATTGCCAAACAAAAAATTGCCTTATTAAATCAAGTTAATTCGATTACACTTGAAATTATAATTATCATGTAGATTTATTTGTCATAGTTACTGAGTTAAATATCCAACAAATCATACCATCCTACTCTTTGTGTGTTTCAAATATTTGAAATAATAATCAAAAATAAAATAAAATAAAATAAACTCCCAATGTATGTTTTGATTAGTGAAATGCATGGTTGCAAATCATGCTCGCACCGTCACACCATTCACATGACTATACCTTTATGTCAAAAATGCTTTTAAAAAAAATGCTTGACCATTCTTAACATGTTATATATATTTTTTTTACAATACCTTGTTTCTTAAGTGATGGGTAGCGTGTCTGACAAATTTTGGAGATATTTTAATACATTTTGTATGTGTTATGTTGCCTTAGTGCATGAAAGGGATGTGATATTTATTTATTTTGAATTCTCCTTATGGTGTGATGTTTTTTAGACATAGTAAATTTTTTGCAAATCATAAATGTAACATAATTTTTGAATGATATGACTAAAATTTGTACTTTCATCAAGATTCGAATTTCTGACCTCCCCCAAGTGAGTTTGTACCAGTTGGGCTTATCGATTCGGTAACTATACCCATGTTGGAACCCTCGGGTTGCCAAAAAAAACCTATATATGAATGTAGAATTACTACTTTTTCTTTCATGACAAACAAACAAACAAACAAATTGCAAAAAACCCCCTTCCCCCCCCCCCCCCCCCCCACACACAAAATGCTCTAGTAATGAACTCAAAAATTAAATTTAATATCAATCGGTTTGGAATAGTTATTCTTATTTTACACATTTATTTTATTTTATTTTATTCAAGGTCATTACTAGGGGTGTTTTAGTAAATTAATAGAGACTTAACAATTGTCTGATAGTAAACGGGTATTTTGCATTACTTTGAAAGATGGAGAGGGGTTTTTGATTAAAAAAAAAAATTCTGTGGGGTTTATTGTAAAAGATTAATAGTTTAAAAGAATTTATTGTAAAAAGAGTAATTTTGTCATTGTCAAAGTCACTTGATGAAGTAACAGTGGAGGGAGTTAATTTGCTAAAAAGGAACTGTATAACCGTATAAGGGAGTTTAATGTGAAATTAAAATTGTGTTGAGGGTTTTTCGTTCAGTGAGTATTCTACCATTTACTCTAATTTCAATCCATAAAAACTTAACTCAAGGGTAAAGGATTAGTGGGGAAAAAAAAAATGATTACATTATTATGTTTGGTTGATTAAGAAAGGAGTGAGAATATTTTGATAATCATTTATTATGTTTGATTGATTAACAAAGTAAATGAAATTATTTTAATTAATTTACTATTATATCCATTTTTATAGATTTTATTTTTATAAAAATAAAAATAATATTGGTATTAACAAAGTTTCATTAAAAATTATTCTCTTTTCTTTCCATTTCCTCTCACTTTTAGGAGGATAACAAAACCAACACATGTTGCCTAAACCCTCCAACCAAACTAGGCCTAAATACTACATATATAACATAGGAAAATACCATGAACCAACACATGTTGCCTAAACCCTCCAACCAAACTAGCCCTAAATACTACATATATAACATAGGAAAATACTATGAAGACAAATTGTGTCATGTACACTAATGTGTCCCAATAAGAGGTTAACATCTTTTTTAAACTTAAAAAAATACATAACATAGATTATACCCATTTTTTTTGTGTTAAACCCGACATATCTATTTTTTTCCTTTCTTTATTTCCATATGTGTATCTTCATCAGCATCTTTCTTTTTTCTTAACCGCTAATCATTCCAAATCTAATATTTCCTACCAGGACCTCCACCACTCCGTTTCAGATTGGATTTCCAAGAAGTGGGTTTTTTTGTGACTCTGGATAGGATGAAGATAAGTCACTTCTCTAGTTTTTGTGAATCAAATTATTATTTTGTGCCGTTGCTTCTCTTTTAGAGGGACTCTTTGTTTATCTGTATTTATTTTCAATCAGATTATTATTGTCTTGGGGGCAAAGCAAAATTAATACAAAGAAATCCAGTTCCCCTTTCAAACAATTTATGTATTGCCACGGAATGCAGTCCAGTGATTTGTCATTGACAAATTGAGTGCGTAAATTTTTTATCAATATAAAAAGAGAGATTTTACTCAAATTTTTATTAACCTGAGTATATACATTGTACAAATAAGATAGAAACAGTAGAATTGAGTGAAAAAAGGAATAATTTTCATATATAACATGCATAAAAAAATAGTTGAGCTAGATTTTTAAAAGGGAGAAATAAAAATGATTAGTTCAATTTTTTTAAGGATAGTTTTCTATTTTAAGAAAATAAAAAATAACAAAAAAAAGTAGGAAATACAATTTTCCACTAGTTAATTAAAAATAGCATTCAAAGTTGATTAAGGAATAAAAATAGATTTGAACTATAAAAAAGGGGTATAACCCATGTTTTGTAATTTTATAAGTTTAAAAGAGATATCAACCTCTTATTAAGATACAATAGTGTGCAAGACATAATCTGTCTTCACGGGCAAATTGAAGCATTGTCCAATAACATATACGACTTAAAAAGCATTTTGATATTTTTATTCATATTACACCTTAGCAGGCTTATAAACAACTTCTATTGCACAAAAAGTGTGACTCAGATAACAGATTAGTAATGCAGCAATCAAGTAAACGTGTGTAGAGTACGTAACATAAGCGGGGGATTCCAACCGTAGGTTTAATACTTTAATGTTTATCCATGGACCAAGTGGCCAACTATATTTTACGCTTTCGTTTTTTGTTTTTTTCGTCGAATAACTATATTTTACCTATGCTCCATCGAATGGATAGATTTTTTTACTGTAACCCAAAAAAATTTATCCATTTTATGATTTACCAATATAATTCTTTCTTTTCTTCTTTCAAAAAGAAAAACAAATAAAATTAATAATTAATTAAAAAATGCCCTCTACATTGCTTCCTTCCTTGTTCGCTTCATGTCATCTGTCACAAAATTCTTAAAGTGTTTGGGAAATTCAATTTTAATGGTAGTGAGTTTTTAATATATTTTTTATTATATTAATAAGAGTGAATTTTTAAATTTATTCTTACTAAAGAGAGAAAAATATTCTACGAGTACATCTAATTAATTAAGTCATTGTCAAAAGATTGTTTGGAAATGTTAATACAACTATTTTTAGAATGAAACATGCGCTTTGGACATCTCAAAATAAAAAGATGGACAAAATTTTTGAAACCGATTAAATATTAATACTTTTTAATTTTTAAATAATATAATGACCAACTATGGGCAAAATTTTTGAAACGAATAAAATATTACTTTTTAATTTTCAAATAATATAATGATCGGGAATATTGATCTTTCCCCCTCCAAGGTTAAAGTTACCTTCTCCATTCCTTTCACTTATTCCCTTCAATTCCATACCTTAAATTAAGTACCAAAATCAGCACAACCTCAAAACTAAATTTCTCCCACTTTTAATATTCTCTTAAAAAAAGTCCTGTCACAATGAAGTGACAACTTCAAATTATTCCACACAATCCATAATTGAAGTACTCCTCCTCCTAGTTCCTTCAAGAATCATCTAGCCAAAGAATCAGAAGAAAGATAAAGTATCATACATATATAATACATATATATATACATAAACAGAGTGGTGGCACAAGTTCTCAATGAAATATATGTTTCATAGCAAATATATTCATTACTATTGAGAGAGAGAGAGAGAGAGAGAGATCATATGGGGGAGGCACGTACAGTTGGGATTGGCATGGACTATTCTCCAACCAGCAAATCAGCCCTCCGATGGGCGATCGAGAATCTGATTGATGCAGGGGATCACATCATCACGATCCATGTCCAGTCACCCAAATCTAATCCCACCAATAAGAAGCAGCTCTTCGCAGACACTGGATCACGTACCATGCATACCTCCATACCCTATATATATATTCATTTGATCACATGCCAATCATATTAATTATTTACTTAAATTCATTTATTTTGGTGAATTTCAGCTTTGATACCTCTTGAGGAATTCAGAGAGGTTAATGTGTCTAAGCAATATGGACTTACCCCTGATCCAGAGGTCCTAGATATGCTTGATACCGTATCCAAAAAAAAAGGGGTAATTCTCTCTCTCTCTCTCTCTATATACACACGCGCGCACACACATATATATGTATATATTTTTGGGGGTGGTGTTGATTATGTATTTTGTGTATTTGGCAAATTAAGCAGGTTAAGGTGGTGGCCAAAGTTTACTGGGGGGATCCAAGGGAGAAGCTGTGTGATGCTGTGGAACAGCTGAAGCTTGATTCACTTGTTGTTGGAAGCAGAGGCTTAGGAGTCATTAAGAGGTGTGCACACACATTACACACACACACAGCTTTATTTGATCACTTCTATTGATCTATCTACATGTCCTCTTTTAAGAGCTTGAACACCAACACCCTATTGACATTGATCTAGCTAGCTGCTGAGAACTTCATGTCAATAGGAGGACATGTTTTTGTTTTCAGAAACTGTTTGACGTTTTTAGGAGCATGGAATCCTCAATCCTGAACTAGAAATCGAACCATGTTAATTAGTTCAAATTTCACACAATTTTTTCTCAAATTTCAATTCAAAAATCACATATTCCACACGTCTAAACGCATCGTGCATGAGTGTGATCTATTTTAGTGACTAAGATGGATATTATAGGACTTCAATCAAGTGCTTAAAAACTATATTTGAAAACAATGCATGCATATATATATATACACAGAGAGAAACTCTAATTAATCTATCAGACCTCATTTGAATATATATATATGTGTGTGTGTGTGTGCATGTCATGTAAGCACCTAACTAGTGCAATGATGCAGGATGTTGCTTGGGAGTGTGAGCAAGTACGTGGTGATAAATGCAACATGCCCAGTCACGGTTGTGAAGGCCACACCATTGTCCAAGCCTTCTTTTTCTGGTTCATGTTTGCAAAAAAGGCGAAGTACTACTGAATAGAAAGAAAAACAGAAAAGGAAGCCTTGTCAGAATGTAATTCAAACTTGTTGTATTAATTACTTTGTTGATGTTGTCCTCTCAACAATATAGCAATTATAAGGGTGGTGTTACCCAGGCCAATTCAGCTTAAGCCGACAACTCACAGTTGTGTGACTAACCCATTACACTAGAGTGAATATCACATATTATTACGTGAGTGCTCCATCAGACTGAAGAATAGATTATTGTAGTCATAATTAGGTCATGAATGCGTGAGGAGGATTCGGTAGCATGGTCGTCCTAAGCATATCAACAGGAGTAGCTAATATTTTAATCCCAATTTAATCCAATAATTCATATATGGAGGAATTATGGATTGAAACAATTTTAAAACAAGCATAGCACATACACTTTTACTTAGTACACATAGATCCCTAAAAAATTCAAACCAAACAAAAAGTACTAGACTTACCTTACAATAAAATCCCTCCAAGTCACATTATTAATATCTCCAGAATTACTACAAATCCTCAAAGGAAGGCAAATTCCAACCCCAAGCTCTAGCACACACCATTGGTCTTCTTCCTGTCCATCACAAACTTTCTCCAAGCTGCGGTGATCTCCCTCTGCACCTCAATTGCACTTTTCTTCACAACGCCATCTTCCGCCTTGTTCTCAGTAATTGACAACTTGGCACTGATCCTGGCCGGAAGCAAGTCCAGCTCGTGCATCACTTTCTCAATGTCAGCGACAAGGCGCTCCGCCAGTGTGCGCGAAAAATCTTCTCTGATCACTACACGGAGCACGGTTACATGTTGTGCGTCTGGTGGCATGGTGTAGGCTGGCACAATCCATCCGAACCGCCTCAGCGTTTCAGACACTTCGAACTCGTTGTGACGACTGTTGTCTTTCAGGGAGAAGGCTACCAGTGGCACTCCACAGTCTTTTGAGATAATGTTGAAGCGTTCCGTCTTCTCCAATCCTTCTTTTAGTACCATTGCATTTTCTTGACAATTCTCCATGATGTTCTTGTATCCCTGATAAAAAAAAGAAGCCACTAATTACACACACATACATACATATATACTTGAAATGTTTGTCACTTAACTTTGGTCATTTGGTGTTAGCTATATATATATTAACTTGAGATCGATCAGGTGGACTCACCTCATAGCCCAAGCGAATGAGTTGATAGTATTGAGCAATTATTTGACTAGAACCTGCCATAAAACCAAAAAATAGTTAGTACTTATAGTAGTAGTGTGTGTGTGTTGATCAGCTAGCTAGCATTGGATGATGAGGTAATTAAAGTTGGTTGAGTTACCTTTGGAGAAGTTAAGAGTGAAAGTGGGCTGATCAGCTCCAAGGTAGTTGATGTGAAAGATGAGCTCTTCAGGCAAGTCCACTTTGGTCCTCCAAATGACCCACCCAACCCCTGCATACACTAGTCCATACTTGTGCCCACTAACATTGATACTCTTCACTAATGGCAGCCTAAAATCCCACTCAAGCTCTGGGTACAGAAATGGTGCTATGAAGCCACCACTTGCAGCATCCACATGAATTGGAGTATCCCATCTACATATAGAAGATTAAGTAAATTAATAGGTGGGATAAAGCTAAACCATCTTAATTAATTAATATGGAAGCAATAGTTGCTTCGCATTATTCAACCTAGGGGAGGAGAGGTTATACTAGCTAAGCTAATGGACGCGTTTATATGTTTAGAAATTTGTTTGGTGACAAAGAGATTTAAATTAGGGATTACCCAGTCTGGCTGTTCTTCTCTATTAAGAGGTCATTTAAGCGTTTAACATCTTCAAATTCTCCATTAAGGGTGGAACCCAAGATTGCAGCCACACAGATTGTGTTCTCATCCACCATCTCCACTGCTTTCTCGGGGTCCATCACATAGTAGCCCTCCTTCAATTTCACCTCCTTCAGCTCTACCTCAAAGTACCTTGCAAATTTCTCCCAGCATACCTGCAAAAGCGAGAAAAATTAGAGTGATTAAGAAATAGTATGGACGAAGAGAAAAAGGAACTGGCCCGATAGCCTGACTGGCCCAATACCAAAAGATCAATGGACCTGGACCAAAGCCTTTGCAGACGGAACTTGTAGACCCGTCAATGGCCCAAAAGAAACACATGGCTTAATCTTTAAGCTTAGTGATTGAGTCACACTGGCATCATTCCCATGACTCACTTGGGACCGCTGACGTGTGAAGACCCGACGAACACGGGCTGCGCCTATAGATGGACTCTTGTTTTTTTATGCAATTTTATACCATGAAAGTGACCTCTTTTTTTTTCTTTTTTTCTTTTTCGTTTTTTTTTTTTCACCTAGAAATAGGTCTGACATATTATGCTACAACTTCCGACATTTATGTATAATGAAATGATCCTAGTTAAGCAATGCAAAAGTGTCAAGTAATTACTTAATTAATCTAAGTATTACCAACCAAAAATATTTAATCTAGATATGTTATTTTTCCTACAATTTGCACTAAACTCCCTTCACTGTCAATTTTTTGCAAATTATTGGCAGAAAACTCCTTCTCGCCCATTCAATTTTGTCACCTGATTTGTTGGTGCATTGGATCAAAATTAATTATTAGAGGAAATGATTTTAGTCGGTGCATCACCTTATCCAACCGCTCACAAGCCCCACCAACAAAATAATTGATGATGGTGATGGAAGGACCTCCACAATACAATATTAAATTTTGATGGTAATGGAAGAGATATATATATTTTTTTTTTAGTAACTCGGGGTATCTGAGGTTTTACCCGACTAACTCCCGAGTACTTAAGAAGGACGCCTTCCCACTCCGGACCGGGAGAAGAGATAATTATTTTTATTAAATAGTTAGTTTTGTGAACCATCCAATACAATATTATATTGTACAACGATAATTCAAGCCCGTAAAATTGAACTCAAACAACAATGTGATTTATTAAATGTGGGAATGAGGCTTGTGATTGATACCTGGACGTTGGCACCGGTGACGATGTTGGGGTTGTCACAGGGCTTACCCAGGGCTCTCATCTTGTTTTGCCACTTCCTCTTGAAGGCTAACCCAGCCAGCATTATGGCCTCGGATGAGCCCACTGTTCCAACCCCAACTGCAGCCTCTCCATCTCCGAGTGGTGCGTTGAAAAGATGGGCTATCATGTTAACACATCTATTCTGCTTGTAAATAACATCAACATCATGTTAATACATCTACAAATTATGTAACTACAAGCATTTATTTAGGCTCAGTGTAAAATATTTTCTAAGTAATAGAATGATTTTTTTTTTTTTCAGTATTTGGCAAAGGTCTTGAAAATATTTTTGAATTAAAATCAAAATTCTTATTTGAGTCATTGATTATTCAATTTTTTTCTTACCATCAATTGGTTCAATTATTTTTATATCAACAATAATAATTATTTGACAGAAAACTTAAAAAATAATCAATTGATTTTTGAAAAAATAATAAGAAAATCGAAACAAGTCTCTGTTATCGAATGCAACAAGTGAGTATTTTTTTCTTCCACTTTACACATCACTTTTTAAAGTTTTAAAAAAGTAATAGTACAAGTTAATCACTAAGCCAATAATAATGACAACAAAATATAATAACAAAAGCAAATTGAAGAAACCAAAAATAAGAAATTGCATGATTGTCGTTAAAAAAAAGATATGTCTCGTGCCTCATATGGGCTTTCTCTTAGCAGTTGTTTTGTTTTCGGTCACTGTAGCACATATAAAAGGGCTCATCTTTTTTTCTCTCTAAAAACTCTCTTTTTTAAAGGTTTATTTTTTTCTCTCTCTAGACACTCTCTTTCTTTCTCTAAAAAATATCTAGACTACTTTTTGACACTATGTAACTCTTTCACGTACTTTATTGATGTTTTTGATGCCTTGTGCTCTTGTTGAAAAGATCTAGAGTGAAATTGATAGGCTTGGAAAATGATTTTTAGATGATTAATTGATTAATTATTTTGGTTAAGTTTTGAAAAATTATTTTATTCCATAAGAGATTTTCTTTGAATTTGAGACTACCAAATACAAAAACAACACAGAAAATATTTTAAGCTCAAACAAGCATAACTTTGAAGAAATCCATCCATTTAAAGAAATATTAAAAAGATACATATTAAAGTTCGACCATTCTACATCATTTACACTTGCATTGCACTTGGAAGCAAAGGAAGGCAATTTGAAATTAAAAGGGTGAAAAGTTAGTTTAAACTTTGAAATAATTTTTTTCAATTTTCCAAATAAAACTTTAATATTTTTAATAATTAGAGAGTCTGTAGTGGCACTTCTATTTTTTTCTTAATATAAAAATGACAAAAAAATAAAAAATAAAATTCTAATAGTTGATTGTCTTGTGAGTTAGAGATACTACTATCACTACTTTCCAAAAATGTCATCCGGTGGTGACCCACCAATTCCTCTTTTGTTTCGGAGTATATTTTTTCCCAGATGTATTCCAATTTCACATTTATTCTGATCTAGCAATATTACAAAAACTATATTCTAAACCGACTAAACAATGGCAATACAAACGGACACGTGACCAGTAGGAAAAATAAATGCCCTTTTTTTAACGAATAATCACGTGCTACATTATTTTAAAAAATTAAAATTTGAACCGATTTAACAATACCAAATACCAATACAGACAGACACATGACGAATAAAAAATTACAATTTTTTTTAATAATAATAATAAATAAAAAAGAATAAGTAACTCCACTTGCTGAGTCACTTTAAACATTTATAAATTCTGAATTGTGGGAATAATCACGGACTAACATTATATAATTCCAGAAAGGACACTACGTTTGGCACACGCAACAACTAGTCAGCTGTCGTATAGAAGAAGAAACAAGAACTCTAGACTGGACTTTACCTACAAAAAGAAAAGAATTCTAGACTGGACAGTAAAAAGGTTTCATTTTCATGTGCTGTCGCATGGACCACTACTATTGGACAGCAAAAAACCACCTCTTTTGACCCGAGCGTCTTCAATTTTTTTCTTCTTCTTTTTTTTTTTTTTTTTTTTTTTTTAGGAGATATTCATTATTGGACCGTCTTCGATATTCATTCATAATTTGTTCAGAAAAGAAAGTCAACAATACTACACTAGTATTATAAACTTTCATATATAGGGAGTCACTTGCGGTGTCTAGCAAACCTCCTTTCCTTATCATCACAATAATAGATTAAGGTATGTATATAAAACACGTATTTTATATTAATGAATATCTTTAATGGTAGGATGTTAGTGTTTGCGTAATATATAATATATCTCATTTACTCAAATGTTTAAATTAAAAACAATCATAAAATTCAAATAAATCTTCTCATGCCTTCATTGTCATCAATGAAACACTTTTTCGTACCCTTTGAACAAGAACCATGGTCATTGTGATGCTTTCAAAAGAATTGAAAGACTATTCTCAAAATATTTGACGCAGTCTAAGAAATTATTGTACATGTTATTTTTTTAATAAGTAATGCCGTCTGAAGAATAGCCTATTTCTGTATACCAATCAATATTAGTTAGGAACCAGTCATACCCCATACATATATATATATATATATATATATATGAATATTTAATTTGACCTAGTCTATAATTCACTCGATTAGTATTCTACTATTCTCTCTTTCATTGGATCAAGAAGCTGAGTCAACTGTTGTTTTGAACTTTCGATATTTTTTTAATATATTAGGTTCCAGGACGACCCAGTAAAACATGTGAGATGGTCGGAAAGGGCAGCTTGTAACAAAATAAAAAAATAAAAAAAAATAATGTTGAATTCTTTTAATAATTCCAGTGGATGTGAATTTAATATTTAATAGGGATATAATTTTAAAAAATAAAATTAATAGGTATAAAATACAAAAAGGAAAGAATTCCTACATTAGTCCGTGGTGTGTAATTAAATAAATGAATAATTAGATAAAAATAAAATAAGTAAATCAAGGAGTAATCCACTGGGGATGAACTTATACAGTGATCAAATAACGAGAGATCCAATGGTAGGTAATAACTGGTTGACCTTTTGTAAAATGATTATATATAACAACTTAATAGGATCTCGCTTTCACAATCGCACGTAAACTTCGGGTTTCTTCTATCTCTATATTGAAGGAATATTAATTTAAAAAGAAACAAATATATATATATATAGAGTCAGTGCATATACATACGTATATAGATATATAATAGGAGTATATGACTATATGAGTGATTGACCTGTAACTCGGTGGTGACAGGGTACTCATCCATATCAACGTAGTTCTTGTTAATGGCAGCCATGATGAGTTTATCACACTCTGGCTCCATCCATGTGGTGACGAAGGAAGCCAGGTTCAGTCTGGGATTACCATCAAGCATTAGCTCATCGTTTATGATCTGGTACGCCGCTTCCTTCGGGATCGACTCATCAGGCATTTTGAACCTAAAACATTCATTAACATTCATCGATCCATCAGTACCAAATCTAATCCAATCAACAAGATACATACATACATACATACATACATACATACACATATATATAGATCATCACCTGGGAAGTGAAACTCGAACGTATCGAGAAGCAAAGGTTGAGTGGACGGAGACATCGCTCTGGGATACAGTCTTGGAAAGAACCATGGTATGGTATGATAGAGAGACGGAGAAATTAGAGGGAGGGGGAGAAGGAGAGAGAGAGAGAGGTGGTGTTTGGAAGTGAGGATAGACAGGTAGAGCAATACAGAGAGAGCTATTTATATAGGTGGGTAAGCTTTTACTTTTTATGAATACAATAAATTTTTTTTTCCCCTGAACTATTCAATGCATTAAATAAACGGTATTTACCACCTTCCTATTTCCTTGGTTTTTTCTTTTCTTATCAAACTCAGTGGTCACAATCCTGTCAAACCAACCAAACCATTTTCAGACCAGACTAATCATATTGTTTATTTGTTGCATCGAGTCTAGAATTTTTTTTTTTTTTTTGTTATATATATAATAATAATAATAATAATAATAATTACCATTCATTTCCTCTCAAAATAAATGTCATGATTTTCTTTTTTGCCTCTTTCAAAATAATAGTTCACTTTATTTTTTTTTTCAAACAATATCTTTTACATATTTTCATATATGTCATTTATTCAAAACTTAAAAGGACAAGTTAATAATTTTTCCGACAGACAATACACATGTCATATGTCTCTTTAAAAATTACTACTCTTTACAAGCGGCACTTAAATTAAAACAGTGGAGTAAAACATTGTTTTTGGCATCATCATTGCTCCTAAATATACATTAATCATTTGGTGTTTGAAAATGCAATCCCTAACTAAACAAAAATTAAATTATACAATCACTCATAATGAATATCTCATAAATTCATAATTAATGAATGTGTAGTTACTAGGCAGTATGAAACTTTTTAAAAATTATATACAAAAAAAATATCAGCCATGTGCTTCCACTCATCCCAAATTGAATGTTTGCTGAAAATCAATCCGTTCCACTTGTTAAATACTAGTTTATATGGTTCATTAATAATCAAATTAATATGGACTAATATTTTAATACATTATCACATCTTAAATTGTGATACGTATTCCCTTCGTTTCAAAATAAGCTATCATACTTTCTTATTTTGTCAGTCACAAAATAATAGTTACTTTTTTTTTTTAAAACAATATATTTTACATCTTTTCATATATATCATTTGAGTTTAAAATTTCAAACTTAAATATTCAAAACTTAAAAGAAAGTTAATATTTTTTCAAGTAGACGATGTAAGTCCCACATATCCCTTTAAAAATTACTAGTCCTCATAAGCGACACTTAAATTTGGACGGCGGTAGTAACTTTCAGAATATAAACAATGGGTTATAAAATAAAAAATAAAACTCCTTTCTAACATTTTTCAAAATATAATTTCCTTTTTTTAATATAGAATATTTAAATAATAATTAAAAAAAACCCTTCTTTCTGCTTTTCCTTTAGGGTTCGTTTGGTTAGATAGAAATTTATGATGGAAAGCTAAAGTGAAAGAAAGCGAATGAAAGGAAAAGAAAATCAAATTTTCAGTGTGCATTTGGTTAGGAGGAAAATTTTTCAAGAAAGTTGCTAAAAAATAATATTTGTTAGTTTGAATATGGTGAAAATGAAAAAAAATGATTCTATTACCAAAACTATCCTTAAGAATTTAAATATTTTAAAATAAAATTGTGTTTGATGAATCACCTTATACCTAGTTGTTTATATCTATTTTTAACAAAAATAAGAAATAAAATTATATATTATTAAAAACAATAATATAATTATTTCTATTAATATCTAAATTGTATATTTAACTAACACAACAATTGTAAAACTCAAATATGGAAATTGTAAGTTCCCAATTAAACTAAGAATCCCAATAGCCTACAATACCAACACAAACCCTAATTTTCCAATAAAATTAAAAAAAACATGTATGTATGCTATTCGATATCAATCATTATTAATAAAAAATTAATTTTATATGCATATATAGAATACCAATTTACAAAAGAAAATCTACCTCTACGTGTAGTTTATGAAGAAACTGAAAAGTGGAGAGAAACAAGGAGAGAAATAAGGAGAAAATGAAGAAGAGTGGGGGGAACCACTGACAGGGACACAGGAGAAACAAATATACAAAGTGACTAAGTTTTGCGAGAAAGTAAATTTTCACCTGTTTTGTACTGAAAAAATTTAAAAAAAAAATTCATAACCTGCAAGAATCTACATTCTCGCAAATTTTCAATTTTCACCTAACCAAACACATACAAATTTTAATTTTTTTATTTTTCTCTTCCTTTCTAACTAGTTTTTCCTACCCAAACGGACCCTTCCAATTATTAGAGTGAGAGCGCCCATTCGTTCTTTTTAGGCATGCAAGTCTTTTCTATCAACATCTGATATTCCGATTCCTCATAATAATCTATCACTCCTACAAAATGGATTTAATAAAATACAACTTTGCCTACTTTTTCTTTTAAAAATAGGAAAAATATAATATTTTATATTTGTGGTACCAATAATAAAATAATAAAAGCACGTTATTTGAATAACGACGGAACATTCCAGGGCTTGGAAGATTGTGTCGGCTTACATGATCAACAAATTGAAACCCACTATAGGGAAGGAATGATCAACATAAAAACTTGGACACCCAAGTTTTCAATTGGGACATAATTGGAAACCCAAGACTTTGGTGTCTTCTGACTGGACTTCCACATTAGAAATTCAGAAAAAAGTGTCACCTGAAAGATTGTTGTATCATATATGATGAATTGTATCAAACTATGTTAACTACTAGTCTACTACTTTTAAACTGTGTTAATATAATTGATCACTGATTTTAACAGTGGAACTGATAATCTATGGACGGTCGTGGTTTGTACCACTCTTGGTTAATTGATTTGGACCATAAATGGTTGAATACCTTTTTCATGTTCTTTTACTGGGTGCTTGGTGAGGTGCAAAGTTGGAGATAAAGTGCAATTCGGTCAATTGTATCGGGTCGGGTCAATCATACCAAACCTTCAAATCGAGTCTAATTTGAGACCATATTTTACTCAGTCCCACAACTCATGCGATCTTGTAACTTGGGTTGAAGAGTTAATTTGGATCTCTTCTGTGCATTAAAAAAAAAAAAATTACAATTTTGAATATAGATATAAAAGTTGAGAATTAATTACTCAAAAGAACTAAAATTTATAAAAAATAAATTAAAAAGTTAATCATAATTATAAATAGAATAATGATTGTGCACCGAAGGTTATCCCCCAAATAATGATCATATATGTTACATTGATTGAAAACTTTTGTTTGTTCCTTTGGCGAGTATGTAAAGTTGGGCAATGTTCCATCTTGTCATGCATGTCGAATCTGATCCCCCTAGGATACTTTCTTTTTCCCTCTTATTTATTTATTTAAATAATAAGCTGTAAAAATGTGTGTGTATATATATATATATATATATGCATGTACAGATATAATACAAATGCGAATAAAAAGTAGTGATAAAAAGGTATATATTAGCATTTACATGCATATTATTTGTTTTTATATATATATTTCAATAATTATTATGTTACTCTTTTTTTTTAATATTTTTCAATCATATCCCAATGGTAAATCAAATTAAAGAGTGATGAAATAAATTTAAGGTTGTAAAGTAGTACAAAAATTTATATTTAGATAAATATATATGCAATTCTACAAATATTTTGTACCGAACGTTCTCCATCCTCATGACTTTATTAGTATTTCGAAACTCTAATTTGATCCACTTTTTTTCCGCTTAAGTTCAAGATTTATTACTTTGATTTGAATATTATACCGAGCTTATTTTGAATTAGTAGACTCCAATTTGACTCTTTTATTGTAAATAATCTTTTCATAGAAAGAGAAAGAGAGGTCGAGTAAATTTTTAGGAAGAAAATAAATAAAACTTGTATTGCTAATAGTAGAGAAAAATTGAAGAGAATTTGAAAGAAATAGGCAAATTTTTAGTGAGAGAAAGTGAATTTCAAATCCAACTTTGAATAGAAAAAATAAAATAAAATAATCGAAAAGAGAAGAAAGAAAGAGAAAAAGTGAAAGGTCTTCAATTAAAAATAAGGTTAAATATCGAACACCACCCAAATAATAATAATATATGAGTGACATTTGAAAAATATCACCTGTGTCACATTTCTTTTAATAGTCCAAAACAGTAGGTAACACCACTAGCCAAATAATGGCATAACTCTCATGTTCCAGGCATAAAAATAAATAATTAAATAAGGGCATACATAATTCATGTCATTGCTATAAGTTTATTGCTTATTTTTTAGGTTAAAAAAAGTTATGATTCAAATTATTGTGGCATGAAATTATTAAAAATAATTTTTTCAAGTTTAATTAATAATAGGTGGAATAAGTTATTATAAATACTTTTTTAAAAATAAATAGAATAGTTAAATAACATGCAACCAAAAAATGAAAAAACCAAAAAGATAAAAAAATTTAATCCAATGAAAAAATAATAGTTCATTTGTCTCAACTCACAGAAAAATATATATATTTATTAGAGTAATTTTCACTCACACCTCGAGATTTGGGTCAACACCACTCAGTGGCCGGTCAACACATTAATTTACATCAATACCCTCCTCATGTTTCAAAAGTGTTCATACACACCCCCTCTACCTGAAAAAATAACTATTTTAATCATTGACTTGGTCAACAAATATATAAAAGTATAAATTATTAATATAACCCCCTAAACTAAATTTTGAAGGACCAAAATAGTTAAGGTTATACATAATAGGGTAAAGTACAAAAAAAACCCCTTTAATTATGTCTAGATTTGCAAATAACCCCCTTGAACTATGTTCTGTGCATAAAACCCCCTAAACTATCACATTTGGTTGCAAAATGCCCCATTTGTCTTACCTATTTTTCATTAAATGATTATAATACCATTTCTTATTGAATTACACTTGATATAATTTTCTTGTTCAAATAAATTATGAAAAAAATTTATACTAATTTGATTAAATATTCTCCATTAAATTTGCATAAGTTTGCCTTTAATTTATTAAATAAAAATATTAAATAGAAAATTTTGAAACAATTTAAGTAATTTCTTAATTTTCATGAATATGTTGCATTAAAAAGAAATATTTTTTATTTACATAATTTATTAAATTTTCATGAATATTGTTTGAAAAAGAAGATGTTTTTTTATACTAAATTTTTTTAAAGTAAGTATAATAAGTTTTATTATAATATGTTAATCATTTTAAAAAATGTTAGCTACAAATCTGTTTATTTATTTTTTTCCATTTTTATAATAGAAAATATAATAAAAATAATTTAATAAGAAATGACAAATTTAATAAGAAAAGGTAAAATAATCTTTTGTGATGTATTTGACCTTAGTTGCAAAAAGTCAATAGTGCAAGGGGATTAGTTGCAAAAAGTCAATAATTCAGAGAGATTTTTTGCACTTTATCCTACATAATATAACTCTAATAATCATAATTATAAATATATATATAAAGTTGTGTATATATATAATAATAATAAAATTACTATAAAACTCGATAATTCTATTTGATTTGAGTTTATATTTTCTGTCATCTCATCAAGACAACCTTAGCCTAAAAAGTCTAAAGTAGCATGTGCCCAGAATTGAGTGTGTGGAAAACCAATCCGTCCAACCATCACATATGTGTGTATTCGGATTTGAGATTGTCGGCTCTACCATCTCCGCTTGAGTTTCGGTCGGTGGAACCCCACCCAAATAATACTGTAATAATATTTGAGTGGACATTTTAAAAATATCAGTGTTACATTTCTTTTAATAGTCCAAAACAATAAGGAACACCACTAGCCAAATAATGGCATATAGTCAAGTTAAAAACTTCCTGAAATATATATATATTGACAGTAATATTTAGATGGGTTTATGAAATTAAGTCATGTGTGAATAATTAACTCCAAACTTCTATCGATATGGTGCAAAATAATGTGTAAAATACCTCTATATTATTGATTTTGTTGGAGGCTTAAAATGATGATAATACCTTCGTTTCAATAGAATAAATTAATAAATAAATACAAGTCATGTAAAATGATCATTTTGTCCAATTTGTGTAGGATTGTGTTTGTTTGAGATAAAAATAAAATAATCTAAACCAAACAACCCCAAAACCAGATATAATATTTGCTTCAAAAAAAAATTAATAATGTTTACCTTCAGAGGGAGCAGTAATTTGCCCCATTGCAAGGAGCAAAACAAGAAAATGAGATGGCGAAAACACTCCATTCCATCATCCCCAAGCCTTAGAAATCATATAAGCAAAAGAAATAATATCAAGTTGTAAATTATCAATTGATAAGCACTTCAAAGTCAAAAACTGAAAATAAAAACAAAAATTCATAAGGAACTGATGGCCTGGGGAAAGAATCACCGCAAGTAGACTAATACACTTTAAACTAATATACATATGAATTTTTCCCGAATAGTGTACAACTATACATACATACATATATATATGTATATATATACCTACAAGTTCGTCTGTACTTCTTTTGATACCTACAAGTTGTAATACGTATATTTTCCAAGGCCGTGTATGCTCGAGCAAAATTAAATGGCTATGTTGAGCTGAGTACCATTTATAATCAGCAGAGAGAAAATGTACCAACGTGTTTTCACTTTTCCTTTCGTTTCCTCAGCAATCAAACAGAGGGTTGAATTAAACCCATTCTATTGCTAGGAAAAAACACATAGCAATCAATAGAACCTTCTTAATACTTAAAAAAAAAATTCAAAGAAAAGGAAATTAAAGATAATACAAATAAACAGTAGTAGTGTAAATCCTAAAAAAATCTTACCTGAGATATGAGTTGAGTCAAATATTCAAGAAAATATATGGGAATTTTTTTTTTTTTTAAGTTGTTAGGGGCAAAATGGGAACAAAAATGATAAAATCGAAATTTTATATTTACTTTTTGCCAAAAAGTGGTCAGATGGCCTTATTTTTACCTTTTTTAAAAAAATAAAATTTTATGGACATCTTTTTAAAAAGGTAGGATGCATTTTGTATTAACCAATATTATAGGGGTTTTTTTTTGCACTTAACCCATATATATACGAGGTTTCAGATTTGGGGTATACAAATTGGGTTCGATTTGGGATTTCTCATGGTGGGTGGTGGTAGTAGACTGGATCTTGGCTTCGCGAGGTGGCGGAGCAGTAGCTTAATGGTGATGATGCTAGAAATAGTCTCGCCGCGGCCTATCTTGTTCTTAATTGCTAAGGCTTTTTATGCAGTGGTTGAGGTGACGATTGTGGTGTTTGTGGGGTGGATGTTGCGGTGGTGAGTGGATAGAGAAAGGAATAAAGGGGTGGATGGTGGTGGAGTTATTGATGATGGGTGGTGGTGGACCGGTAGTGATCAATGGTGATGGCAATGGCGGTTAATGGTGAGAACGGGTCGACAGATGATAGGTATGGTTATGGGGTGGATGTTGCAGTGGTGAGTGGGGATAAAAAAGGGCGACCAATGGTGGCAGTGATGGTGTTTAGTGGCAATGATGGCAATTGGTGGCGACGATGGTGGTGGTTTGTAGGGATGACAATTTGGTGGATTTGGGCAAGTTTTAGGCGGGTATTGAATGAGTTAGTCGTGAATGGGCTAATAACTCATTATCAATCCACCAATGGTGGGTCATAAATGAGTTAGGGGTCAAATGGGCGAGTCAACCCACTTCAACCTCTTTTGTTTTTTTTTTAAAAAAAAGAGAAACACAGGCTGGTGATATCAAACCTTTACTTATCAAAGGGAAGTTAAGGGTTCAAGCCTTAGTACGTACATGCGTGTATGAGTACCAATTATGAAAAAAAGAAACAAACATGTGAAGATGTGATCCTAAAAAAGCAAATTCAAATCAGAAGTACCAACGACATGACGATAATAACTTAATTAAATTATTTTTCACGCATCATTTGTTTATTGCTAAGACTAGTAAAAAACTCGCAAGAACTTCTTATGTGTTTTCCTTATTCGATATTTCCCCTTTCATGTAAAACAAAAAAAAATATATATGTATATATATACACACACACACTTACACATACATACAACATATATATAAATTTAGCATTTTCAGCAATCTGTTAAAATACTCTTTTGTGTAAAATTTATACTGCCATGTATGATATATATATATATATATATATATATATATATATTTATTTATTTATTTATTTATTTATTTATTTCCAATAATCTGTTAAGATACATTGCCATGTTACCAATGTGTAAAATTATTGTGTATTTTACACAACCTTTTTATACAGCCACATTAACATATTTCATTTCTCTTTCCTATTTCTCATTCCATTAACGAATCAACACTATATTAAGTAGATTTGTAAAAATTATGTGAAGTCCAGGCATGATACTGGTTGATTGTTATTGAAAGATATGTTTTTACATAAAAGATATAAAACAACAGTTGGAGCTAAAAATAAAAAATTCAAATTTTTTTTGTAAATCTATTATGACACATCAGATTTACATAAAAAAATATACAACGGTTGGAGATGCTTTTATATACTATTCTTACCAACTATATATATATATATATATAGAGTATATATTATAGTACTAAATACACCCATTTAAAAATTAGTTTAGATGTAAAAACTGACAGGGTGTCATTGTTTAAAAAAAAAAAAAAAAAAAAAAAAAAACCTAACTTACATATGACTACCATCAATAGGGAAAATCTTATGAGATTTCATTGTAATTTATCAAAATAACAATAATAATAATAATAACAACAATAACAATAACATTATTGAGATACATATAATGCAATTATCTAGAACCTTTCATTAACAAAACTAAAAAAAAAAACACATGAAGTGATTTAATTTTTTTTATATATGAAAGGTTACACCCACTATTTTACCCAAAAGAAAAAAAAAAAAAAAAAAACTTTGTTGATCAAATAATTATCATAATAACTTTAATGTGTTATTCAGCTATATATTTTTCGTATAAAATCAAATGTATTAAGTGTAACGGTTATTTTTTTTTCCTTCCACATAAAACGGTCCAAATGGAAGTAAGAAAGATGCAGGCTTCACAAAAGCAGAACAATGATATTGAAGTACCATCCTTGTGCACACATGTAAAAAAGAATTAGGATTTTGTTAAGTGGGTTAAGTTTGGTACGCATTTTAACCAATTAATTACAATGGGTGCCTATTTTTTACCTATTAATTACTCATTAATTTAAACTGGGTATCCAAATAAATTAATTGTAATAGATGGGTTGGGTATAAATTGCCACCCCCAGTGGTTCGTGGCAACTCTAATTCTCCCTCGTCATCTTCTCTGGTGTTGGAGGGGGAATTTTTTTTTCCTAGTTGTCATTATATAGGGGGTTATTTTTGTCATTTAACATGCCTGATATATTTTTTTATAAAATTGAATTAAAAATTCAGTAGTATTTATAACCTCTAAAATCTTAGGGATGTCAATATAAACAAAATCGTTGATTAGCTGCTGAGTGGCATTAACCGAAACCTTAAGGGTGTTGTGCAATTTATCCTTATTTTTATTTCTTTTTAAAGTAAACACACCTATATATTTTTGCTCTAATGGGGTGGACTAATACTACTAAATTTTTTTTTTCTTTGGGCTAGGCTAAAGTTATATTTAGTAATTTTTTTTTTTTTTTGGGGTGGGCTCAAGCCCACCAGAGCCCACCCCTGGCGGGGCAAAAAATTACATTACATATTTTTCTTAAAATTTATTTTTACCATACTGTATTCAGTTTATATATACTGTACATACTTGTAATATTACAGGGATGTTTTTTTGCTATATTCCGGTCCGTCATTTCATCTTCATCAGCCACGGAGAAACGGACAGTAACCAGCAAAAAGCTCCAATGAGAACTCATATTTTCAAGTTTCCCGCCAAGGCTGCAAAGACCTCTCTCTACCTCTTAACGGGCACCGGCGTCGCCACCTGCACCTTCCAAACCCTAAACCCTAAATCTCTCCCACTTCCCGATGATTCCACACCTTTCTCCGACAAAATTAGGATACTGCTCGACGGTGTCGTTCGCTCCTCTCGCGCTATCTACACCGTCTGATTCTTTTCACAATCTTTGATCAATTTCACTCTCTCTCTTTTACCCCACACTAGATCATAGCTGATGATTGTTTGATTTTCTGTTGTTGTTTCTTGTAGATCACTTCCAATGTCGTTGATTACAAGTATTCTTTACGCGGATTATCGGAGAATTCGGATGAGTATCTACGCGTTCTATCTGAGGTTCGCTCTTTCGTTATTGGAAGACAATGGTTGAAAATGAATGATTTATACTATATTCATATGTTAATATTTAGGGTTTTTATGTCAATGAAATAATTGCATGAAGAACTTTTGCATATTAGGATTGAACTTTGAAATGCAATTTTGTAGTGTTAACTGCGTTATGACTACTGAACCATCAAATACAGAGAAGCTCATTACATATTTAAATAATCTAAATCTAATTGTGATTGCGTATCAAGTTTGGGATTGTTTGCATATGATTCTGGAAAAATATTTGTTGATTTTGGAATCCAACTTGATTTTCCAAATCAAGTTTTTCATCATATTTAGAAGACACATGGAATACATCTATTAGAAACTGGTGTATCAACACAAAGACAAAACTCCAAAGGACTCTGTTTACAGTTGGGCTATTGGAGAGATTTTGCATTTGACAGCATTCACTGTGTATAGAATATGTGATGTTTTGTGGCTTTTAGGTCCATCTACGCTCTGCAAAGAGAGTTTTAAAATTATGTGAAGCCAACAAAGGTTTCTATGTGAAAGCTGGTCAGTTTGTTGCAGCCATGCGGCAGGTCCCTTCAGAATACTCATCGGCTCTTTCGTCATTGCAGGATCAGGTTTTAAACGATATATGTTTTGAAGTACCTTTCATTTATGCTAACTTTTGATTCATTTTATTGGTTTTGATGCTGATTTTTGGTCAACAATGCCTTAGGCAGTTCCTTGTCATTTCAATGCTATAAAAGAAGTACTAATCAACAATCTCGGAGCGGATTTATCAGAGAAGTAAGTTGTAGGTGCTAAATGGAAATTCAAAGTTTCCAGTCATAGTATTTGTTATATGCTTCAAATTCCCTCTCCTCGTAAGAATTTATCATGTTGCCAATCTAGCATACCCAACATGTTCTTGTAGCCCCAACACTGGCATAAGAATTGCTGTAAACGTCTGCACTTTAGACTTCAGAGAACTCTACTATCTTTAATCTTTCGTGCAGTCTGATATTTGGTTGTTGTCTCCCCACTGTATCTATCATTATCTCAATCTATCAATATATACTTAATGGTCTTTGGACATGCACATCAACGATCAATGAATAAAACTCAGAATGTTAGGACTTTGGCTAAAACATTCAGGCATGTGCATATCCCAATGAAATCCATATATGTTGGTAGATATTGATCTAGTAGATGTAAAAAATGTGCTCTCCTATTTTTTTTTTTTCCGTCTTTTGCACCTTCTTTGTGTTCAAAAGCCAGTCATCCACTTTTGTCTTTTGATGATTGCCTTGTTTGTCTTTCCATCCATTTGATCATTATGCCATATAGGTGAACTGTTGTGATTTCTTTTTCTTTTTCTTTTTCTTTTTGTAGATACATTGACATGGTATAATTACTGTTGACCCAATATCTTGGAGATTCCTTTTTTGAACATGTTTATCCATAATCTCTTAATCATGAATTTCTCACAACCTTACATTATATATGTATTTGTTTGAAAATTCTCGTAGTAGTGCCGTATCAATAGAATTTCCTTTAAACTGAAAGTTCTCACAGCACTTTGCTGGTAGACTGGTGGTTTGCTCAGTTATATCAGTTCCATTATTTTGCAGCTTATTGTGCCTCCAGGTTCTTACCATCTTGAAGATGGCTTGTTCAATTTAATCAACAACTTGGCTAAGCCAGTCAAAAAGTCGTCTGGGTAGGATCCCTCTGAAAAGCAGTGTAGGTGAAAATTAATGGCACATGGCAAAAGCATGTCATAGTGTGATACTGATAGCTGCTTCATCTAGATTAAAAATTTGATCTTGAATGAAAAAAGTAAAAATAATAACAGTTCTTCCTTTATGACGAGAAGTGCACGGCACACTGTTTCTCCTAAGATATTTGTGTACATAATCAGGTCCTCACTAGTTTCTGTTCAGAAGGCCATGATTCTTTGTTGACTTGGGGTTTATTTGTGTAAATATCAGATTTTTGTCAATAGATAAACAACCAATTGCTGCTGCATCTATCGCTCAAGTACACCATGCCGTACTGAAAGACCATCAGGAAGTAGCGATTAAGGTTGGTCAGTAATGCAATGCCATTATTAATTTTTTTTTTTTGCTTTAAATTTCCCTTCACTTTTTTTTTTTTTTTTTTGTGATCATGTGATCCATCTATTAATAAATAGTTACACCATTTGAACACATGCAAAGGTTTTTGTGCATTTGTAAGAGCTTGTACCTACCTTTCGTCGATGCTTTCTTTGATTTTCCTTGCCAAAGAAGACATTGTTGTGTGATCAAGGAGTTTTTTGGGGGGCGTGGGGGATTGATGTTCTTTATTCCTTGTAAAGCACACCATCCACTTCATTTTAATAGGAGATACGAGAAGCAGCTCATTTTTGTGCTCAACTCGGCAAAACCTTTCCCCAACTATCTGAGTTGCTCCATTAATCCTGTTTCACCATTCTACTTTATTTGATGCCATAACGTCAGTTAAACCCCTTGCAATCAGTTTTTTGCTATCTAAACTCTTGTCAGTTTTGGTCTTCCCCTTCTTCCAGCGTTGCTCTTAATAAGGACCGTTTCACTTTTCGTACGATAGCATTACCTGCAATTACTTCATTTATGCGTTAATCAATTATTTCCTCCTAAAAATGATAGTCAGAATATGGAGCACTTTACACTTATTAAATAAAATGATAGTCAGTGGTACAAATGAGAAGAGTCTCTACATAATTGAAGACTAGCCAGGTGGGTTACTGCATTGACTGCCACCAGTTTGGCTTTTGTATGATGATAATTCATAGCCATTGGATTGATGCATAGACATACCTGTTCATCAACAACTGTTGTTGGGCTTTCCTATACTAATGTCTTAAGTGTAAATATTGCCTGCAGCACATGTTTTATCGATCTGTTTGCCAGCACAAGTATGTGTGGTCACAGGTCAAAAGATGGAATCATATTTGTTGCGAAATCAAACAGAAAACACAAGAAATAGATCAAACACACACACAACAAGAACACAGATTTTACTTGGTTCACCCAAAATTCAAGGATACGTTCGAGGGTTGTAGGGATTTTCACTATGATGATAAAAAAACAATAGCGGATACAAAGAGTTAATGAATAAATACCCTCGCACTAGGGCAACATAACAAGTATGAAAAATACCAAAATACCTTCCAAAAAAGTTGGATCCGCGGAGTTGGGGCTTGGTGTACAGTATCTATCAGGCTCCACACTACCCATCAATATTTACTGCATGTGTGTATTTTATTTTGTTTCTATTCCTCGTCTTTATTGTTTACCCTTCTTGTTATTTTTACACAGTTTCAATTAGAATGAAAAGAATTCATGTTCCATTCTCCCCCCCCCCCCCCCCCCCCCCTAATAATTATTGCATGAGGTGGATTATATGAAAATATCCCCACTTAATTGTGAAATGCTTTTCTGTTACTTGGAGCACAGGTGCAGTATCCTGGGTTAAAGCAGACGATGAAATTAGACATTGCAACTATGTCTTTCCTCTCAAAATCTGTTGCATTGGTATGGCCTTTATAAACTTATGATTCTTGGTTTCTATCATAATATTGACTGAAAAAAATGAGTTAAGTTATTTATTGTTGGAACACAGGATGAAATTAGACACTTCAAGGCATGGGTATGAACTAAATTCCTTATAAAATTGTGATCTCTAGTTGAGGGTACACCATTGACGGAGAAAAAGAAAAGAATAGTAAAGTCATTTATTGTTAAGGTTGATAACTTTTCATTATCTGGGACATTCAAGTTCAGTTCGGTTAGGCGAAGGGATGTATTCTGGTGGCTAACACATTTTGACAAGCTGGGTTTGTTCTAAGTTTTCTAGTTAAATCAAGTGATATTTGGATACCAATGCTGACAGACATCTTTGTCTGAGTTGGTTTTGGGTTAATTAGGTGTGAAATATCCCAAATGTTTTTGCACGCATCACCTTCCAGTCTTTCATAAACCTTTCGTCTATTAATACGGTAATACCTCAGAATTTCATTACTACTTTCATCAGTGAGTATAAGTACTGGTTAAAGTATAGTCAGCTGTGGAGATTTTCTTTTAGGCGTCATTTTACCATATCTTAGGCTTACACTCTCAGCTCAACCCACTTGAAGGGTTTAATTTCAACTACTTGGGATATGCTACATGAAATCTTATGCTCCAGCTAGTTTTATATTGAGCTACCTAACTCATATTTTGAGTTAAAAGTTAGGCCCATGCCTGAACACTTGTGCTTTTCAGTATTCTTCTTGACCTCCTTCACTTTGTGTATGAATGATATGCTCCTCATTGGAGTAGTCTTTAGTCTTAATAGCACATGGTTGACCAGCTTGTCTAAATATGATCATTTTTTGTTTTTGTTTTTTTTCCCTTTCTACAACCAAAAAGCACTGAAGACACTTTTTTGAAAAAAACACAAGGTCGAATTCCGCTTGTGTTGGGGCCTCGAGTTATGTTAGCCAATAAGAGTCACCTCAACTTATCTTGGTAGATGCTCAATCTCATCCCTACCTTCAGTTGGGGCTGGTGTTTTAGTGGTTCTATGTGCTCATCTTTCTGAAGCATTATATTGACCAGATGGCACGAAGGACCAGTTAAGCAATGATACCAACTAGATTCGGCCTTTTATTATAGAGTTTGAGCTGCAAACTTGCTTTCCTTAGCTCAACAACTAATCAAGAAGGACCAACCAACTAACATGTTATCAGAACAAGAAAGCAGTAGAAATATGCAAATTAAAACAAAAAGAAAAATAGCCAGAAAATGGCTAAGAAGGGGCTGGTTCCACTGTTTCTATTCTAAGGACAAGTTGTACAAAAAAGCTCCCCTAGAAAGCCTCATCTCGGCTTATATAAGCTGCAGCAAAGCAAACAAAGTATGACCCTTGAATTTTTTATTCCCAGCCTCAAAATACTTTTACAAAGAAGACACTTCACTAGGATATAATAAGCATGTGGAATAGCATATTGCTTAGTGCAATGGTAATGGGCCTTTTTAGCAACACTCAATGATGCTCAACCAGACACCAATCATTTCCATCTTAATGTGGGTCATTTTTAGAGTGTTTGAATGTTCCCAATTATTCAAAAACATGGTTGCGAGCTGCTGCATTAGATGCATATTTCACTTTCACACTATTCCACTAGTCAATAGCATAGTCACGAGGAAAATGGAAATTGTTGACAAACTAGATAGATTGATCTTTGAGGTTTGAGGCTCTTGGCCACATCTATAATGTCTGAGAAATGGTTAACTGGTGAACTTCTATTTTTGTTTGTGTGTGTGTATATATATATATATGAATACATATCCTTTTCTTCAGAAGTTCATGATATGTACTTAATGGTGTCTAAATGAGAAATGGAAACGGAAGATACATGGGGCAAGACTGGAATTTATACACCATGTTTAATTGTTGATGTTTTATTCTCTCTCTCTCTCTCTAATCTTTTTCTATCCTAACGGCTTCTTGTCGTTGCTGTTATTTTCATCCCTTTGTGTTGTTTTTCAATTATTTTAAACGTTTTGGTAAATTCTCTTCTTGCTTCAGTTTTTTCCTGAATACAGGTTTGAGTGGATGGTGTCAGAATTTGCGGAAGCTATAGCTTTAGAACTTGGTGAGTAATGAAACAAATCAACTATTAAGTTTTGGGAAGTTTTCCTTCTTTTTTATGTTACATGGACTCTTCCGAGTGCATGAAGTACCGATATTAACCACACAAATCTTGAGGTATGGGTACAATATGTGTTCAACATGTTTGGTTGGACACGCACCCACTAAACATATCCAATAATACAAATATATTGTGTAATTATACATAAAATATACTCATTATGTCCTTTTATTACATTTTATTTCTAGACATGTGAAGTAAAGTGTATTATAGAATGTAAATATTGTTCTTGAATTTGGGAATTTAATAATCTGATACTTGGACGCATGCCTACACTCGATGCATGTTTTATTACATGATTTATGTTTTACACCCGATGCATGTTTTATTACATGATTTATGTTTTACATTCTGCTTTAGCAAGAAGCATCCAGGTTTATGTTCATAAAGTGATGATTAAAGCATATATGTAACACAGAAATTTTTTGTGCGAAAATAGTTCATAAACACCACCAAGGAGTTTAAGTAAAGATTATTCTTGTGTCACAAGGTGTATTTGTTGGACACATATTAGTTGCTCCAGAAGGAAAAATAAATTATTCTTAGTTAAATGTAAAATATTGATTTAACCAACCCCAAGGAGTATAACCAAAAGTAGGGAACCATGACACATGAAACAAAACTCACTGGTTCCACTCCCTCCCTACTTGGGCCAGCCTCAATGTGATTCTTCCGGACTAACTTGGTGCACGTGCTTGGGGACATGCGTATGCACTATGTGCCATGTGCCCAAGGGATTAGTCTAGGGTGAGTTACCCATGTTACTGAAAGTATATCTTGATTAAGCATTGTTGATTTGATTACTTAGTGCATTATCATTAGAAAATAAGTATTATATAATGGGAGTGATAAGTACTTGATCTCATGAGAGTTCAGAAAGCTTAGTGATTTAGGTGTTACTTGTATTGAAGCATAAAAAATTGGGTCACTGTTTTTGCACCTTCGTATTGAATTGAATATGGTTATATTGATTTTTTCCCTTCTGTTGGATGGCTTCTTTGCCCTATGACAAGCAGTGGCATAATTTTGGTTAAGTTCCATCTTTCTTTTTACTCTGTTTGTATTTCAATGTTTGAGTTCTTTCCAACTTGCATGGTTCCTTACTCTGGTTCTTTTATCAAATAGAGATATTGGTGTAGTGAACATGTCCAATCTGCAGACGTGCTTGTTGCTACTAAGTTTTATATATGATTCAAGTATGTTGCATTTTAAGTGTCCCTTCTGACTAGGAAAGTGATGCTTAACTTTTATGGTTCCCTTGGTATTTCGGGCAGTTGGGCGTTGGAGTATCCTTAATATGATGCTGAGAATGCCTTTTTCATGTTCTCTAGGCAGTAGTTATGCTGAGATTCGAGTTTTTTTCAGCAAGGTTTCTGCCTTTAACTTGCATTATTATTATTTTTTCCTGAATAACTTGCATTATTTGAAGAAGGGTGATGTCAACACGGTGGTAGGATGGATTAGATTGTGATCCCTTGACCCTGGGCACTCTATTCATCTTCTGAGAGTTACGGATTTTTTTATTCTTTTCTGGAGGCCGGAAGTAGGTGCCTCCCTGGGTCAATCCATTGGGAAAGGGACTCTTTGGCCATAGAAGGGGTTTATGGTTTAGTTCCTATGAGGGGTGTTTTAATCCTCCTAGAAGTTTGGTGGCTGTCTGGGATACGGGAGTGTCAGGCTTGTTTTCCTTTGAAGTTTTTAGGTAAAATTTTGTATTGATGGACCTTTTTCATTTTCCTTTATTGTTGTTTTGAAGTATAGCTCATTTTCTTAATTGTATTTTCTTATCTTCTTCAACTAAAATTTTCTAATTAGTTTTAAAACATACTCTTATTGGATCCTTGAACTCAAAACATGTTCTTTCTGCATGTTATAAATTGTAACGCCACCATCCCCTGGTTCTAGTTTTTGTTTAGTCTCAGTTTCTTGGTTCTATTGGTTCCTTCAATCTGATTTATTATTATTATTTTTTTGGAAAGGGTCTTTTCCTTTTTGTCACCAAAAATGATTGGCTTCTGGCACTGCCTTCCTGTATTTGCTAGAAAAGTTATTTACAACTGTTCCTGTTACCACTGCTTGGGATACTTGTGTTTGCCTCTATGCTGATTTAGGAAGATTTCTCAACACGCATCTCATCCTTGGCTCATTCTTCTGATGAATTTAGGGTGGTGTCTTCCTAGCTAAATTTTTGTCTGTTCTATCTTTTTGCTTTCATCCTCTGCTGCTGCCTTTCTTTCTATAACAGAATGCGTTACAAGATGATGGGAAGAGAGAAGTGCATGATAGTGACCTCATTTTGGGGTTGCTTGTGACAGTAAATCCCCTTGTGTCACTTTCTAAAGGGGATGATCTGTTTTCTGATATTGATAATTGATGCAATTTAACCTCTATTCTCACATAAGTGTAACCAATTTGTTGATTTCTAGGACCATTTCGTGCTATTTCTTGCCATGGTCAAATTTAGATAAGCCATTCAGGATGTGGAAAAACTAAATGGAGCTCCCTGCAGCGATCTAAGAATCCCACTGCAGTTGCATATAATTAAAATGCATTGGTATTAGCTGGTCACTGAAACTGCATTTTTCATTTTAGAAGATCATGTCTCTTACGTTAAGTGCTTTCAATTTATTTTTATATATATAAAAAAATCTTTTTGCAGTGTTTGCTTTTGCGTTTCTTGATGTTGAAAAGATGTGGAGTTGATATATACTGTATTTTAAAAGACACTTTAATTGGGTGGCTCCACAGATTTCGTTCGCGAAGCTAAGAACTCAGAGAGAACAGCCAAAAACTTCAAAAACAACAGGATAGTCAGGGTTCCTTGTGTTTTTTGGGTATGGTATCTTATGCCACATCTTTGTCAGTGTCATTCTCTACCATTTGGGTTTTTCATGCATCCTGAATTTTGTAAGACACATTCTGCACTAAATGTGTCCAGGAATTGACAACAAGCCAGGTTTTGACAATGGAGTTTTGTAAGGGACGCAAGGTACAGTTTCCGGCCTGCTTCCTGTGGAATAGTGTGTATTTGATTTATGTTGACATGTTTTCTAATTTTTGTTAAGTCAAAACACTTTAATGTCTTATGCTGTTTTTTCTTCAACTGTGTGACTCTGTAAAATTAGCATGCAACAATCATGAGAAGTCTTTCTATTATGTATTTCTAAAATAGAGAATCTGCATTTTTTACTTCAAAATATTTGTCAAGTTTGACATGGATAAAATAATTGAAACTGTTACGCATTTTGCTTTGTCAAGATATTTTCACTTTGGGATTAGGGCTTCCATATTCACATCAAGAATTTTTTGGATCCCCATATGCCACTCCTTTCCGGCATTACTTTCCCAATGTCTTTCCTAAATTTAATTGGGCCTCTTTATTGTCATCTCACTCTGCAAGGCCTAATAGTGGGCTCAGATGTTACGACCATTGGGTCAGCCTAGCATAGCCATAGGATAGTGCAAGGACCTTGACCTTGGTAGAGTCTGCTTACGATTGTCTGATGCCATGGAGGTGCAAGCGTGGGTAACAACATGTAATGCATGCCCCATCTTTTTCATGTTGTGGGGAAAAGGTAAATCTAAGCTGTATATGATAAATTTGCGACTTTTTGCCCAGTATCTAGCGATCTGCATATATTTCTGATATATATATGTATGTATGTCCAAGCCTCCATGGTGGATCTTTCCTTGTTATAGAAGTAATTCCCTAGAATTTTTTTCTGGCATTCCTGATATTCATAAAAGGCCCCTTTTTTATATTATAATTGTTCATAATTAGAGTTGTAATTTTGACACTATCTGCATGAGAGTATATTTCACATTATTAATCTCTTTAGTTTGAAGATCTCAGTATGAATTTCACAAAGCAAGAAAGTATTTTTAGCACACTTCTGGAAGGTCTCATAAATTCGTTGAATGGACAGACATGACGAACACTTCAAACCAGCAAAATTTTATAAAACTAAGAATAATCATGATGAGTACATATATTTTGTGTAAGTGTCTACTTTAATACGGAGATATAAGTAAATTAGTTAAAAGATGTTAACCTCTTCTTTTAGAAACACTCCGTCTGTCACTCTTCTATTGTAATAATGGCTATTTGCTTAATAGTTTTTTTTTTTTTTTTTTACTATATATTTAGAAATCCTATAACATTTACCTGCATGTATATACATCTATCTATATTACAATTCCTAAGCACATGGAAGGCTACCATTATCAACATGGTATGCTAGCAAATATGAAATTTCTTATGGTGTAGTGTTGCCAATGGTGCATTCCACCCTTAAAGATGTTAAATATTGAATTAAATTGAAATTAATATATTTGGATGATTGTTAGTTGCAATACATATATTTCTAAACCATTGTCATTCTATATAAATTATTAGTGCAATACTGCAATTGTCAATATACTTGGGCATTGCCCTTATTGACGATAACACATGTTTCTGTATAGTGTATAACATGGTACCAGAGCCATCAGTGGCAGGACCTTTTGTTTCTTGGCTTTATTTAATTTCCATAGATTTCATCCTGTTGTCCTTAAGTATGACTATCATATATTACTTCTGTTAGACTGTTGCTTCACGTATCTAAATGGCTCAGAGATTCTTACAACTTCACTATTTAGGATATTTTAGTTTTCAGAATGTCTGATATCAAGTCTCTCTAATATAAACAAATTTGCAGATAATTCCCTTAAACTACAAAAGCCCCTAAGCTATGGTAAATCCACAAACGAGGCCACACCGTTAACAAACCCCTGAACTATCACTCGTTTCACTTGTGGTGTGTAATCTTTCTTCCGTGGATAAAAAATAATTCTTGTCTAATGGGAGGATGGCAACTCATCTATTTAGTCCAAAAGTAAAAAATCAACACTATTCATTACAGATTAACTACATATGTGTGTGTACATATATATATGAAAGATCTTCTCCCTTGCACCCACTGTATCTCTCTCTCTCTCTCTGCACCACCACCACTGCCATCCCAACCATCCCAAAAAATTCTCTTTGTTTTTCCCTCAAATTTTATGTGTGTGTGTGTTTTTTTTTTTTTTTTTTTTTTTTTTTTTTTTCTGTCTTTTTGTTATTCATATAACCAGAGTGAGCCATTGTTACTTGTCAGATTCTGATGCACAAACTTCCCAACTCCGGCGGCAACAAAAAATTGAACCCAAAAAGAACAGCAGAGGAAACTGTAAAGTTACACCATCAAAATAGGTTTAATGTCCGAAACCAACACCAGTTCCCTCAAATCCACAATTGGCTTCAATTCACTCCACCCAAATTGTAATAGTCTCAACTATGTGACGTGTGCTCGTTCGCCAAATCAGGAAGTAAAGAACACAAAACAGAGAGATAGAATTTCAAATCTATTACTAATTTACTAGTGCTTACTTTCAGATATCAAGCACATAACAGATGTAACTAGAAACATCAGACTACCAAATCCGATTGATGTATATGATACTGGAACAAAAAACAAATCTGAAAATGGACCATTCAGATTGATGCACCAAGAGAGGGAGAGAGAAAGAACAGTGAAGGAGGTGGTCTCAAATCAAATTTTAACTGAAGAGAGAAAGTGGTCTCAGATCATACCTTCATAAAAAAAAATATATGACCAGTGAGAGAGAGCTGCGAAGGAGGTGGGTTGGGGGAAGATTAGATAAATGGGCATGTGTCGTAGTTTAATTGGTTCAAGTTTTATGAACAGTTGTGTATAGTCAATACAAGGGCAATATTGGAATTTAAAAATATATAAGTCATGTGACTGTATGTAGCATCATTTTTTTAACAGCACAGTGACAGCAGGGGGATATTCGCAAAAATCGTGATAGTGGAAGGTGTAATTTGTTAAGAATAGTCTTATTTGCAAAAAGAGTGACAGTTCAAGATTTTTTATTTTTATTTTATTTTATTTTTTGCACTTTACCCTATAAACAAAGCTGTCGTTTGCTGACTAGAAAACTGATAAATTTTACAGGCTAAATGTACTAGTATATTTTTGTCACTTTTCAGACTGAAATTCTACTAAGATTTACTTATTAAAAACTAGTAAAAGTTACCAAACTCCACTAACTGTTACTAATAGGAACCGATAAGTTCTATGGACAGTTATTCTGCTATGATTAGACCAATTTCTTCTACATTCCAGTGGGTTTTATACATGCACACAAAAGCAGACACCCATTATTTTTAACTAATTTAGCTATAATATGCTTTTGACATTGTACCTGTTTATGCTATTAACAGGGAGTTCCTTAGCTTTCAGGTTGATGACTTGGAATTTTTGAAGGAAATGGCAATAAATCCAGTAAAGGTTGGTTTTAACTTGGCATGAATTACACTTTTTCAAATCTGTTATATAGACTAAGATTTCTGCAATCCTACTTGTTTCACTTATTTTTTCTTTGAATTGTGCCAGAATTTTGAGTTATATCTTCTTTATGCTCGTGATGGCTCACAAGTTCTAAATATGTGCCAGTGCCGTATTCCTTGTAGTTGTTTCGTTTGGTGTGAGAAGTTTGCTGTTTTCTGATTTCTTTTCTGGTTAGAGGCATTGCATTTCTCTTCTGTTGAGTTGAGTTGTTTGTTAGGCCTTGCGGAGAGGACCTTTGTAACTGTTTGTTGGTTTAGTTTAATCTCAAGCTTGCTTACCGGAAAAAAAAAAAAAAAATAATAATAGGATGAATGGTGTATACATTGGTGATAGGGGTCTTTGCTGATTTCATTAAATAACATCCTGTTATTAATTAGCTTATTTTCCCCTTATTCTTGCTATGCTCATCTTGCACATCAAATTGTATACGACTGTAAAGGCTCCTCAAATTATCAACTTACCCATTAATCTGAAAGGCTTCCACATCTCACCTTGGTGCAGTGAAAGAAATTTTCTTTCTTGCAATCTTGCTTATGCAATTTTCGTAAGTTTTTGTATAGGTTGCAAAAGCGTTAGTGGAAGTGTTTGCTGAAATGATATTTGTCCATGGTTTCCTGCATGGGGATCCACATCCTGGTAATATATTTGTTTCTCCAGAAGGATCAAAGGGCTTTACCTTAGGTATGCTCTGATTGGTGATTGGGGATCTATCAGTATTTTTTGGAGACAAAATGTACTAGATTTAGTTTGAGTACTTGCTTACCTTTTGTCATTATATAAATTAATTTTGCAGTTATTTTAGATCATGGAATCTATAAAGAGTTGGACGAAGGATTCAGATTGGACTATTGCCGACTCTGGAAGGCTTTGATTCTTCAAGACTCAAATCAAGTACAGCATCTAGGGGCACACTTTGGTGTTGGGAAGTACGCTAGATACCTTCCCCTCATATTCACGGGAAGAACAATTGACAGGTGATTATTTTCTTTCTTTCTTTCTTTCTTTCTATTTTTTTTTTCCATATAAAAGAGAGTTTTGAGTTTATATTGAACTGGAGTACCTCTTGGTAGAGAATGTACCTTTTGCATCTTCCATTATTACTTGCATTATAGTCCCCAGAATGTTATGCATTATAATTGCTGACATCTATCAGTGCGTATTCCAGTGGAAACTAATTCAAAATGAAAAGTAGGAAGGGTTATGGGTGAACCATGAAACAGAAGCGTGGAGTGCAGCAAGTTATATATACATACATATATGTGTGTTTGTATGTACGTGGAATGAATGTCCATATCATTTATGCAACCTCATCATATTACAAATGTGCATATTCTCACTTTATTTGGTTGATGTCCATCACTTAGAATCACGACCAGAAACAACTGCTGGACTTGGTTAGATGAGATAGTAACTTAGAGTTTTAATAATAAAGATGTAAGCTATTGCACCAGGCAACCTATCAGCAGGCCACCATGGTTACACATGAATTACACAGCAATTTCATTATAGGAAACCAAGTTGAAGACCTGATCAAATAAGTCCCTTATAATGTGGTCAGGGAATGGCCTAAAAATTTAGCGAGAATTTAGTGAAGTGGTTCGATTGTCTCATTTTGCTGTCAAATTGTTTGATTGATACTCTAACCTAGAATAAGAAGTGTGCTTCGTGGAGGCAAGTCGAAGAATTAACTCATATATATCATGAGTCATGACACGGTATTGAGTACCAACCTCCCATGGATGCAAGGGTTGAGATGAGATTAAAACCAAGGTTTATTTTGTTTCCTGCAAATTTTATGAAGTCTCTTCATACAATAATTTATGGACAATGCTTGGGTCCTCACCAGTGAGGACCTATACCATCCTCACCACATATGTCGTACAATCTTGTCATGACACATCATCTTTGATTCTCGATTAAAAAATCAAAAAGAAAAGGAATGGTGGTCGAGTGCGCCCATTTCATCTTTGGATGGTATTATTCCCTTTTATTTTGTATTGACCATGATGTGTCATAACAAGATTGCGTCACATGTGGTGAGGATGGTGTAGGTCCTCACCGGTGAGGACCTAAGTATTGTCCATAATTTATATGGTCTTGCAACTAAAACATATATATGATTATTTTGACAGTTGCATTAGTGTCTGAGAAATATATGTGGCATTAATAATGCATTTTGCAGTAAATCGGCTCTTGGAAAAGGAATGTCAGCGGATGAGAAAAAGAATCTAAAGCAGGAAGTCAAGTCTTTAAAGATGGAAGACATCTCTTCATTTATGGAATCTCTACCCCCTGACTTTGTTACTATATTGCGTACTGAGTATGGAAAAATTCCTTCTCTTTAATGTTATTTTTAACACACCTAGATTCTGATTGTGGAAACGGCTTTTGTGTCTTTCACTCGTCCTTATTTATTTATTTATTTATTGTGTGTGTTGTCTGTCTGATTGCAGTGGACTTTTAAGGTCATTAATTAGCAAGTTGGGTGCTCCACAACGGGCCCGGCTGCTAGCCTATGCTAAATATGCTTTACATGGCCTTTCTCCAAAGTTGAATACTGAATCTGGTAAAACTTTAGTCATGCAATTTAATATCAAGACTTTTTCTTTTTCTTTCTTTCCTTTTTCGGTAAGTAACTTGATATTGAGTATGCCAACTTTGAGAATAATATTTATAAAAAGTACCAAGATAAAATGCTATTGCCTATTGGAATAAGAAAAAAATTCTGATTTGTTGTATATAATTCGGAGGAATAAGATTATGTTAATTATAGTATCCCACAGGAAGAGTATGAAATAAATCCAACCAAGACTTGCAGCATCTTCAGAACTCTACCAACTATATAAGTAATTGAAGAACTGATTTTTGTTTTTAAGTCTTCTTTCTATTATGTTTTCAGATCTTGCGGTAAAAGTTATGTTCTCCAGATTGAAAACAAACTTGGATTACCTCCAATTGAGGTTGCTCGTTGGTAAGATTGCATATATGTTGTAGGGTGGTTAATCACTAGATTTGATAGGAGGGTATTCTCAACTGTTTCTCATTTTCCAGAGGTACTGGAGCTGATTTATTGGATGGAGAAAGTCAGACATTCATATAACGAAAGGTTTAAAAAGATGCTCATTTCAGCTGCTAATCTGGTTAGAAGTTTTTGTGCTCTTCTTCCACAGCACCCCCTTAATTTTGGTGGTGCTATAGCGGTCATACCTCCGGACAAGTGACAGTGTTAGTTCAAAACCTAAAGAAAATCTAGCAAAGGTAAAAAATTCTTTGCAGGTGTATTTGAATAACAAGAAACATTGCAACCCAAGGCCACTCTCTGTTCTTCAAAAATGTTTTCATTCCAGTTTTTTTAATCTATTAAATAAACTTTTAGTAACTGAGCTGTAAAGCCTGTAATCCAAATTTAAAGGTGACTGCATGGAATTTCATGATTCAATGAAGGGGAACAGTGTCTCAACAGTTGATCTCTCTCGTCTAGTTCTACTTTCCATTTTATAGGACCATAAAGTCTTGTTGATGAACAAAAATAGCTTTTTTATTTTTCATGTAAGCAAGAAACTAATTGAAAAGCTTCCATTAGTTTGGAGTGCTTACAAGTATATATTAATGCTATGTCCTAAAGGAATGGAATGAGAATGGGAAATGGAAATTGGGAATTGTAATGGTTTGGTTACAAATATGAAATGTAGGAATGGCATGATTATTACAATTCTAGTATTTTGGTTAGAACAATTTAAAATCCATAATGGAATGAATTTCAGATTGAAAATTTTAAAATTTCCTCTTTTATAATTTTTAAAAGAAATGGCTGTGGGGGATGGTTGTGGTGTAAGGCGGCAAAGGCGGTGTTAGTGTAGGTGGTGGTGGAAGGTGGCAAAGACGGCGACGGTGATGGAAGAAGGTAGTGGTGGTGAAAGGCGATGACGGTGATGGAAGAAGGTAGTCGATGGTGCTAGTGGAAGGCAGCACTGTGGGTAGTGGTGACGGCCACATTAGGGTGCTGATGCTGGCGGTTGTTTTTTGAATTTGAAACAATGACAGTTTTCTAAAAAATATGATTTTTATTATTATTATTTTTTTCTCCTCGGGATGGAATGACGACCATTTCATAGGTTTGGTCGTCACTTTGGTTTTTCTACAAAATAAAAAAAAAATAATAATAATAATAATTGATGGAATGGGCATTAGCAACATAATAACTCAACCTGAGGGAGTTAGACACCCTCTAGTTTTAACTTAATTCACATCATCTTTGCTCTTACATTCCGAACGTGCTCCTACTTTCACGCTTCGCACATGTTTTTGCTCAAATTCTCACTGTTCATGATTTAATTCTGTTGTTCTCATGCTCCCGTTCTCGAATTCGCTCTCTCTTATTCCCGCTTTATGTGACTTAAGTTCCGACCCCTGTACCCCATCTAAAAGAAAAGAAACAATTGTCCCACAAAAAAATTACATATATTTCATAAATGAAAACATAAGCGATTCCATGGATGAACTTGTGTAGAACTAATTTGAGTTTGCAATTTATGGGCTTTAAAATGTAAGAATCAAGTAATTTTTTTAGACAGTCCTATACTAATATAGTCGAGGACAACTAAAACCCTCCAACTAAGAAAAGTGAACCCATAAAACACGAATTTAACAAGTAGGATACTTAACTCCAGCTCGAGAAGCATGAGGTTAAAGTAAAAACCACTTCAACCGATTAAACTGCTAGGTAAGTTGTTTTAAACCACCAAATTGGGATTTTAAAACGCCACTATCATTTCTTTTGTTTCTCAATGATTACCATAACTGCGACACTTCAAACTTTCAAATGAAACCTCCTATCACGAGTCCAAATTGATAAACAATCAAATTGGATTATCTCCATCTCTTATTTCTCATTAAATCTCAAACGTAAATGTCAGACCGGAATCACAAACATGCTTTGCCAGTAAATCTTGCTCTCAGCTCATCTGCCACAGCATCAATGAACTCCTCGGTATTAAGATAGTGGGCCCTGGTAACCCTACACCATGTATGAAGAAGTACATTATAAATGCATTTCAAGAAAAACACTTGTACAAATAATATCCTTTTAAGAGTCACTCACTTAGGTCCATGGATTATAAGTGCAAGATCCTTAGTCATCTTCCCTGATTCCACGGCTCCAATACAAGCTGCTTCTAGTTTCTTGGTGAAATCCAATAGTCTAGCGTTGTCATCCAGCTTTGCTCTGTTAACATGAACACAGTTTGCTCATTCAGAATCTTGTTGATGACATGAAGAAAAATGTCCAATTCTAGTAAACATCTAACTTGGACAGAACTTGTAGATGCCATTTTAGCACGTCAACAAACTCGTAATTCTCTACCTGTGTGCAAGTCCTCGAGACCAAGCAAAAATTGAGGCTATGCTGTTTGTGCTGGTTTCACCTCCTTTCTGATGAACCCGATAATGGCGTGTAACAGTGCCATGGGCTGCTTCAGCTTCGATGGTCTTCCCATCAGGGCACACCTGAACCAGGTACGCAGCGCATTAAAATCCAGAAAATAGGATACACATCAAAGGACATTATCTAAGTTGGAAGTAATAGAATAAAGATCTGTTGAAGAATGAACATACCAAGACTGATGTCATCAACCCAAGAGATCCAAAGCCTGTGACAATACAAATCAGAAATTTGAGATCAAACAGAACACTTAAAGGTTAAGTAGAGAGTAGAGAATAGTAATACTTCATTCAGCAACCCTTTCTTTTAAAAGTACACAAAGCAATAGAACAAACTACAAAAGTGTTGTGATAATTATAACTCTGAGGTTGTAGAAGTTTTTCAAACCAACCTTGAGCTAAGAAATCACTCTGCACATCCCCATCATAGTTTTTGCATGCCCATACATAACCGCCTTCACTCTTAAGGGCATAAGCAACCATATCGTCAATAAGGCGGTGTTCATACCTGACAATTCAACCATACAGGTTCAGAATAAATGACATTTACCAAAACTGCGAAACCAGTATGCTGAATTGAATAGTGCAGCTACACACCATATCCCAGCAGCCTCAAATTTTGATTTCCACTTGGTTTCATAAACCTCCTGAAATATGTCCTTGAATCTTCACCAAAAGAGAAATATTAAGTAAAGATGATACAAAATTATAATATGGCAAAACACAGTCAAAGGAGGAGCACAAACTAACCAAAAGTGATAGAAGTACTAGGAGCAAAAGAACATTTACTAAAGGTTTGTTTGGTTAAATGGAAACTAATAGTGGAAAGTGAAAGTGCAGGTGAAGTGAATGAAAGGAAAATTACCTAAATTGTCTTTATTTTTGTTTAACACAATAATATGTCTAAATATATTCGTATTGAATAAATATTTTTATATTTTCTTAAAAAAAAAGGAAAAGCAATATAAGAATCTGAATAAATAATTTTGTAGGACATTTAGAGAGATATAAACCATTATACCATTCTTATAAAAAATTATGCATAAACACATTTTATTTTAGAAAGACCAAAAAAGGGAATCCCCACGGGTTGGTCCAGTGGAGCAGAGGCGTGAGATAGGTGCTCTAGAGGAGGAGGTCCCTTGTTCGATACTCGGAAGGCGCATTGAAAGCAGTACTCTTCCTGGATTGCCCGTGACTTACCTGGGCCTGGTGTTGGGGTCGCGCTAGCCTCCCCGTGGTTTATCCTCTAGGGGTGAGTCCAAAGGGCCCTGCCTTGGAGGGGTTCCATGGTTATTAAAAAAAAAAAAAAGATAAAATAAGTTTATACAAAAACAAAATTTCCCTGTGTTTTAAAAAAAATAAAAATAAAATAATAATAATTAATGGGGAAGTTAGGAGGTTATGGATTGTTACTTCCCCTCAAAAGTTCATTTTCTTGCTATCCAAACTCCAAAAAAATTATAAAAATTCCAATTATTTTCCTTTCCAGCTATTTCCATCTAACCAAACAAAAAAAAAATTACCACAAGACTTGAAAGAAAGAAAAAATTAATAATAACTTGATGCAAAAAGACACCCAAGCAAATGATCATACCTTCCATCATATTTCTTAAGAATAGTATTCTTCGTGCTGAGATAAAGCGGCCACTTCTTCTGGTAGGCAGTGTTCATTGAAGCCTCAGCAAAAGCATTAATAGACTGTTTACCGAGACAAAAAAAAAAAAAGAAAATGGAAAAAAATATATATATATTTATTAACACACAGTTGCCAGCTGCAATCTGGAATTTTGACATCAACATACCACCAAATAATTTGCAAACCAAGACCTCATCAGTGTTGTACATGGATAACGCTACTCCTCCAGCACCTGTAAAGTTGAAAACCTCTAACTCCATCTTTTCATCCTTTCCATCTGGCACTGCAAACATGTTAAGCACCTTCTTTGATAACAGAATCTTTAAGAGCCAGGAATCAAGAAAATAAAAGAAGCAAAGAATGTGACAAAGCATGGTACCAACATATAAACAACTAATTGTTCAGCATTCTTAAAATCATCAATGAGGTAAAACAATTATGTAAGTCCCATTAATCTTTAATTGAAGGGGCAAGAACTTTACCGAATACCAATTTTAGTTTTCCAGCTCCTTTAATAACTGCATCGGTTGCTCGGTATTGATCACCAAAAGCATGCCTTCCGATGCATATTGGCTTTGTCCATCCTGACAACAATAGCAGTTAGAATAGTGCTACTACCTCAAATGAAAAATTGGAAGCAGAAGAAGTAAGAATAGATAAGTACCTGGGATGAGACGTGGAACATTTTTGCAAAGAATTGGTTCCCTGAAGACTGTGCCTGCAGCAAGTGACAATCATAATTGGTCACCATCAATGAGTTATATGTGGGAATCGAAAAAGAATTAAAAAGTTGTTAATTGTCAAGGCAAGTTCACTGACCATTCAAAATGTTTCTAATTGTCCCATTTGGACTCCTCCACATGTGCTTCAAGTTAAACTCCCTCACACGATCTTCATCTGTCCATTACCGTATAATACAAAGAATTCTAAGCTTAATAATGCTGAGGTCCACCAAACCAGTAAAAGTTAATACGTTTAAACAGTTTATTAATTAAGAAGAATATATTTTCCCTGTAAAAGTCAGCCATGTGTACCTGGAGTAATGGTTGCGCACTTGATTGCAACATTATACCTACAATTATGATACATTCCAGATTCAGTAAAAAAGCAAAGGGCAGAATAAAAAAAAAGGGGCAGAATATATTCTAAAAGAAGAGAGGAAAAAGCATCTGCATTCAGAACTTCTAATAACTCTAATTTCAGAAAATTTAAAATTTACTAGTACCAAGACATACTTCAGAGTAGCTTCTGCACTTTCAATCGTAACTTTATCATCAGTAGCATCACGACGAGGAAGGCCAAGGTCAAAGTACTTTATATCCAGCTCCAGAAAGGGAAAAATGAGCTGCGATATGTCAACGGTCATATATAAGTGACTTTATCATAATTAATAGAAGTTAAACCAGGAAATCATATTAGTGCATGTAGATGGACCAGGAATGCACGTTACCTTATCCTTTATCCATTTCCAGAAAACTCGAGTCATTTCATCTCCTGCATCATAAAATTATGAAGAATTGTATAAGATAATGGATGAATAAGGCATCAATTTGTAGACAAATCTGTGAAAATTGTAAAGTTTATTCTCAATTAAAAAAAAAAAATCACTTATCTTTCCCATTTTAAGGAATTTACTTCATAAGACAAAAATGAAATAGCTCCAGTTCTTCTTTGTGGCTTTAGATAAATGTCTTTTGGAATTCAAAGCTCTCATCCAGTAAATTTCAGAAAGATATGCATTTTCCAATGAAGGTCTAAAGTTCAAGACCAAGCAGCCCAACAAAGATATGAGGAACATTATAATTTTTAGAGTAGAGAGCTAATAAGAATTTAGATAAATGGAAAAACTGTCACATCACGATATATTCATACTAATAGTCTTATCATTCCTGCAGGGATACATTGGCTACAGCATTTGAATAGGACCAAAAATGACTCTCAAAGCACACATCAACTATTCCTCAATGCAAGGCTAAGTGCAAGTATTAAGTTTAGGACACTTTCAGTAATTGACAATTAGCAATTCAGGTGTGTATGCATGTGTCTAATACCAGTTTGGCCAATTTCAAACAAGCCAAAAAAAAACTGTACTAAAGAATGTGATTTCCTCGCCTCTTGTTTATGTAAAATTTGAAGTTGCTATACTATTTGAAATTTCGTGATGAATATATCATATATAATCAAAGATTGTATCCTTAAACATGAGACTCATGCAGTTTTAGTTAACAATAAACAACCCTCTATGATTATCTTACAAAGGATGTAGGCTCATGGTCACATATAAAAATGTGACTATGTGACCTCGTTTACCCATTTTAAAGTTATTCATTTCTATATTATTTTGATAATTTATGATGCAAACATGCTCAAGGGTTATATTACTTATATACGAAGCTCAAATAGTTTAAATTAACAATAAAATTCTCCATGATTATTTTACACAAGCATGCCAACTCATAGATTCTGACACAAAAACACGCATATCCTGCTGATTACATTCACAAAACATATATTAATTCATGTCTGTATTGAGTTGCCATATCCTGCACCCAATGTCTAAACTCTAAAAAAGAAAAGGAAAAGGATATGGACTTGGCAGCTTAATAAAATTTTCAAGAATTGAATTTCATGTTTTGCCCTGATCATGTAAGAGGAACAAATAGGTCAATATCAGTCAATATCTTCATGTCAATGCTCATAAGCATTTTTTGAAGTGCGATAAAAAGTGCTAGGTTAATAAAACATTTATTTGTCAATTAACAGATAGAAATCACAAGTGCAAACAAGGCAACTATTCAGCATACATACAGGGGCAGAGCTACATACAAGCCAGGGGCAATTCTCCCTCCCCCCCCCCCCCCCCCCCCCCCCCGGTGGGCGATTTTTTTTTTAGTAATATACCTTTATAATTTGTTCATTTTTAGTAATATAAAAGAAGCTGACTTAGCCAACACCCTAATCCTTGCTCACTAAGCTTGAAGAAAATTTATTTGCAATCCATATATTAAGAAAACACATGTACTGAAAAAAAGATTATAATAATAAAATAAATTAAGATCTTAAAACAAATAGGACTTGGAAAGGCAGCCTTTGATAAGAATGAAAGGCATACTGAACTAATCGTAAGGCCACACACTATGACACTAAATCCTAGATTTTTTATCACTTGTTTTGCATTTTTTATTGTTACTATTTTCAGGACATTATGATACACAAAGCATATTGAGATCACACAATACTAAATTCATAGAAACTTGAGTAATCTCCATTCATTAAAAAGATCATAACAATCAACATTGAAGCCACTTTATGAAAGAATAAGTTCTAGTTAAAAATTCATTTTATAAAGTAGAGATAGATCATACACCTATAAATACAATATGCATGTGTATAGATATATATATATACAAACAAATTGACAGATCCTTTTAACTATTGGAATTGAATTTCTCTCGTATGAGAGAGACCTAGCTTACTTGAAGTGGAAGAAGAAAACACAATTGGAGGTGAGAAGCTAAAAATTGATCAGAGATAAGCGATTATATTTCAAATTTAAAATCAATTTATAGCCGTTCTTACATGAAGCTGCTTCATTACACTAAAACTATTGATTGTAAATCAGACTCTGTGATCAATTGTTTCAGGATAGACAGATGAAAATACAATATTAGTAGAAAAACGAAAATACAAGATCAAAATATATGTGTGTGTGAGAGATAATTCGAACTACAGAGGTTAGATCATCGGACAATCGACGTAAAAGAGAAGGAAAGAAAATGGATGTGAAGTCTCACCATCCATCTCAACGATGGGGTTAGCAACCTTGATCTTCTCAAATGCCATCTCTCTCTGTGGATATTTGTATACGCTCAAATGCTCACTTAGTAGAGAGAGAGTTCTGAGGAGAAAGCGAGGAAGAGATTCAGATAGATATATATATGTGAGAGGTATAAAGACGGTAGAGGCGGAAGGTAAAGAAAGTGCATACTTCTTATTTTTTCGGCAAGATGGTGCAACTTAATGAAGGGAGTGGCACTATTTTAATGTCTAAATTACCAAAATATCACAGTATTTATTTCGTATTTAGAACTATGTATTTTTTTTATTTTTTATTTATTTTTTATGTTATCCTTTTAAAAGTTTCATATTTGAATAACATGAATATTGTTCTTGTTTTTCTAAAATTTTATATTATTTTTAATTAGTTCATCATAAAATAATTTAAAATTTCATTAGAACCTTCTTTTTCTAAATGATTATAAAATGGAAAAAATAAGCAGGGCACCCCTTTTAATGTTGATATGCACCATTAACAACATGATATGTGTAAAAAAAAATTAAACTTGAATCATTTAGATTTTTTCACGAGTCATCTAAAAAGGCAAATCCCCATTGATGCCCACCATTTCCCTAATTTTAAAACCCTATTATTAATCCTCTCTTTCGCCAACTGACTTCCACCTCCATTACTTGCCATCTCCTCCATTCTCAAACCTAATCTTTTACATCCAATCTTTAGAGATGCATGCCATCTCTGTTGCAACCCCATCTCCAAAATGACTCGAGGTCGACCAATTAATAAATACGCATAACTCTTGTGGCATCCAAAATTTTGAGATTTATCATCATCTGTTGCAATCTAAAGTCAAATTGATTTCTTTAAACTCCCTTGATAAATGGAGCTTTACAATTGTGGTTAATTTACTATTTTTGGGCTAATTGTTTAGCTTCTTTGCAATATGAAAGGGTTTGGAATAGAAAATCTCAAAGGCATAAGGGAAAAAAAGTCTTTCCTTTTGGATTATCCAAAAAGATCCAAATAATTTTTATTTTTATTAATTTATGTCATTATTAGAAAGACATTCTTACTTATGCGGAGCATTGTTCAAAATAAAATTATCTCCTTATATTCTAAGGTATTCCAAACATGTACTCTATATACTATATAGTGTCCAATTTAGAAAGGAAAAAAAAAAAAAAAAACATTTAATTTGTGTATAATACTTGTTCTGATACATGCTAGTAATGTGTCCGAGTCTATGATATAGCCAAGATATGTTTTCTTTTTTAAATTATACTAAAACTTAAATTATATCAAACATTGTCATAATGGCATGGTTGTAGATAGATGCGAAATGAGAGCAGTGATTTAAGGAAGATATTTCCATAAAAAGCTTGTCTTTGGTTTGTCTTGACCTAACTTCACCAACCCTAAGTATTCCCCTATTCTTGTTATTTATGATGTTACAAGACCAAAACAAGCCCCCACAACTACCGTAGCCGAATTCAATAAAAAAGTGCAAAAAAGAAAAAAAAAAAAAATTAGAAAAATTATCACATCATCGATCAATATGTCCACATCATTAACAATTATCTACTTAAATGCTCTATAAATACTTAAGAGTTGTGCTATTTTCCGGGACTACATAAAAATCGACAAAATACCAACTCTTACGTTGTTGTTATTGTGTGGGCTAACTGTTCACAAGAACTGTAAAATTCTTTTTTTTTTTTTATATTTTTTTATCTCTCTCCACCGAAGCAATCATGCATCCTCTCTCTCCCATCTCAGATATTGTGGTTCCATCGCCATAGAGTTCATCAACTTGTTAATCGATTCAACATTCCAAGGATTGCTATTTGAAATTTTTTTTTTTTTTTTTTTTTTGATGATGATGCATAAAATCAAACTAAAATTAATAGGAAATATCACTAAATTGACTAATTCTTGACAGAAATCAAGAAAATTGATTATGATGTGATTGTCATGGGTATTTCAAATTCAATCCAGACATGTTGCACCCAACTAAGTTGTAACCTACAATTCAATTGATTCTTCTCATCTGTTTTTTTGTATTTTGGGTTTCGATCGGTGTCGGTGGTGATGTTGAGAAGATGTCGAATTAGAGACAGAGCAACGGGTGCGATGGAGTTAGAAAAGACGAAGGTGAGGCCAACGCTGGGATTGAAACTAGTCTGGGAAAGATGGAGAAGACAAAGAAGGTGGAGAAGGAAGAGATGATGATGGAATTGGATCTGAGGTTCACTGGAATTCGAAATCGATGGAAGGTCGAACGATTGAGAACAAGAAAGGAAAGAGAAGGTTGAACGATTGAGAACAAGAAAGGAAAGAGAAAAGACACAAGTTTTGTAGAGGAGTCTGGTTACGTAAGCTTTCCACACATGTAAATTGTAAGTCGGTGTTAAATTGTCGTAAAAAATACGGATTATCATTTTTCAATACTTAATATAATATACTAGATTAACTTTGGAGTTAGTAGGATGATGCAGGGTGGTCATTCCCCTGCTAATAAATGATCTGAAATGACATTAGTCTTTCTACTTTATAAATACAAAAATCAAATATTAGGAATATTTTGTGTTATTTAAATAAACAGAAGACATAAAAAGCACTATTATGAAATATAAAAGAGTAGGAATATACTTTCCATGCATGGCTCCAAATTAAACAGATCTGGAGTGAATTCATGTGAATTAAAAATTGGATCCATATTTCAATATTGGAAATTCATACCCAGAATTCAAATTTGAGTTCAATCAAATTTGAATTATATATATAGAACAAAGGAAAATATACTTGATCTGGGTAAAATTATATATTTCAACGAACATCCACACCTGATCCATTTTAAATCGAAAAACAAAATTAAAATCCAAACCTGTTTGAAAGGCTCATTACTTTCATAATACAATTCCCATTTGTGTAACATCATCTCTCAAATGGAAGGGCTAACCAAAGGACTAGTGTTACAAGGGGATGATCGTCCCAAGTCGGATTCAGATGGGAGAGTGATTGAGTATAAATGGATGAGTATGCAACACTACCCAACAACTTAAGCTTTTAAATAAATGAGCAAGCGCCCACACGTTACAGTCGGTATCAGAGCCAAACCCAATTCTTGATCCCGTGCCACACCAAGCGCTCGACCTAGAAGGTGTTCGGGTGAGCCACCCCGAATAGGAAGGGTGGCTCGACCGCAACGATGGTGTTGCGAGTTTGAGTGAGAGAGAATGTTACAAGGGAACATTTGTCCCACATCGGATCCGGATGGGAAAGTGATTAGGTATAAATTAATAGGCATGCAACACTATCCAACAACTTAAACTTTTAGGTAAATGGACAAACCCCCCATTACAACTAGCAATTTGAATTGTCATTCACAAATTGAGATTTTCTAATTCCCAAAGCCATAAAGTGCAAGGAAACAACTTCTGATTACAAAAAATCTTATAAATGGCAACATCTATGAGAAGACCACAAACATAATCGCCATCAGGCTCATCACATAGGATTGTAACAAACCCTACATCAAGCAACATGAATAGCGTAATGTAACAAAACATTTGAACTTGCAGCGTGGCCGCAAAGAGAACACATTGGAACCAAAATACCATAGAAAACACTATAGATGGTTGATGACAATAAAGAAAATCAAACAGTGATAGTAGAATGATACAAAACAGATTCTTCAAACAGTGATAGTAGAATGATACAAAACAGATTCTTCTAAATGAATGGATGTCATGTAATGGCTCGTTATCAAAATAGGCTTCCTCTGTCATTTGCATTTGGAGACATGCTTATCTAAAAATGCCTGTGCTAGATTACTGAAGTTTAAACTAACTGCGCCAGCTGCAGCGTACCTTTCAATGACATCCACCACCTCTGGCTTCAAAATCTCTTCCTTGTTGGATGCGTTACAGAGATAATACAGAGCTCCAAGAGCATAATTAACCTACCAATCACGAATTAGTTCAATGTAAAAATGTACCCATGAATCTAATTTTATATGATACACCATCAAAATATATATAGCAGAAGACCCCATACAGAAGGACCTTATCATTTTGATAAGCATCAAAATTCCAGTGCCCTTTCCAATTATGTTGTTTGAAAGTACAGAATAGCACAAACAAAGGTAGAGAAAGGTAAGTGTAATTACAAAATAAAATAATTTCCTGAAATAATGATTGGAAAGGTCATCATCATAATTACTGAAATCACAGATAACATATATTTTATATGCGATTAAAAAAAGCCGACATGCAGGGCCCTTCAACCACCGCTCATATCAAATCAATTAAATAGACTCCCAAGTCTCTGTTGGCTTCAACATTTGATATGCATTCACTAATTAATCAAGATTGGACAATCTGACAACATAGAAAGCAAGATACTACAGAATTGACAACAAAACGGTATCTTATAAAGGGATTTTTACGAAAACTTGAAATAAAAAAAAGTAATGTGATAATTGGTTATCAATTGAAGGACTCATCCGAGTCATCTCAGACAAAGTGAGCTTAATGCACATCATGTGAATGACTACAATCTACAAAGTTATGGTGCTAATTTTGACCCAAAAAAGAAGTTGTAATTGTTTCATTTTCCTTCAAAATTCTAGATGCGTTGATTAGGCCTGTGGTTCAATATGCCTCGTGACCTACGTTAGAATACCAACAATGAGACGCAAGAAAGCCTAGAAATTGGAAAAATGGATAACGGTAAATATACATGAACAAGTTTCTTCACACACCGTGTTTCTAACAGGACTTGATAAACATTGAATGATGAGAGGGATTCCATCACACTGACTGACAATTGCAGCATTTGCTGGGTCTGTGGAAAAAAAATGGTATTGGTTAGAAACCCAATATTTGGATAGAATATCAAAATATTGTTCCAAGAGAGAAATGACTAGTTTAGAGTCAATATTATAATATTGAGCAGAAGGTTTAGATTGTAGGGCTACCAACACAAGAATTGCAGATCCCTCCAATGCCAAATTCCACTAACTTCTCATTTGGTTCCGTAATGCAGTCGAGGAAAAGTTCCAAAACATTGAGCTGTTTAAAATAACAAATAGATGTCGTTCTAATGTGGCAAGATAAGCTCAGGAATTTAACTTCTTTTTTTTTTTGATAAGTAACTATTTAAGTTAATCTAACCAGCATTTAAGGATTCTGTACCTGACGCAAGAATGTATAATTGTAAGGATCATATGCAAAATTCGCCAAATTAGCAACAATCTTCTCTTTTGATTCTGCAATCACAAGCAACATCAAGCAACTTTAATAGAAAAAGGTGAGGTTTTGATGACCAAGATCATGTAAAAAATCTAGTAGCAACCTGATTCACTTATTTCACTTATAAATCCAAATAGGAATATATGTAACTGTGCATGATATATAGGGTCTGAATTTATTGTCTGTATATTGCCAACTGTTGTATATATTTGTCCAGAGATATGTAATATGCTAATATATAACCCGAAACAAGTGTACAAATAGAAAAGATAAAAGGTAAATTCACTTTCTTTATACTTCAATAATTGTACATGATATATGGTACACATGTTGCTTTGAGTTGCGCTTCAAATAAAAGAAATTCGACAAAACACTGAACATATGACATTTTTTTTTTCACCCAGAATATCTTTCTGTACTCGGTTACAATCATAAATTTAGCCAAAAATGATGACCTGGTTTGAAAATGCATATACATTTCTTCTTGTTTTTTTCTAAGTGAACAATGTATGCACATTTCAAAACCACATAAGTGGAAAAGCACCTAATCCCTAAACATAAAACCATATTGAATCCAAAAGAAGCACAGATTCTCATCCCTCAAAAAAAACAAAAACAAAAAAAAAAATTTGTTGGTAAAGTCCTCTATGAAACAACAATAAAAAAGGGGGTTGTCATTGATTGTAATTGGTTGTCCTTAGTTAACATGATCACCTGATCGCCCCAGATTTATCATTATGACATAATAAGATAACGAGTTAATACAAAAGGGGTGCTTATTTCTAGCATATAATCAAATAATCACAATATGTAATCAAAACCAAATTTTAACTCTTCATAGATAAAAATAGAGATAAAGCAAGCAATTGCAAAGGATCAAACCAGGTCAAAACCAAAACTCTACTACCACACTGCTAGAACTGAAAGATACTTCCACCCATTGTTTTAAGAATTCTAAATTCCCTGCGTGAATTAATACTCGTGAGCCACCTGAATACGAAAACGCAAGCTAATCAACTATTTCTTTTTAACTCCACTTTTGTTCTTTACATAGCCGGTCCCAAGACCGGGTAAAGGAGGAGGGTTGAGTAAGGCAGCTTGACAACCGGTGTAAAACTTTGTCATGATCAATATGAACATGAATCTTATGAATATATGAGTAAATGCAAGGGCATTCCCCTTAAGTGGTGCGTTGCATCAGCTTCTGGATGCTTTGAAAAATGGGCAAGGGGCGCCGCATAGGCGCCTGGGTGTGGTAAAAAATTGGCAAGGGTTAGCATTTTTCTGGACGAGCGCAGGTAAAGAAGTTAGCCCAGAATAGTAGGCTTAGGATACGGACCTGGAACATAGGAACCTTGACGGGTAAAGGAATGGAGTTAGTAGACACTATGATTAGAAGGAATATTAATATTTTGTCTACAAGAAACTAAATGGGTTGGTGCAAAAGCTAGAGAGATTGAAGGATATAAATCTATTATATAGGAAAGAATAGACAAAGAAATGGAGTAGGGATAAATCAGCTCTTGACGAGAAAGTAGCTCAAGCAGAAGCAGTGGGTCTCTTTCCCAGAGTAAAAAATGCGAGCATTAATAAGAATTTAAAAGAAGATGTGGTTAGTGTTATTAGAAAAGAAGATAGGATGGATAATATTAGTAAAACTCGTATTAGGAGGAAATATAGTTAATATAATTATCGCGTATGCACCCCAAGTAGGACTATATGACAATATTAAAACACAATTTTGGGAGCATATGGACAAATTGATGCAAGGGTTACCCTAAGGAGAAGAAGTGTATATAGGGGGAGACTTGAATGGTCATGTAGGAAAAGAGTGTGGAGGATATGAGATAGTAAAAAATGGACATGAATTTTGAGATAGAAATGATGACGTGGAGACTACCTTAGCTTTTGCGGTGGCAAAAAATCTTATAATTAGGATTACTTATTTTATAAAGAGAGATGAACACTTGATAACCTTTAAAAGCAGATTAAATATGAGTCAAATTGATTACTTTTTAACTAGAAGCTTTAGAACTAAAAGGGTTTAAGATAAGTTGAAATAAAACTAAATATATGGAGTGTAACTTTGGTACATCTAGAAACACAAATAAGGATATAGTGAGGATTGAGAATCAAGGGATACAAAAAAGTGAACATTTTCGTTATTTAGGCTCAATTATTCATAATGAGGAAGAAATTGGAGATGACATTACTCATAAAATCAAGGCAGCATGGGTTACATGGAGTAGTGCACCTAGTATATTGTGGGATAGGCGTATCCCCATATTGAGGTGGCAATTTGACTTCGCAGGTCGAGTTCGTGTCGTGTCAGAACATAGGTATCTTGTTATATGAGTTAACAAGAACATGACACATTTGATAATTGTGTCAAGAAACCTTGACATAAACACGACACGATTATTACATGTATAATACGACACAACACAACAAGCGTAATCCGTTTAATAAATGGGCCGACACGACAAGATATGTTTAAGTCATTTTTTACATGAACATGTCCTACACGCTTAGTTAAATGGGTAGTTTTTAACAATAACGCAACATATTTAGTTAAATGGATTAATCGGGTTATAAACGGGTTGGCATGTCAGACACAACACGACACATTTAATTGCCGTATCAACAAACCCACTTATCCCATGTGATGTTCGAGTCATGCTAGCATGTTGTGTCAACTATTGCCAACCCCATTCCCCTTATGGTTGAAAGGAAAGTTCTATAAAACAACTATTAGATGAGCCATACTTTATGGTACCGATGTTGGGAAGCTAGGAAACAACATTTACATAATGTGAGTGTGGCATAAATGCAAATGTTGAGATGGATATGTGGTAAGACTATAAAGGATATAATTAGAAATGATCACATTCGGGAGATGGTTGGAGTAGCACCAATTGGAGATAAAATAAGAAAAAATAGGTTAATATATCTTGGACATGTGCAACGAAGGTCTTTAAGTGTGCCGGTTAGGAAAAGTAAAATGGTGCACATTAAGGGTTGTATTAGGGGAAAAGGAAGACCAAAGTTAAAGTGCCTAGAGTTGGTAAACAAAAATATAATAGCATGTGAATTGACTGAGGCTATGGCCTTAAATAGAGCGGAATGGAAACATGGGATTCATATAGCCGACCCCAAATGATTGGGAAAAGGCTTGGTTGCTGTTGTTGTTGTAAGCTTATCAACTATTTTTTACATATTTAGGCAAGAAAATTTCAGGTTTCAACAATAGAATTATAAATTGAGGGAGTAAAAAGGTTATTAACCGGTATTGTTCCCTTCTAATCAAGGATGCTGAGAGTACAAACCAAATCGTTGGACTTGGTGTTATTTAAACTTTTTGTGTGTGTGTCCTCATACTTGATATTATGAAAAAATCATTGGAATTAAAAAATAACGCAACATACCTTCACTAGTTGTATTCTGAAATTGAGAAACCAAGTCCTGAAATAGAAATATATAAAAGCCATGAGAAAATATAAACATTCGCATCTTTTTTGCTGGCCATGATAATAAATTCTCTTTCACATCAAATATAATGGGCTCACAGTCCAAAAGGAATCAGTAAAAGAGGTGGATTTTGAAATTGTGATTAAGGATGATTAAGAGGCTATAAGTCTGCACCGTGACTATCATAATTTCACTATGAATTATCAACTTTCCTTGAAGTTTAGCTGGGCAGTACAAGGAGATTGACTTCTCAAGAGATTCAGAAACACAAATGTATATATAAACAGCTTCACCACACTCATTCCCATATTAAACTTCTTTTTCTTTTAAAAGTGGTAGTCCATTGTAGGCTTTGGGAGGGTAATATGTACGCAACTTTACCTCTGCATGCGAATAGGCAAACCTTTTTCTTTTTTTTTTTTTCCCTTCTTTTACTTGAATATATATATATATATATATATATATATATATATATATATATATATATATATCATGGTAGCAGTAATGCATGTCACTTCAATAACACACGAATAAGAGATAACAAAAGCTAAGAGGTCACCCAGTTATCAATTTAATAATATACATTTACTACCAGGAACAACATTTTCTCAAACAAGAATAACAAAAGCAAGAAAGTATAAAGATGTTGGCCATTGGCCTGAAATCTTCAGCATAAGCTGAAGCCCATTGTAATTACACACACACACACACACACACATATATTTTTTCATTGCCAAGAAACTCACACACCCATTTGCCCCTTTAGGGACTTGAACTCTTTTTTTTTTTTTTTTTTTTTTTTTTTTTTTTTTTTTTTTTTTTCCTACTTAGTACTCACACACACATGCCTCCCTGAGGTTCAAACTCCTCACCTCCCTTTGGAAAGAAGGGACTTAGTACCGCTAGGCCACAGGCCTGTTGGTGGGGACTTGAACTCTCACAATCCACTTTGGGAGGTCGAGGAGATACCACTGGACTACAAGAGCCTCGGTATTTAGTAATATATCTTTCCTAAACTTGTGGGAAAAACAAAAGTATAAAATGGATTAAATGGAAATTAGACTGTCGAAGTTTATGAAGTGCACCTGAAGATATTTCACCCTTGGAGTTCCATATTTTCCAGTACGCTCTTCTTGCCTCTGGCTATTGGTAAACATATAAGCTACGACAACAAACAACAAAAAAAAATTCATTCATAAAATTCAAGCTGCAAAATTAAGTGGATTGTCCTGAAAACAGTACAAATTTGTAGAATCCTTGAAAAATGGAATAAATAGAAAAAAAGTTGAAGGGGGTTGAACAAACAAGGAGGTTACATCATCACATTTTAAGAATTAACTTCTCCATAATCATTGTTGTCAAAGGAGCGCCTAGGCTCCAGGCTCATATAGGCGCAAGACTTGCGCTTGTTGTGTGCCACTGTGCCCAGGTGCGCCTTTGACAACATTTGTGCCTTTTAAATGGAATATGAATATTTTAATAACAATTTAATTTTTTCCATTATGCGCCTCACTTCACTCAGACACGCGCCTCGCTTTGAGACTAGGCACCAAAGAACCTCTAGCGCTTGTGTGCACTTTGATAACACTGCCGATAATAGAAGAATTGCATAATGCTCTAGAAGAAAGATGAAAATTTAAATATCTTTATTTATTTATTTATTTTCCTTGGCAAGAAACTTACACACCGGAATTTAAATATATTTATCTATAATAAAAATAAAAAGAAGAAGACGAAAGAAAAATAAAAGAAGTAAAAATTTTCAATCCTAAAATTTTTGTTCTTCGGAATCTGGGAGCAATTTTTCACTCAAATCAAGGGTGCCTAATATTAACGATTGGGCTGAGTTAAGGTACACTGCATATTGATGAATTCTAACATACACAATGGATTAACATGTACCAAACCTCAAGGAATAACATGCATGGACAAAGTCATTATATGCACATGCACAAAATGTTGGGAAGTGAAAGTTGACATTTGAGCTGTTGTGTTCTAACATCATTTTTTTCACGATGCCGAATAAGATTATTTAACATCATTAAGTACTCCATTCTAAACTTAAAACCTATTCTTGAAACTTATATTTGCCCTGTTTATATGCTTCTTCTTTTTTTTTTTATTTAATTAATTAATTAATTTATGAGGAAACAATGTAACAGAAGCCACAATTTCACTATTCACTAATGTCATAGTTCATTCTTGTTGTTCCTAATGAATGCAATCAGGTTTACCACATCTAGAACTTGAAATTCATTATATTTATTGTTGTCTGAGATTGATGTTAGACGGAAAGATTTCTTTATTTTTAGGAATTTGGACGAAATTCCCTCCCAAGAACACGCATAACCGAGAATTTAAGCAGAAATTCCAAAATTAAAAAAAAGAAAGAAAATTCTGATACCAACCTTGCAATGAAGATAAAGTCAATCGATGGAAGTTTCTTGTGATTGAAATTGCTCCGAAAACAACCCCACAATCGCCTATTTACGAAGTCGAATAGCCGCTGTTCAAGAAAACGCGTAAACTGGCGAAGCGAACTTTTAGGTTTACGGTTTCGCCGGTGACGTTGACGGAGTGAAAGATAATTAGGGTTTTGTTTGAACGACAGAGAGGTAGGGTTTTTTAATCCGTAAGTGGCGCGCAATTTTTTATTTATTGTTTTTCGCTTGGGGCGGAAATTTTCAGGCAACTCAAGGAAGAAGTTGGCCGAAACACGGGGTACCCAGAGAATACCACATGCGAAGAGTTGGGTCTGTTTAGCATTGTCGTTTTATATTTTTTTTGGAACAAATATGAATGAAAATAAAAAAAAAAATTTGACACCATCATAATTGAAAAAATGAAGAAGAGAAAAAAAAAATTTAAAATAAAGTCTGATTTCTTTGCATTTTTGTTGATTTTTATCTCCATAAATGCATCTCTTTTAGTCTATCTATCTCTTTTAGTCTATTTTTAAGAAAAAACTAAAATATCTCAATTGACGTAAGATTTCATTTATGTACAAAGAATATAACTGAGAGTTCAATTGCCGGATAACTCCAACAGATTTATATAAATAAAATTTAATATTATAATTATTATTTTTAACATTATTAAGACATCAACCGTTATACATATAAAAGATGACAAATTTATTGAATTATGGTAATCCCTATCATTACTCTCCTAACACAACCTAACTCAGTAAAGTGCATGATTTGTCTCAAATCCACAAGTTACATTTGATGAGAACCAGAGCAAATTTATAAAAATCTTAATACTGATACTATTGGACATCGAATAAGAAGGTAACTTAAATAATTGCAGTAATTACACAACAAGGAGATTTGTTGCATGATGGTAAATAAATGAATGACAGAATTGATGGTTTTCTAAATCTGTATAGATATTGTTTCTACATGTGTCTTGTGCAAAGCTACCTGATTTTCACATCTTGAATTAAAACCTTTTTGGATCCGCATAATAAATTTTAATTTACAAAATAAATATAATTTATGACAAAGGATGGGGTGAATTAATGATGCTAAATCTAGTAGATTAGTGTAATGGTGAATAATTGTCCATTTTAAGTTATTAGGTAGTGTTGTATATTCACTCATTTTATTTGGATCCGATGTGAAATGAGTACCCCTTGTAACAACTCGCAATGCCCTCGTTGCGATCAGGCCACCCAATCTATTTGGGTGGCTTACCCAGTCACTTGGACGCCTTTAGGACGAGGCGCTTGACGTGACACCGGATCAAATATTAGGTATGGCTCTGATAGACACTTACCTATTTATTTAAAATCTTAAACTATAATACTGCATATTTATTCATTTACATTCATTCATTTTTCATCTAAATCGCAAGTGAGACAAGTTTATCCATTTACACCCATTCATTTTTCATCTAAATCACATACGAGACAAGTACCCCGCATAGAAATTAGCACGTGTTTAGGTCATCAGTATTAGAAAGAAACCCACGAGGCAATGTTTAAATAAGCCTTCTTTATTATTTAAGGTTTGTTCGATTTTGGTTAGTTTTTGCTTGTTTATTTAATTATATTTATAAAATAATTTTTTTAAAAACCTTTTTATATCCTTTCCCACTTTCCTTCCGTTAAATATGAAGTAATAATAAACGTCTTCATTATTTATTTGTTTTTATTTTCGCACCATTTATTCTTTTATAAACAATTTTTAAGAAATTTTAAGCATGGTGATTTCAATGTGGACCAATCAGAGAGTAAAAAATGCTTACGGTATAACCGGTCAACCTTATCTTTATATAAAGTAAGTCCTATTTCGGATTAATCATTTCATCAAATAGATGAAATTGGAAAAGTGCACACAAAGGACGTAATTTTTAGCATTTATTATAGCAATTTAATAAAATATTAATAAAGAAAAGCTAAAATAGAAAACTTAAAAGCATAATATATTGGCGACGATGCCCAGAGTGAAGGCAAAACTCTAAAAGGACTCAAAGGCCACCAATTATTTTAGTTATTTACAGTTTCCTGCCACTACCATTCCGAAATACTCAAAACGACACTCAACGCTAAGTGCATGGAAGTAGCAAAAAGTGGAAGTAGCAAAAAAGTGGGATTTCGTGCTTTCCTTTTCAATTCCTTTTGCCGTTCGTCTTTTAGTAGGACCCACCAGATTGTGTGTTGCTGAGGTGGCAAACAGACGAAAAGGTAAAGGAAAAAGTTAAAAAAACCAAAGGAATTGCACTTTCTGGCAAAGCAAGTCCTTCCACGACGAACTTCAACCCTCTCCTCTGTTTAACACAAAAGCTATTTAACCTCAAAAAATCAAAACCCAATTATCAATATCATCAGAAAAGTCCGAAAAAGTGATTGAATCATGTTATTACTGTGTAAATATCAGTGTATTGAAGAGCTTCTTCAACTACTACTGCATGTATATATGTGTGTGTATATATATATATATTAGGGTTGTAAAATGGAAGAGAAGATGGTTATGAATTCCAGACGTTACGCATGTCCAAAATTGGCAGGTGACTATTTGCTTGAGAGACCAATCAACTTCAATCTTTTTGCATATTGGTCATTCACTACCCCGATTTTTGCGCATTTTCTGATTTTTGTACGTTACTCAGTGTGTCCAATTTCTCATGTTATGGACCAAACAACACTGAAGACCTTTTTCTTTTCTTTTTTGTATAGATATAGATATAGATTGCATCAATATAATCCAAACCCAGATGGATTGTTGAATTGGTTGGATTGTTGTCCAAGTGGTGGTGTGTCCTTTTGTGGAAATTGTAACAGGGTGGACAACTTTGTTCACATCTGTGCACATTCATGAGACAACTTAAATACACACAGACACACACATACTCTCTCTCTATCTCTCTATTTCTCTAGTGTTGTTGTGTGTGTAGGTTTTCAAGAAACAACTCCTGCTTTCTCTGCGAATCAAAGTGATGGATTTAGGAGGGTATGAAGGGAATGGGGCTGATGAAGACCAAGAAGCCTCAAATTCTCAAAAGGGCAAGAGAACCTATCATCGCCACAATGTTCAACAGATTCAGCAGCTTGAAACGTAAGACCACTTGTTGTTTTTATGAATTTTCATTGAATGGTCTTGATGACCATTTTTAATTTGACCCTTTTGTTTATAAAAGAGAATTGATTTGAATTTATGATATGTGTGTAAATGGAGGCCTTCATTTTTACTTTCTCATTGATTTTAATTTATGTATATCTTCCTCCATTAATTTTCTTTATGCAGGATTAATGATTAAAGACTGTTGTTTTAGTATACACGAATGTGTTTTACTTCTTTTTTTCTTTTCTTTTCAATTGAGTCTTTATTAAATCTATATAGATGGTCTTTGATAATGACAATCAAGGTTTTTGAATTTGTTTGGTTTATGTGGTTAATCAAAGTTTTTCTCTGAATGCTTTTTAGTATATATATGGTTAGTTTTTTATATGGGATTCTATTGAATCTGTGAATGAGGTTGTTCTTTTTGGCTCTCCTGATACATGAAGGTGATTTTTTTTTTTTGTCTGATGGGAATGAAGGTTCTTCAAGGAATGCCCACATCCAGATGAGAAACAAAGGCGTCAATTGAGCAGAGAGTTGGGCCTTGAGTCTAGGCAGGTCAAGTTTTGGTTTCAAAACAAGAGGACTCAAACAAAGGTGCTCTCTTCTTCTCACCCTGCATTTTTGTTTTTATCATATAATGTGCATCGTTACTTGTTATTCTGCCTCAAAGATGGCGATTCTAACTTTGCTTGCTATGATTCAGACTCAGCATGAGCGAGCTGATAACTACACTCTTCGAACAGAAAATGAGAAAATCCAATGTGAGAACCTCGCAATTAGAGAGGCTCTGAAGACTGTGACATGCCATGATTGTGGCGGTCAGCCCTTTAGGAACGAAGAGCAACAGCATAACATAGAGAGATTACATATAGAAAATGCTCAACTAAAACAAGAGGTTTGCTTTGATTTTTGGAAGTTTATCAGGGCACATTGAATTTTCATTGTTCACTGTCCATTTACTTTAAATTTTGTCATGGTATACATGTCTTGCAGCATGAAAGAGTGTCTATCCTTGTCAGCAAGTTCCTAGGAAAACCAGTCACACAAGTCCTGCCTCTGTCGCCCGCCCTAAGATCTTCAATGGATTTTCCAGTAGAAAGTTACCCAGGGCATGGGATGGCAGTCCCTTCATTTGATCTTGTCTCAGGCAATCTTAACAATCCCACACTGCCATACCAGTTGAATCTGAATGGAATCCAAGAGATTGAAAAATCACTAGCAATTGGGACTGCTGTCAGCGCCATGGATGAATTGATCAAGCTTTTGCGAGTCAATGAGCCTGTGTGGTACAAGTCCCCTACTAGTGAAAGATACGTTCTTCATCGTGACAGCTATGACAAGCTTTCCTCTCGAGTTAATCACTTCAAAAATTCCAGTGCTCGGATTGAATCTTCAAAATATTCGGGTGTGGTGATGATGCCTGGAATGCGCTTGGTTGACATGTTTTTGGACTCGGTTAACTCTGATACTCTCCTTTTACTATGTCCCTTTGAATCTAAACTCTAACTTGAATTGTATGATATAATTGCTTTAATTCTGCAGGCTAAATGGGTGGATCTTTTTCCTACTATTGTTACAAAAGCAAGGACAATTGAAGTAATTGATACGGGAATGTTAGGAAATCAGGATGATTCCTTACAGCTGGTATATTGCCTGAAAGTCCATGTAAATAATTCGTATTCCATTAATTAAATTCTGAAAAAGTTAAGTATGTCAAAATGAACCTTTGACACAGATCTACGAACAAATGCATATTTTGTCACCTCTTGTGGCACCTCGAGAATTCTTCTTCCTCCGTTTTTGCCGACAACTCGAACCAGGTGTTTGGGTGGTGGTGGATGTGTCATATGATTACTTCAGAGAGAACCCTCATAGCCCTCTTCGCACTTGGAAGCTTCCATCTGGTTGCATGATTCAAGATATGTCCAATGGGTGCTCCAGGGTGAGTTCTATAATAATTTTTATTATTTTTGCGTACATATATGGTGCAAATTAAAGCTAGGTCTTCATCTTCTGAGAAACATCTTACCCCTTGTTGTAACTCAAGATAGGGTTGGTTTTATATTTAGTGCCCCAGAAGTAATATTCTTTGATCTATAATCAATGTTACATTAAAATATAAGCTGACGAGTTACAACCCTGCATTTTCCTGTTGGGTTATTAAAGAACCTTTCATTGTCCATTCTATGAGGTGACATTATGTGATTAGTTAATTTACTTTGTATTATTTGAGTGGGTATAGTGGAGAGGAACTGAATTTATAGATAATGAAATGCCATTGGAAACATTATTCATCTTCAAAATGACCACTGGCTAGTTAGCCCGGTCCTGCAGATTCCCAAAGGATGGGAGGGAGCCAGTCTATCTGGCGCTGGGACTGGGGGGAGCCAGTCTATCTGTTGAGCTTAGGAAAAAGCTACCAGATAATGAAAATAGAATCTCTGAAATGAATTGAAATAGTTTTGTTGTCGTTTACCAAAAAAAAAAAAGGATGGTTGTGCATGCCTCACTTGGGCCACACATTATCTCATGTCAATGATCAGAGCATATCATCATTACCGATTTAATGTTGCTTTATTAACAGCAGATATAGAGTTATTTTCTTTTTTTATCTACACGCACCTTTTTCATTTATTATCATTTATCACAGTAATGGTAGTACCGCTAGTAGCATATGATCTTTAGGCATACATTGATGTTGTTTCATACTTACCCAATTAACCCAACGACATTTATATGCTTCATGTTTGTAATTATGGTGCCTCTGATATCAGGTTGAGCTTTGACACCCACTTCTTAATTTGATAGGTTACTTGGGTGGAACTGGTTGAAGTTGACGATAAATCCCTAACTCATCGTCTCTATAGAGACTTAGTGTTTAATTCTTCAGCATATGGGGCAGAGCGATGGGTTGTTACTCTACAAAGGATGTGTTTGAGGCTGGCATACTCAATGGGCGAAAACTCACCAAGTCGTGAACTTGGAGGGGGTACTCATTGTCAACTATCAAACTCGTGCCTTTCTTAATTCCCTTTTTTTTTTAAAAAAAAAAAAAAAGGTTCTTTAACCTTTTCATTTGGGTTTGATAGTTCTCTATGTTGTCCAGTGATCAATAATCCTGACGGTAAAAGAAGCATAATGCAGCTTTCACACAGGATGATGAAGAATTTTTGTTCAATACTAAGCATGTCCAATAAAGTGGATTTCCCTCATTTCACGGAGCTGAACAATAGTGGGGTTAGAGTCTCTGTTCGGATGAGTGACGAACCTGGCCAACCTAGTGGGATGGTGGTTAGTGCTGCAACCTCCTTATGGCTCCCTCTTTCATGGGAGACACTTTATAATTTCTTTAGAGACATGAATACGAGATCTCAGGTCCGTGAAACATTTTAATCTTAATCTGGTCATTGTATATGGGACTGTTAGGAAATCAATAACAATAATGGGGCCTTAACTGTTGAGATTTTCTTCCTTTTGTCTATAGTGGGATGTGCTCTCCAGTGGAAGTCCAGTGCACGAGATTGCAAACATCTCCATGGGCACTCATCCTGAAAACAGTGTCTATGTTATTCAGGTATTTCATTTTCTAACTTCATTGCTATCTGGGGTGTGCAAAAACCAGTTGCTTGAAATATCAACTTCATTTCCCAGTGGAATTTAATTACTTCCTAAAAATGATAATAGGATAAAAAAATGTTGAGGTCATTCGTGGAAAACTTTAAGGTGATCTCCTAATAACAAATTTGAAGAAAATAAATGCTCACTAACAATGTTATTACCAAAGTTGGTTGGTTGGTTGCTTCTTTTTTTTCTGGATGTTTTTTGGTTGCTTGCTTCCATGTCAAATTGAATCAACTAGTTAAACAGTTTTTCCACATAAACACAAAGAAACAAAACCTATTCTTGCAACACTGCCACAGACAGTGAAACCTATTTATTCGAAGCGCTCCAAAGTAAGGAAAAGCTAGAATCAGTCTATATTCATGTAACATGTGATTGCTTAAACTTTTTGGCGGGATATATCTCATCTTTCTTAGTCTGATTACTAAGTTGTCAGTTCAAATCACGAGTTCACTAAAATTTAATGTGTTGGTTTCCATGAAGCAGCCTTTTGTCCCCAATGAGAGCAACATGCTGATACTTCAAGAGAACTGCGTAGACTCTTTGGGAGCACTAGTAGTCTACGCTCCCTTAGACATACCTGCTGTCAGGTCACTTATAAGTGGTGAGGACTCTGCAAGCATACAAATACTTCCATCAGGGTTCACAATGTGCGGTAGCGGCTGTCTTGACAAAGGAACTGGAGCTTCAGCCAGCACAAGCACCTGCAGGTCTTGTGGTTCGCTTCTCACCGTGGCTTTCCAGATACTGGTCTGCACCCTGTCGTCCTCAAAGCAGCTGAATATGGATTCCGTGGCTACTGTCAATACCCTTATCAGCTCCACCGTTCAGAAGATCAAGGCTGCTTTAGATTGCACTAATGTGGATTGAAACAAGGAAGGCGTTTTCAATTTTTTGTGGTGCTGCTGTTTTATGTAAAGATTGTTGAAGACACATATGGTGTCCCTTCCGAAATCAGCTGATTAAAACAACCGATTTTGCATGTATATGTTAAATTTTTTAATTCTGTTCTAATTTTGACAGAAATGTGGCATGTACACAGATTGTGTTCTATTTTCTTTGCTTCTCTGCTTTCCAGAACTATGCGTTTGAGAGGTCCTAGTTGGAAGAAGATTAGGGTGGAATACTGTCTAATAAAGACTTCAGCTAATAATTTCTCTCAGTTTATGTCCGGATATTTGGTACATGAACTATTTGTAGTAAGTATGACATTAGATATTAATTTTATGAAAAATTTGAGTAAAATAAATTGTGTTGAATCTAAGAAATAGGTATCTCATTCCGAGTGGGAGTACGTATAAGTTTAACATTTTTTATGGAGCTGCCCATTCATATAGGTACATTTTTATACATAAATATATATATACACACACATTTCAGGATGGCAATGGGATAGTTTGGGGCGAGAAACACCATTCCCATCCTCGCTTAAAATAACTACCCACATTCCCGTCCCGTTTAATAAATAGGAAGGAAAAAAGGGAATAAAAATAATATTCGACTTCTCATGCAAAACTTATTGTTGTAGCATCAAAATAATACATAAAAGTTTTCAAATAAGAATAATACAAAAAAATATTTAGTGGTTGAAATATAATAAACTAAGATTTACTTAATATATTCTTACAATTATTGAATATAAAATAAAGTATAAGGATAAAATTATAAATTATCATTATGAACAATCATTTAACCATCCCTATAACCGCCGCTCTAAACAGACGGACAGGTATTTTACCATCCCTTCGTACAGCCCATGACAAGTTTTCCGTGTTACCTACCGAAAAATTAGTAATAATATGATGTGACAAGCTGTTTCGTAGATCTAAAAATGCAGTTTCCAGTTCCAGATTTTCCAGAGAATGCACTACAAAACCTAGCAGAGAATATATCAAACACGCATGCTATTAAATTGATTTGTAGAACTAGAACACATAGCAAGGTATATATTAAAAAAAAAAAAAAAAAATTGATAATCCAGTCTAGAAATTAGGAAAAGAATTACAAAAGGATGTAAAAGTTTGATCTACTTGAGATGCAGAAAAATAATTCTTATGAAGCATTACAAACCAAGTCAGAACAGCAGAGCTAAACGGGTTGAAGAGAAAAAAAGACGAGGAGATGAGATTTTGCAAAGCCGAAGATACGGGTTATTTAACCCGACCATTAATCCCCTAGCTTTGTAGTATCATCAGCTGAAAGCGCAATTGCCATTATATGTACCTGTATCAACTCCACAACCTGTCAAAAATCTGTGTCATCGAAAGAAAGTACTGCAAGAATTTGCCATTGAGACCACTATAAGCAAAGGCGAATTCTATGCTCTTCCATCTCTTCACCACTTATCATCGACGACTGGGCATTTCTCTCCACTATACATCTCTTGTAGGGCACGAAGCCCCTCGTGAAACTGCCAGCACTGGCTTTTGGCTCTTTCTCAGCTGGTTTACGCAGGAACTCCCTTTCAAAAGAATCTAGGCAACTTTGGGTCTCCACCATCCAATTTTTATTACCATCTTCCTCCGCATTTGCTGATCCAGTGTTCGAACCAGTCCAAAATCCTTCCTTTTGAATAGCACAGTTTTGGGTTTCTCTACTATCAGTGAATGGATGTGGTTTTATTGGAATTGGCTTCTGTGGTTGAAGGGAGTAAAATGATGTCCCTCCACTAAAAGCCCATGGCAGAGAACCACAAGTAGCTTCTGGTGGATGTGAATTTTTATTTGGAAACTGCGTGTAATAGAGTGCTGCAGGTGCTCCATGCATTGGACTCCATGTACATTCAGTGTTACCGTGTACCAGTTCCGTATTCACTAAACTTAATGGCAATGTCTGCACAGGTCTCCCATCACTCGTGTCTGGAGATGCTGACTTGCAAGCTCCCATGGTTGGAGAAGATGGTCTGCAAGAATCTGTAACTAATACAGTCTTTCCAAAAAGTTTCAGGCTCTGCATAGATGCTACATCAGCTGAACCTTCTTTAACAAAATCATTGTCTTGGTCAAGCAATTCCACCTTCTGGCCATTGGAGCAAATACAACGAACACAAAGTTAATATGTAGAATAACAAATTGAGATTATTAAAAGGAAACAGAAAGCTGAGGGCTAGTTGGAAAATTACCACGGGAACTTCCTCATCCGAGCCTGAACTAGCAGCTACTTGGACTGGCAAAAGAGATCCGTTTTCTTCTGAACATCGATTGGTTTCGAGTAAGAAGCCATAGGGGTTTACATCAGCAGCAGACGAAACTGGTGATAAACTACCATTTGGGGTATTCGATTCTGTAGTACCCAGTGTATCTGAACCAATTGTAGACAATACTGAAGTTGGAGACTGGTTCTCTTGGTCTGAAATTGACAAATTTGGAGATGCTGAACTTCTTACTTGATCTGGAAACAGGGTTCCAATTTTAACAGGCGGTACCGATTTACGAGGATATGGGTGCATAGGTTTCCTCTTTGGACGAGGAGGAGGAATTTCAATGGAGTTCACTGCATCGTTGCTACTCTCACGAACCAACTGATTGCAAAAGAGAACATCTGAATCAGAATGGCACGGAATATGAAGTGGGCAAACCCTTGAAAACGTTTGCACGCCTTGGGGTCATATAAATTTAACTTACTTCAAAATATAGCATTGAGATGTAATCATAGATAATGGACATGGAGGAACAGCAGTAAACCTTAGAAAAGAATTTTTGAGCATGGCTCCTAATCTGAACTGCAGTTTTGGTACCCACATGCTCTGTAGAAGATTGAAGTAACCTAAGTATATATCAAAGGCAAAGAAGCAGGCTCAAAAACCAGAAAGCATCAATGTCAACTAAAATTATACCTTCTATTCTTCGCCAAGCCCGACCATGCAGCTTTAAAGCTTCAAGGAACTTCTTATGCTCTTCTTCTGTCCACCTTTCTCTCTGTTTTGTAATTGTGTATGGTTTTCTCACCTGTTAAAATAGGGATTAAAAAGAATGAATACCAAAGAAAATGGAAACTACAGGCCATTCTCAAAATGGAAGCATGTCATAGAGCGCACAAAGACCTTTGGAGCATAGTCATCCCTAGTAGGAAACTGCTCCTTCAGCTGGATGCCAGTTAAGGAATTGGGGCCAGCATCCAATGAAATACAATTGCCTGTAGGAAGAACCATGTCTGACCAGGTAGCTCCACTTTGATCCTATATCAGATAGAATTCAATTGCTGTCAAGAGGAGTCCGTTCAATGTTGTAACAGATTTTCAATGAGTGTCCAGAAGTTCCAACTAAGAGCAGATATTGAAAATGGTTTTCAGGAACAATACCAAAAGACTTTGAATTTTCATGGAAAGTTCGGGTCAAAAACACAGCTTCCACTTTAGCTGAAGTAAAACCAGTTTTCCTTCACTCCAATCATATGCAAAGTGATTGTATTTCTAAAATTATAATTTTTTATTATCTAAGCAAGCATCTCTCTTCTGCCTCAGTATCATTTATAAACCTTCTAGCGAAATCCTTTACCCAGTGAAAGAAAAGAAAAAAAATATATATCCATAAATTATCTCCAACATATTCTTAAAGTTAGGCTAAAAGATTGTGATTGGCACTATTTTCTTGGCTTTTCTCACGGTTCTAATATTTCCAAGTGAAAAAGTGAATTCAGAATTATTCCTCACAACATTGACATAATTTCATTGAATCCTAAATTCAATAGTGACAGATTATCTACCATTCTCTATACCTGACCAGAAACAGACTGAGATTGCAAAAACTTCCAAGGCAAACAAGGAGAGACACAAATATAAATGATATAAACCAACCAGTATACCGGAATCTAGCTACTTCAATGCACCACAACTACAAACCACATACAAGAAAGAAATCAGGTAAAAATAAATTACATAATGAATAATTAAACAATGTGAAATCCCAATTCCCCTTTGTTTAGACACTCCATGAAAATTGGATGGAAGTAGGACAAATCTGGAGGAAACTAATACAGTCCATAATTATATTTTTCTTGAATTATACACTCCAAAATTTTCATTTTATGAAATTATTGAAAACAAACCCCATCGACGTGACAGAATGCAACCTCACAATTTTCTTTTCTCCAGACCACCACCACCATTAAAATTTCTCATGGTGTAAATACAAAAGCCAATATTTAATACCATTAGATAATTTAACCAATTTGATTTTGGACGGTAAATCGAAAATTTGACCTGGATTCATTACCCATAAAGAGAAAGTCATAGTGAATCCCATAAAGAGAAAGTCATAGTTTCATGTGACTCTTTAACGAAACAACTTTGCTCCAGAACATAAACAGAAAAGTAAATTAAGTGATCTATATACGGTGTTCTACAAGATAAATAAATAAATTACCATCAAAAGATGCATCAAAGCAGTCAAATAACCATTCAAACAACACAAAATAAAAACCCAGAAATTACAAATAAAAATATAAGTTTTTTAGCCTAGATATTGCATACCTCTATAGCCATAGCTTCTGAAACCATCCTATTCTGTTTGAATTCGATCCCACTTTCTCCTTTAGCGCACACAACTTCAATTCGTAGTAACAACAACTGCTTTATCTTCACTCTGTTCCCCAGAATAAATATAACACAAACTGTTCATAAATTAGAGCTGCTTCTTTCTCCAAAGCTCCAAATTGATTTTCCAAACAGTTCAGCACAATCACAAACTCGTCTCTCCATCCAAACAAAACAAAGAAACACCGAACTCTTTCTTCATTATATCCACCAAATCTCCAGTTTTCACCTCCAGAAACCCTAAAATTAATCGATCCACAGATCGAAAAGACAATTGAAACAACTTGAAGCCTGAAAAAAAGTTCAGGAAGAATATAGCAGAAAATCGCCTAAAATTCACCGAGAACAAGAAAGGTATGGAATTGGTTTTACAGAGAAAAACTTTCAGAGTATGAATTGACTCAGAAATAGCAGAGTAAGAAAGAAATTGCAAGGTTTTGCGAGGAACAGAGATATCTGAAGCGGTGATGTTGCGGCAGACTGTTCGGATGCTGAGAAAGTTGATAGAGAAACTAGAGAGACAAGGAATGAAAACAGAAGAGAGTGAGAGAAGAAGCAGCTTCGGACTCACAAGAACAGAGGCTGAGAGAGAGAGAGAGAGAGAGAGAGAGAGAGAGAGAGGGGGGGGGGGGGGGGGGGATGTGAATTGAATAAATTTTGGTTTCTGAGAGTGAGAAAAAGAAATGAAGAAGAAAGCAGAGGTTGCCACGTCAGATTTCCACTTTTTTCATTTTTACAATATTTTGGAGAAAGATCGAGAAATCGATGGAGTCTTGTGGCTGAGGTCGAAAGAGGGTCACCGACACGTGGCTTTGTATTTTATGGACTTCCGTTTTTTCATTTAATATAGTGGTGCTTTATTATTTTAGTAATCGCTAAATAAAAAAGAAGATAAGATGTACTCGCATGTGCAAATATAAAGAACTATACTTGCACTTTAGTATAGCCACGTGTCTCTTTCTTTGTGCAGATGCAAATTTTCACATGAAATTGGTTGTTGATGTGATTGAGCATGAATCTCCAATTTCATGATTTTCACTATTCCCAAGTCAACTCATAATTTTTTAACCATTTGGATGTTGTGCTGTTTTGTTTATTACCCTTATACAATAGTAGGAAAGTAAAATTAGAAATTTTTGTAATTTAATTTGACCTTAGGTTAAAATCACACAAGCATTCTTAAAAAAAATATAAAGTTAGATTACTTTTTAAAAATAATTGTGAAATATGAAAGCTTGATATGTATTTGCATTATATTATATTGTAAAAGATACATGTGAGAAACACTTTATGAAGTTCAAATAAATATTATTTCTTTTTTTTACTATGTTGGGAATCTCCATTAATAAATTATAAAAGGTTTCTAGCATTTAATTAAATATCTCTTAATTCAATAGTGTGATTTAATTCTCACCCTGAATAGGTATATCTCAATTCTAATACAAAACGTGCAAGTTTGTAATAAATATGACATGAATAAATTTAAAATTAATTTACTTAGATTCTACCTCGTGCACGGTCAACAGCTACGCACAAACAAAAAATAAATGTAAGCATAAATTCAACTAGTTAAGAATAAGGATCAATTAAGTTGATCTAAAATAACAAATTCAAATTTTTTATTTTAAAAGGGTATGAAAGAATTGAATTTAACCGTAGTTGATCATAAGTCATGTTATATAAAAAAAAATGCACAAAATATACTCATGCTATTTAACATGTATATATAAATTCTCAACAATTTAATATATATATCAATTGTCTCCTTAATATCTATTGACCTTTAGTTTTGACCATTTTTTTTTATTTATGAAAACTCCGAAAAAAACTCTTAATGTAACCTTTAAAATTGAAATTTATTATTTATTATTTTTATTTTGTCTTAAAGGCATTTTAAGAATTTAAACTTTTAAATTGACAAAATATCGTTATTTACTCAATTTAAAAAATGTAAGATTTTTTCAATGCCAAGTCTGGAGGTTATTTCCACATTCTGCACATAAGAAGGGTTTTTTTTTTTTTTTTTTCTTTTCTTCTCTCTCTCTCTCTCTCTCTTTGCCCTCGTTTTATTGGTTGTTGCCTTGACAAAAAAAATAAAATAAAATAAAATTAATTCGTACAAAAAAATAAAAAATGTTTTTATTGGTCCTTGGACCTTTGGGGTAGCGAGTATGCAGGTGATCATACTACAAGGAGTGCACCTACTTTCATAAATATTAAAGAAAACACAAATATCCAATTTGTGTATATTTTAATTAAAATTTGGCTTTATTGAATGATATTTTTTGTGATGATGAAAAAAGATAAAATATCTATAGCCTCTAAAATAACGGAGGGAGAGAGAGAGACACACACACACGGTAGGCCAAGAGTTGTGGATATCTATCCTCTGGAATAAAGGTCAGGAAGAGAGAAAGTGAGTAGATGACGATAAGACGAGCTTATGTATTTTGGTATGGTCTCAGGTGTGACTTTCTCTGTACTTTTTCGCCAGCTCAGCACCACTCGCCGTCGCCACGTGTATTTCGCTAGAATTTAGAGAGAGAAAGGAGAAAAGGGTAGAGAGAGCTAGAGAAGGTTGGGTTGATTGGATATGGATGCTTTTGGTCCACTCGTGTGTGAATGGGGACTGTTCAATGGGCTATTATTATTAAATTCAATAAATATTTGTGGCCACAAGTTTCTCTCTCTAAGAAGAGGTGTTTTCTGGCAATAGACGGATATAAAAAAGGTCATGCGACAATGCCAGGTGTGTGTGGAAGGTTCAAGTCAAGATTGAACCACACACCCGAACTGATAAAAAGCTAGACCAAACCCACATCACTCAAACGAGAGGCTCAAGATCTTTTTGTTAGATACATACCATACATATACATATATATATATAATTATATATATACGCATTTATACTTTTATTTGCTTTACGGCTGAACCACATGGGTCTGACACACGACGCGTTAACTCTCTTTGTCCTCCCTCTAGTCTCTCTCTGCACTTGATTTTAGGTTTGGTGGGTGGTAACTTTATTACCGTGTACTTTAATAAAATTTATTTTGATATAAAATCACATTATTGTCTTTAATTCTTGAGAATCTAATATATAGTACATTTACATCATTTTACTTTTAAAAAAAAAATTGCATTTGTTAAAAAGTGAATTACATTTTTTTTTTTTTTGGTAAGTAAGTGAAGTGTAGTTATTTATTATTATTATTATTATAAAATTCGTTTTTCCTTCTTTCTTTGATAATAGTATTACACAGAGGGAGTGATAAGAACTTGATTCAAAGGATAATTTTTCGTGATTTAAAAATTGAGATTTAAGTTCACAATGGATTAAGAACGAGTGTGTGTGACATAGCTATTCAAAATAAATAAATAAATAATTGAAAAGTAATTGAATAAAGGAAAACATGATATGACCTTAAATATAAATACTAAGGAGATTCTTAATCTCTTTTCTTATTACTAACAAATGTAATATTACTGGTAATTTTTAAATAATAATACATTTACACATATATTTTTTAATTTTAATAATCAACATTAAAAATAATAACCAACCATGCATGAAGTTTCTACGAAAAATTTATTTATTTTTGGTGAATACCATGAAATGAAATTGTTATCACAGAAATTATCAAACAAAGTTATAAAATTTTTTTGTTACTGTACACGATAATTAATCATCACAGATTCACATGAGCTCATAAAAAATAAAAAAAACGGATTGGTACTTGAAAATTTCCATTGATTATTACTGGGACATTCTGGAAAGAGGAAAATTTCAAATTTTGAAAAGAATGGGGCTAAAGTGATCTATTATTATTTATGTTAGACTATACATGTAATATAACATTCCTTATTGTTTATATTCGTGGAACACATTCAAAGGTAATGTTTACATGCAATGCATCCAATTTTCATATCTCCTAATATGGTATTAGATCCTTCGATTATTGGTAATGGGCTTATTAGTTTATTGTAATTGTTGTCGGGGATGATATCATTAGTCGTATCTTTTACAACGGTCAACCTTCAAATTGAGGTGGTCGGCAACGATGTGGATACAGTGGCGAGATGCGTCATTCTTGGTGTCCGATCACGTCGGATCGCGCCAGCGGTGGATACTCACAGTTTAACCTGTGCGTCTCCGACGATGATTGTGCCTCGAGTGGACGACAAAACCAAACATGAACATTTGATTTGCTGGTCGCCCGTAGCGCTTAATCCTTTTTACCGTTCGCTGATTGCCCGTAACCCTTAACCCTTTTCACCGTCGTCTCCTCCTCTCTGCAACCCCTCACAGTCAGTCCTCATAATCCTTAACCTTTTATTTTTTTAATATTATATAATTTTTTTGTTCACATGGTTTTTTTTCTATTGGGCCACCTAACCAAACATGCATCCTTGTCTAAAATAATAATTTTACATAATTTTATTTTTTTAATATTATTTTATTTTATTGACAAAAAGGTATTATAATATTTTTATATAGACATGAAATATTTGTATCAAATTAAAAATAGAATGGTGTTTTATACCAATAGTATATAGAAGTTTTTTTTTTGCACTTAATCTTAAAATTTATTTACTATTGCAAAGCTCTCTTTTAAAATTAAAAAGTGTCGTCGATCAAGCAATTTAAAATATTTTTGTGGTACATGATGATCTGTACGAAAAGGACGTTCAATCCAATAAATTTTATAAGAATATAATTAACCGAGTGCAAGACTAATTTAGTACCAAACTAAAATATTAGTAAAACGAGAGGCTCAAGTTCATTTACCTCTCTATCTCGAGATTAGTAGCACTGCACTTTTAAGGATAATGAATAAATGGCTGAGAATGATTTGGCGGTCCAATTCGTGCTTTCCACCATTACAATGTCTTTTAATCATACAGGAATAACAGGACTGAATATCCCCTTCTGCTACTTGAAACTTATTAATTTCTTTTTCAATTTTCTTTTATTTTTTTTTATTATTACTTTCGTCATTGGCTAACATCATAGCCCTTTTAGTTCATATTTTAAAAAGTGTCCTTTTTACTCTTTTATTTTTCCAAAAATACCCCTCCTCCTCTACGCCCAAAAAAACATCATGAAATATAAATTTTATAGCTTTTTTACTTTCTATTTTAAAAAGTGTGCAAAAAAACACTCCTATTTTTTTTAATTTATGCAAAAACACACTTCAATTAATATAACATCTTTTTTACTCTTTTACTTTTTTAAAAATGTCCCTCCTCCTCTACACCCATGTACCATCTGACCTCCTCCTCTACACCCCCCATTGCCTCCTCTCGTCGAAATCATCCTGACCTCCTCGACTAGTACATGAACTACACTTCCTACTCTCTTTGCCCCTCGGCTCCGACCTCGCTGAAACCCTAATTCTTCGCGGCTGCCATCCTCCTCCTTGCCGTTGTTGCTTCGCCAAACCCCACCAAAATCATGTTTTGAGACAATGTTCAATATGGAAATTTCACCCCCTTTATCCCAATATAAGCATAAAGATCCATGAACACACAAAATCTCTAAATTATACGTCTGTCACATATATAATGGTGTGTGTTGTGCTTGCAAATTAGATCACTGAAAGTAGCTTCAGAATGTAATACTATATGAAAGTAACTCTTTAATACCTGCTGCTATATCATGTCTGGCATATTCCTAAAACAGTCACCCACCCAATCTGAGTTGAAACGAGGCATGGAAGGCTGATTGCCTCAGTACCCAACTCAATTAAATCTTATTTGAAAGAGAAAAAAAACAACAACAACAACAACAACAACAACAACAACAAAAAATGGTGCATTGGGTCCATACTTGTATAGCAAAGAGACACATAAATATATCGATTATCTAATCTTAATAGTTATGGGCTAGTTAATTTTAGTAATCCTCCGAAGAATTATAAACTTCTTAAATTTAATAAAATTTTAATCATGACTTGAAGGGTTATCGTTATTATTAGTAGCAAGTGTCTAATTCAGGTTTCATTATTAATTAGCCTAAACTATATATCTGGTATAAAAAATGTTGCTTTCTATATAAGCTTTAGGAGAAGTTCATATCTGTCATAGAACCTCAAAACTCTCTCTCTCCAATATCTCATTTTACAAAGCAATTTTTTACACATTCAAAATTATTAATATCTTTTCAAATAAACAATATTCTATTAACTGATATGCAGCAAAGACATAAAGGTGTCTGATAAAATTGGAACTACACACAGAAGAATACCTAGCCCCTGTGCAACGAAAACAAGCACAAATCAAGAAATGGTCCAAATATTTTATCCATACCCAAAAAACAAAAGACACAAAGGAGATGAGGCATCCTCCCACAACACCACAACTACAAACACTAGTCAACAAGTAAAACATAAAAGGAAGCCATATAATAGCCAAAGAAAAACCCGATAACTAGCATCCCCAAGGAGGGTAGTAGTCACCCCTAAAATATTTGACTGTTGTCTTTCAGCCAAAAGTAGGCAGACTCATTCCCTGATCCATGAATCTAACATATAAAAGAACCGAAAGAAGACCATATATCCTGAATTTGAGTCATTCTATGAACATAAACAACCATTCATCTTCTCACTTGAAAAGTTATCTAAAATGTTTGAAATGCATGTTATGATTGAGATATTATATATCATTTGTGTACATTAAAGAGCGCAGATGCACCTTGATAAACTGGTAGATTGTTTGCCTAGGCTGACACGGACTATAAGACAAGTATGCCAAGAAATTACAATAATGGGAGCATATTTGAACATAGATTGCTTCTAGTAGTTCCATAAAGATAATACATAGCACACCAAATGCTAATCCAAGCAAAATCTATGTTGAAACTTTCAAACACGTAACATAAGCAGACTGTGGTCTATCAACCTGAAACTAGCCTAGTATAATTAAAACCATTTTTAACATTTATATTTAGTGATGATTTTAAGTATCTATTTTCTTTCTCATTAATAATACTGAGTAATTGTGTCAGTTTCAGACGATCCTTTTAACATATGACGACTTGAGCTTAAGGTTTTGCAATTCAAATCATAAGCAGTACAGGATGGATCGGGCAGCTTCAGATTCAGCAGAAAAGTCACAAGTTGCTGTGCAATCAAATTCCAACATCCATGGGTAGGAGAAAGTTTAGCTATGTGACAACAATATAAAGTCATTTTCTCTGTGTCAAAGTAAATGCATTCCTAAACCTAGTGGGCATATACAAACATCTTTGTGCACTGGAAAAGACAGCATTAATTTTCTTAACAATAAAATGAAAAACAAGAGTAAAATGTAGCAAAAAGGATGCAACCCATTTCCACTAAATAAAATTGCCTTGGAAGTGTGCTGCAGAATCTTTAAATTTAATTCTATAAAGAAACTACTAAACCACACCGAAGTAACTCAACAAGATCTTAATGGCTTAATTGAAATTGCAAAGAATGTATTAATATATTCATATAGAACTTTAGAAATACATGTTGTGTGAGTATACAATTTACAAACATGTGTTGAAAGGAGAGAAGTAAAGCATTAACCTTAACATGAAACTACTGTCACAAAAATTTCAATACCGAGTTAATTTGTAGCCAAGGAAGAACGTGGAAAAAAATCAGGTAGACAAATTAAGCAGCCTAGCAAACATCAATAGCAGTAACCTAGTTATGGAACCCTTTTATTTCCTCCAAGAAATTGGTGCCTCGGAGATCAAAAAGAAAACAGAACTATTCCATCACAGCTTCTAACGAGATTCAATAAGCAACTCATTCAGCATGATATGAACAGCAGCTTCATAAACAGCCCCATGGTAATGCATCCCATCATCTGTACACATCGTCCCACATTTCCAACTCAATGAGAGAATATTCAGTAACAGAAATGGTCCACCGGATTGGTGCAAGAGCTTACTTCCATAAAGCTGTTTGTCATAAGCATCCCGCAGTGCATTAGTCATCTTATCCCTCTTCTTCTCTGTATTCAACATTGAGTTGATCAACATTGGCATACCGAGCCAAAACAAGTGGGGAGATTGAATGGAATTGGAACCTACGGCAGGTCCAGGTCCATGAGTGTCGAATTCCCGAGAAGCTGGTACCAATGACACCACCAAGTCCCTCAACAATCGCAAGGAAACACCATAATCCCATGAGTTTGTCACATGTAACATATGCCACAAACCTGCCCCCATTACCAAAACATCTGGGAAATTCTTATTTCGCTTAAATTCAACCATCAAATCAGTTAAATTCATCACATAAGGTGCCCACCTAAAATCCAATTTCATTCCAATTCCATCAATCACAATCTGATAATCACTGTGCCTCTTAAATAGATCACCCCGAATAGAATCCATCTCTTCCGATCCCAAAACCAAACTCAACAATGAAACAACAACCAAACGAGCTTGTGAGTCCCCAGCAACAACCACCCACGAACCCTTAAGCATATCCAACGCATCAGACACACCAAAATTTTCGAACCCACAAGCAACAACAGGTGCAGAATTTGACCAATTCCACCCACCATAGTTGGACGAAACACCCAAGTTTTCAATTCCACCAATTGGTTTGACATCGAATACAATTTCATGGAGTAACGAAATGCAAATAAAGCGATTTTCTAACACTAGTACTGATGATGATGAAAATGAAGATGAAGAAGTGGAAATTGAAGCCAAGTAAGGAATGAGATGGACACATACAGTAAGAGTGATGAACAGGGCTCCGCTGAAAAAGAGCATCTTGTTGCGGCTGAGATGCCAACCCGCCATTGCCATGGGGACTACAAAGAGAACCACACAGGCGGCTAATACTCTGAATTGGAGGGTCCTTAGCATTTGATGAAAATTTGGGGTTAGGGTTGGGTTTGTGTTGCTATTGTTTGTTGATTCAAACGTTGGGATGTTTACGTAAATCATAAGATCAATTTTTTAAATTTTTTTTTTTGCAGATTAAGGTTAGGGATGAGGTGGTTGGTGTGTTTCGCTTGTGAACGAAGGAGCGATCTAATAAGTGATAGTAATGGCACAACTAGAGAGAGAGATGTTTCTGGTCGAAATGTTGGAGACGATGACGATCTCCTCTAATTCGGGCGGGTTTGCCAACCCAAATGGCTCATACGGGTTACTTTTATTTTCCGAGTTTCTCGGTGGCGGTGAAAAGGGGCGGTAAGTGGCTGTGGTAGTGGTGGAGGAACAAGATCTAAGAGAGAATAAATTAGTAAAAAGGTAAGTGCAAAAAACAATTTGTGAAAAAAACCAAAAACCGACGTGCAAGAATTCCTGTTATTTCAATTTGCGTAAATAAAGATATGTCAATTTAGATAGTCAAAATTGATGATGGGGCAATTGCAAGAAGGAAGATTCTAAATATTTTTTTTTGCTTGAATTTCCGTAAGAAAATAAAAAATAAAAAATTTGAAGGGGCAGAAAATTCAACTGGGCTGGACGCGGCCCAGCCCACCACCTTGAGAGAGAGATCCAGAAAATACCAAATCGGGCCACGTTAATATTGGACCTGATCCTAGAATGGAATTGCCCAAGAGGAGGATCAGGCCCATTTCAATTACCAACTTATAATTAGAATTTAATAAAGGAAATTGGGGTACGGAACGACGAAGTCAAGAAATGTCTGGATTGGCAGCCCAGCAAAGATCATCCCGAACCCAATTAAGATACCTTGGAAACCAAGAAAGAGGAAGAGGGCAAAATTTAATTATTTTTTATAAAAAAATTTACTATATATATTTGTAAATTTAATTAAGAATATGTTATCAAATTAGTATAATTTTTTTTTATAATTTATTTAGATAATAAAAATATATTAAATGTAATTCAATAAAAAAGAGACATTATGGTTATTTAATGAAATATAATATAGGCATTGGAGTATGTTACAACAAATGTGATAGTTTAGGGAGTTTTATGCACAAAATTATTTGTTAATTTGAGGAGTTTTATGCACAAAATATAGTTCAGAATGCTATTTCCTCTATCTAACTATCAATTGTTTTGGTCAACCAAAGTATATATCCACAATTTTTTGCCACCTCATCCTTATGAAAAGAAATAATTTTTTATTTTTATTTTTTGATTTTCCCAATCAATTTAAAGAATTATGTCACATTTTAAAGCTGAAGCATGAAGTAGAAAAAACCACTAAACTACCCGACTCATAAGTCAAAAGGTATTCGGTTGAAATTTCAAGTTTCAATGTTGTCAAGCAATAAAGAAAGAATAAAAATTAGCACAAATAATTAAATAATGAACATGCAATTACATATAGGAAACAAAAAAAAAAAAAAAATCAAAAATTTGAATGCAAAATCTAGCAAAATACCAATAGACCTACGAGTTCGTGCTCTAGTGGTTGATCTTTGTGACAGTAGAGAGGTTTATTAGCAAATTCTTTATATTGATTCCTTGACAAGAAATTTATATATATATTTATTTGTTTATATATGTAATTGCATGTTCATTATTTAATTATTTGTGCTAATTTGTTATTCTTTTTTTCTACTTCGGGTTATCTAATAATTTTCAAATTTGGTAGGGGTTACTTTTATGCTTGAGCTTATTATAATAAGTGTGTATGTATAATACTATCCAAATTACTAATCATGACTATAATAGTATCCTTATTAAGATGAAAAGAAGGGACAGAAACAAGGGTTTGCTTTTAATTGTTGAATATAAAATAATAAGATGATTAAAAAATTAATTATTCCTTTCCTTTCTCTTTCTTTTTTTCTCTTTCGGGCTGTAGATTCAGGTGATGCGATGCTAATTTGGGCACCATAAAACAAAGGTGGGACTTACTTTCGGTCAGAGTTTCCTTGATTATTAATCGCTATTATAATAAATTAACTAGATGGTCTTAAGAACTAAATAATGCTTTTGACTAAATTTTTAAATTAATAATAATTTTATTTATACCTTATATTTATTTTCATCGCCTTCCAACTCTTTTCACTAATAACCATCATAGTTTACTTAATCTGTAGTTTATTTCATGAAACTTGGGGTCACTTCAATAGGGCCCAATTTGAAAATGGATCCTTGGATTAATATAAGTTATAGATATAATGTACAATGCCATATATCAATGTCTAGAGAACTACTGTACAAAACACCATTCCATAAAATTAAATTTATTTTTATTTTTTAAAATTTTCATAAAACAATTTTGAAAAACATGTTAGCCCAACAAAATTCTGAATTGTTTTATGTTTTTTTAATTCTTCCCCAATGAAAAAATTGTTGTAAAAAGCTGAAGCAAGCAAGTCCATTAATTTTACTTAAATTTATCGGCTAGTCGAAAATTTTTAATGCGTGAAAATAAACAATTATGACTAGCTGGCCAATAACCTGAGTAGTAAGAGTTCTCAAAGGTGAGTCAATTGACTATCAAAACAAAAAAGATAAAGCTTCGATCAGTTTTTGTTGTCATTGATGTGTTTTTCGAATTGTATAGTATTGTTCATGATCGTTTTCTTTCTCCATATCTTCAAATAATACTGTTCATGATAAAGTCACCGTATGTGAATGAAAATTTATGTCCTAATTAATAAAATGTTTAAACCAATATATAATCAAACATGGTATTCAAAACTCTCAAGAATCCAATAGAAAATTATAAAGTTCAAATCAATCCCGCCAATACACACTTTCTGTGGCTTGTATATCATGCATGCATGGTACATGATACGAGAGAGGCCTATTCAAACAAAGACATTTTGTGATCACACTACTTTTCCATATTCAATATTATTTTAAACAATTTTTTGGGACATTTTATTATTATTATTATTATTATAAACATTGCAATACAAATGTTTGTAACGAGAATATAATAATGATAAACCCGTAAAAGTGGAAAAGTAGGAAAAGATGGATGGATTGACGAAAAGGAAAAGAAGTATGAAAGAGAGAGAGAACAACTTGGCATCATTCTGATTTGAGAATGATGAACACAAGCGATCCTGCTCTGCCACGTGGATTCTTTTGCTTCACGTGGCAAAAGATGGCCCTACCACTTTATAGAACCTGGGAAATTAACCATATAGCCCCTTGATCAGTTTCCAAAACAAGTTTTTAACCCTGCTCATCACGTGCTCAATTGTCAATTTCACTCTCTCTTTTGTTTTTTATATTTAAACTTGTCAAATTATGGAGGGGAACTTACGGGTACACTCGTTCGGAGAGTTAAACACTCAACCAACTAAGTTTTTAAATAATAATCATCTCTTTTACTATCTCTTTATCTATATATGTACATACACACATATATTTAAATCGAATCTCAATCCGATCTAAAGTTGATAAATAATATTTTTGAAAGTTCAATTTAAAATTTTGATTTGTTCTTTAATGAATTTTTTATTTATTTATCACAATTTAATCGAACATCCAATTTATAGATTAACAAATGATGATTAAAAAAAGTAAGAGAGGAAAGTCAGGAAGAAAAATAAAATATGAACAAAAAAACAAAAATAAGTAAAAATATATATAGGTAAAATATGAACAAAAAAACAAAAAAAAGTAAAAATATATATAGGTATATGACTTTTAAAGAAAAAGAATAATAAAGAGACGGATATGACTCAGCGGTTTACTTGTTGGATTTTGAAGCTTAGTAAACCCAAGATTTGGAATCCGGGTTAATAAAATAAGAGAGAGAAGCGAAGAATAGAAATAATAATATATAAATATTATCTGTTCTAAAATTAAATAAAATAGTTATAACACTTTACATATTATTATATCTATCATATCATACTATTATTAAATTGGATCCACTATATATAAATAATTTATATTCCATTTATTTAACTAATAAATTCCTATCTTGGATTATTGAGTCAAATGTTTCAATCAGTCAAATGTATATATGCGGCGTATAACCTGCAACAAAACTACCGCAGTCACAAGTATGTGGAAGTAACGTCTTTTTGTCATACGCAGCAATTCGTCTTCCTGTACTGTGTAACTTTCAGTTAACGTGGGTCCTATTAACTGAAAAACCCAGGTCGGTAATGCAACCAATCAGGGAAAGCCACGTGGATTTGAGATTCCTAAGGACAAGAATGAAGCGAGACAAAAGTATAGAGAGAGAACTTGAAAAGAAAGAAAACAGGAATCATATGTGGTTTGCTTGAGGAAACACACATTTAAAAGTATACTATGGCGGTGGCAGCTTTTCCTCCTCGTCAAAACCCCAATCAATTCCCCCATTTCTCTTCATCTCTCTCTCCTCTTCTAATTCTCCTCTCTCCATCTCTTCTTTGGATATCTTCTTCAACCTGAGGTCTGTCTCTCTATCTTCCATGACTACTTGTCTAAGTTACATGGGTGTTTACTAGTATGTTCTTTTTTATGTCACATGATCACATTTCAATGATTGGTTTTTCTCTGTCTCATAAACTATTTTTTTCAGCATATGGTTTAAGACTAATACCATTTTGGGGTTTTGTGCAGTCTTGTATATATTATATACATAGTTGTTGATTTCAGAGACTGGTCTCCTTGATTTTTTGAATAGAGGCTGGTCATATATATATTTTCTAGATTTTTTCTGGGAAAAGTTCAGAAGATCGAGGTTCCAAAGTACGTAGATATATATGGCTCCTGTTTCATTGCCTCCTGGCTTCCGGTTCCACCCCACCGACGAAGAACTGGTGGCTTACTATCTCAAGAGAAAAATCAATGGGCGTGAGATCGAACTCGAGGTCATCCCCGAAGTTGATCTCTACAAGTGTGAACCATGGGACTTACCAGGTATATACATACATACATACATACATACATATATATATATATATATATATATATATATATATATATATATTGTTGTTCTCTCATAGCTAGTCACTGTGACATTATCATAGGTATATATATTAGATTGTTACAACCACAAATGATTTGAATATTGCAGGCCTCATAGTTAATTTGAATATTGAGAAATTAATATTAAGGGTACTCTAATTAAAGCATATTAATCTGTTCATATTGCACCACAAGTGGTTGATATATATACTTCATTGTTAATGAAGATTGAGAAATGAAATGACCCAAATTTGCCAAAGTGGCTATGAAGAAAGGTATAATATCCATAGTTGAATTACATGCATATATTATAGTATAAAAATACTATATAAAGCATATATAATATATGCATACTATTACAAAATTCTTTCCTAATTAAAGTCAGTTTTTTTATATTTTTATCTTATATATATACATATATATATATTTCAACATCCTCACAAGGTTGTTTGGTTAAGATTTATTTGCAGTTTAACATATATATATACATATACATATACTATATATATATAGAGAGAGAGAGAGAGAGAATATTAGAGATGTTTTCTTCCGTGGTTGAAGGTGCAGTGGACTAACTTTATTAGTCAAAAATCACATACTTTAGCATAAAATATCTTATAGATAATCTTGTTCATGAAGCTGGTGGAAAAGAAAGTTGCCGAAGAGCTTAGTACTAGGCCGTCTCTACACTTTTGATCGAGCTCCTATTAAAGCAAAAGATACGTACTTATGTCATTATGTGTAGAGAGTATTGAGTCAAAAAGCAAGAAAAAAGAACGCTATTGCATTGTCTCCCACAGGAAAAAAAAAAATTCCTTCTTCTCTTTTCCTCATATTCTGTAGATGGTACCTATAATTATCTAATCCAAACAAGTTTACTAAAAAAATCTAATGACTAATTTCACCTACCGGACGCGTATTGAATTGATAAATTTTATATATGAAGGTGCTTGAAAATATGAAATGGAAAAATATATAAATAAATTTATACATGATGAAGAGTATATTTCCATGCATTTTTAATGAAAAGATAGTTAATTTTCATTTTCAAAGAGCATGTTTGGTATTAATTTGTTGCTATTACATCTAGAGGATACAAAGTAATTCCTTTCACTCTCTGAAATTTTCCCCTATATAAAGATATCTCTAATTCTATTATTAATTTTCTTTGAGGTTTATTAGAATATTGTGACTTGAGTGAGTTTAATTCTGAATTGTGACAGGGAAATCATTATTGCCAAGCAAAGATCTTGAGTGGTATTTCTTTAGTCCTAGAGACCGTAAATACCCCAATGGATCAAGGACTAATCGGGCAACTAAAGGTGGCTATTGGAAGGCCACCGGGAAGGATCGAAAAGTGAACTCACAAATGAGGGCTGTTGGCTTGAAGAAAACCCTAGTTTACTACAGAGGGAGAGCACCACATGGTGGTCGTACCGATTGGGTTATGCATGAATACCGCCTAGATGAAAGAGAATGTGAAACTGCCTCAGGATTGCAGGTTCATCCTTTAACCTCATATTCTATAAAAGCAATCACATATTGTATAATATTTAGATTCTTCAAATAGTACTACACAGTGCACATAGCTCCTGCCATTGCTGGAGAGGGTCAGTAGTACTCGTTCAATAGCGAATATAATTGAATGCATGACATACTTTTTGTTGTAAAATTCTCAGGATGCTTATTCGTTATGCCGGGTGTTCAAGAAGAGTGCAATTGGCACAAAGATTGGAGAGAATTATATTGGCACAACTAGTAAGCACATACCTAGAGATTACTCATCCAGTATTGACCTATACTCTGAAGGAAGAAGTGAAGATTTGGAAAGTTCTAATTATCCAATGCCGTTTGGTGCATGTTCTTCAAGCAATAATATTCATGGGTCATCCATGAATATAAATGGTACTAGTGATGGGAATTGGATGCAGTACTTATCAGAAGAGGCATTTAGTTTTCCCAATCCATCATTTCCAAATTATGGAACCATTTCACACCCCCCATCTAAGGTAATATTAATTTTTAGTGTAATAGTTAGTGTGTATTAGATTAAAAAATCATATACTTATACCTTTTGGCACCTTCCCTTGTGTTTTCAGGTTGATGTAGCAATGGAGTGCGCAAGATTGCAGCATCGGTTATCATTGCCTCCATTGGAGGTGCAGGACTTCCCCCAAGTTGGCTTCACGGATTTTAAAATGCCACCACAGTCAAGTTCACTCCGCGAGAGCACAAATGAAGATGACATTTTGCAGGAAATTTTATCGGTTGCTCATGTATCTCAGGAACTAATAAATCAAGACACATGGGGAGGGATTTATGCTCCTGATAATGAATTTTCATTTCCAGCTCATACTGTCCAAACTCGTGATGACATGAGTTCTTCGATATTTATGGACAATGAAATTCGGGAGGGTCAGAATCCTAGGTGTATCGAGATTGGAGATTTGGATGAAGAATTCAAAATCGAGAGAGGGATTGAGAACTTGAGATGGGTGGGAATGTCCAACCAAGATCTAGAAAAGGTAACTTAGCATGCGTGTGTTACTTAGAAAGGAAAAATATGATTATTAGCCTATAATGAAGCTTTAACCATAGTTTTAATGCTTTCACAAACATTTTACTTGCACATATATTTTCCTTTGAAACAAACTGAATACTTATTTATGTAACTTTTCTTGTATTATGTAGAGCTTTATCGAAGAATACAAGACTGTTCCCATAGAAAATAGTTCGAGTTTTCAAAGGTCAGAAGGGTATGAGGTCCAAGGTATGAGACTGACATGCACCTCATTGTCCTAATTTCCCATGTTGTGGTGTTCATGTCAATTTTTACATTTCTTTTTCTTCTTGTTTTATTCAATGAAAAAATTGATTACTGCAGGTGATCAAACAGATCGTCATAACAACTTCAATGAATTCAATAACATAGAAGTAGACGATTTTTCAGTTGGATTTGGCAACGAAAATCCGACACAGAATTTTCTAGACGATGACAATGTGAATGACTTCTCCAATAGTCCAAGCTTTGAATTTTATGAGAAAATTGAAGTCAATCATGGAATGTTGGTTTCAACTTGCCAAGCAGCCGAGACATTCTTTCATCAACTCGCGCCTTCAGAGACTGTCAAGGTGCAGCTAAACCCGATGACGACACATGAACACCTGATAACAAAATCAGATTCCCAAACAAGACCTAAGGATGGAAGTCCAATTCGTGACAAGTTCACGAGGAAAGTCCAAGCTATGAAGCCATTGAAGAAGATAGTAAGCGATATCGTCACCCTAATTGCACTTCTATTGACTTATTGCATATATTTTGGGGAACATGTGGAGGATGAGCAGTTGAAAAATAGAAGAGAGGAAGAATGTTATCCCAAGATGAAGAAACCAGGAGGAGTGAAGTGGAATAGTAAGAAAAACAAGGTTTTGCATGGTCATGACATGATAGGATGTGTGGTTTTGAATAAGATATGGCCTTGCCTCACCATTATTTTGGCACTTTGTACCATTTGGGTGCACCATGTTGTACCTTCCCCTTGACTATATAGCTTTATATATATGCATGTATTACATGACTAACCGTAGTTGTAGTTAGCCACAAGTTAGCTACCCTTTTCCTAAATTTGGAGCAAATATATCTTAACGTTATTGTATTTTTCATATTGTTATTGTATCAATAAATGAATACAAAATAAATTTTAGTCTTTTCTTAAGTTTTTTTTTTTTTTTTTTTAGCCATTTTCTTAAGTTACTGGTTTCATTTTTGTGAGTTTAATGTGAAATCCATAGAAAATACATTTAAACCCTTTTTTGGTAATCGTTGTCTTCACTGTGCTTTTCGAGTGTCCAATTAGGGACCTCTTCCTTGAGAGCATTTATCTCACGCTACTCTACTGACCAATCCTATTTTCTGTTCCGTAATTTGTATAGATAGTTAAATTTTAGACTTATTTTTAACTTTCTTTATCTAGTTAGATTTTTTTATACAATCTCTTTATTATTATTTTTTAAGCAATCAATTAATTTAGCTTCCGCTTCGTCATATTAAGTTGCAGTAGATTGTTCATGTTAATTAATAGAGTTATAAAAATATAAAAATCTTCTAGTTTGACTTGAATTTTGGTACAAGAATGTACTAGTTCTTTATATCAAGATTGAGTGCTTGCTCGATATTAGAACCTTCAGATTCTTGTCTTTGAGATGAGTTCACAAATGGCATCCGGTAAAGTATCTCTTTTTCTGACTCAAAAGGAAAATTATAACACGGTTATAGGTCAGCTTGGTCGCCAGATCATGTCGACTTGTACCAGAGAAGATAGAGAAAAAACAAAAAAAAGGGGAGAGAAAATACTCTAGATGAAATTTTCTAGAGTTGTATGAATGATTATTGTCCAGAATTGTATGGAGGATTCTAGAATTATGTAATAGTGCATGGATGTATATGAAAGTGTAGAGAAGAGTGGAGAAGTTGGGAAAAAGTTGTAGAGGAGCAATCCTATTGTAGATTAAGATACATCTCAGCCATTCATTAAGGATGGAAATGCCAATAAACAGATAAAAGTAGTCATTTGTAATCGTCAAGTCCTAAAGTGAGCTTGAAAACCTTATAGAGAGAATGAGTAGCTAGCCTAAGCGTGTGTGAGTGTTCAAACCCACCGAGGAGAAGGAAAAGAAAGAAATGGAAGAGAGTGAAGTACTTGGGTGGGTAGTAGAGTAATTTTGGTAAAACAAATACTGATATCAGCATACACTGTGGTAATGGGGCGTGAATATGTGGAAAGGATACGTTTCTAGAACAAAACCCTTAACCAATTACAATTTTAAGATTCATTCGTTTGATATCCGATATATTTCTCACACACACTAATAAATTTTATATAAGAGATTTTTAAAATTTTCATTTAGAAATTGGTTATCTAATAAATAAATTTTGTACACGAAATTGGTGTTTGAAGTAAAAAGATTTTAACAATGCTGAATTTCCATTTGACACGTGGACAAAACAATTCCAATCTATCTCGTAGACGAACTACTATAGAAGGAGTATAATCAATAGAATTTTATTTTTTTATTATTAATTTTTTAACCATTGTTTGAGCATGGTGATCTCTGCTACGAGGTTGACACCAAATTGATAAATTCAAACATAATTATGAGGTTGTTTGGGTTAGATATGAAAATTTAGACACCAAATTATTGATGAGATTGACACTAAACTATTTCACTCATAATAATGAGATTGACACTAAACTATTTCACTCGTGAGGTTGTTTAGGCTAGATATAAAAAATTAGACAATATATTACTTGTCTACGCATTCATCATTCAATATATCGAGGAATTCTATGAAGGGGAGTGTTCTAAAGTTTCAATCCATCTATTTATTTTTCTAAATCAAAATGAGTGCCCACAGTGTCATTTTTTTTTATAAAACTTAAAGTGCATGGAACAAGCGAGGAATTGTTGGAAATCTTTATATATATAAATAATAATTATTATTTTATTGTCCTATGCATAACATTTTCTACAATAGGTTTGCAATGTGATTCTAGATCCTTGATGAATTGGATTGTGATTTCTAATTTGGTGGTCTAATTGGGAGTATGGTTACATACTATTGGATTGTGGTTTTTCAACTTATTTGGTTTTTAATTATTGATATTTAAGTTGTTATGATAGGAAGAAAGACTTAAATATGTTTGTTTGTAAAGAAGTCGTCCATATTGTTGTCATATATAAGGATTTCTAAGGATTTCAAAACTCCCGTTGTTATCATATATAAGAATTCCAAAATTCTTATTTAGCTCTATCCAAGTACAACTCTCAATCAAAATAAAAATATTTTGTGGTTTAATCATCAATTAAGTATGATGAAATTCTCATCTTTAATTAATTAAAGTATTCTTAATTTTTACATCAAATTAAAAGTTAATAATTGGTAGAAGAGGAAGATATATGTACGGTTCCATTTTAATTTCACTCAAATATATCAACTTGGCAAGCTTGAATACAAACCACACCTGCGAGTCTGCGACCTTGTCATTCCCATACATAAGAATAACAACAAAAAAAAAAAAAAAAAAAAAAAAATTGAAAATATTAAAGAAGATAAAAGAATCTACAGTTAGTTTAATCTTTTTTACATCATTATTAAATCTTTTTACAGGTAAGGAATCTTTTTACAGGTAAGGCACACACCTGGCATTTCACAAATGATGGAAAATTTATGGTGAAATCTGCCTGCATTTGAATGGCTGAAAGGTACAGTAAGTGCGTGGTACGAAAGGAAAATTGGAGTTTGTTCGAATGTTCAAGTTTCTAGAGACTGTTATTGTAGCTTAAAGTGAAGGAAAAACTTATTCACTTTGTTTGGAATTGCTGTTATGAGCTGGGTCCAGTATTAACAAATTTAAACAAGGGAAGAATTGTTGAAGATGACGTGAATTTGAGATGTGGCATGGAAGTAGCATCCATTGAGCATGTATTTATTTGGTAGGTGCTCCTATGCTATCAAGATTTGGAACTAATGTTTGCAATTTTATTTTTTATAATTGCATTTCACTTTTTAAAATGAAATAGGCACGTATAAATAAATAATATATAAAACACATTATGGAAAATTGGAAACGAAAAGACAAAAAAAAAATTTGTTTAGCCAAAGCAATGAAAAAAAAAAAAAAAAAAGGTTATTTTTATTTTTTTATTGTGATACTGAAGAGCAGTTGGAAACAAAAAGATAAATAAAAATAAGAGATAAAAAACAACAAACAATATGGAAACAAAACTGAAAGAAGAGCCATTGGAATGAAAAACACAAAAAGTAAACAAAATGTTCTTTTTTTTTTTAATTTGATGGGTGCAGGGGGCTGGCCATTCCACTGCTATCAATAGCGAGTGGGATAGCCAGCACCCATGCGGGGTCATTTTTGGCCAGCGCCAGACAAATGCTTGCCGACCAAATTGACAATAGCCTTTCATACAGCTTCCTGACTACATTGCGGCAGTACGATGTTGTTCAATGCACCAGACTTCGCCATTGCATGTCGCTTTTGCATGCATAGAGGTACGACACCTATAACTAGACTAATGTGGTAGCTTTCTGACAATCATTTAACAGTAGTAAAAAAATCACTAAGAATGTCTCCAAGAATCAGGAATTTCTAATATAAGTCTATTATAGACAACTGAATCACTAATTAACCAAAATGGTTTGCTTTGCTTGTTTTCTTGAGATCACAATGGAAACTAAAAGGAGAAATAAGTAAAAATAATACACACTGACTACTACCAAATAAATGCATTTCCATTGCACTCCAAAATATAATCAGACCATTCAATAACAGCAGAGCTGCAGTCACTGATTGGAAGTCATCAAACATCATGAAGTTAGCAGCTCAAAGGCAAACATTTTCATGGCTCGAGAGAAACTCAACATGTTAGGCAGAGCATCAATAAAATGGTCCATTCGACGAAACATATTCACAGCAAAAAATCTTAGTTTAAACGTCTGACAGGATTTCTGTTCCATGACAAGAAGGTTGGATCCCCCATAGGCCTGCATCAAAAGCAATAAAACCACCTTGAGTGTAAAAAAAAAAAAAAAAAAAGAGTTGTTAAATAACAAGAAATTTTCTGTTCTAAACTGGCCTAAAGACAATGGAAGCATACTATTCAACTTAATAATATATAAAGTTGAAATTTAAGATATTGATGTAACCAACAAGGTGCCAAACATACGCTCTTTCACAATCAGCAAGTGATGAACCAGAATTCCCAGGAAAGAATGACAGAAACAAGCAATTGGCCAACCAAGAGCCCACTAAATTCGACCTACAATTACCCCCAAGTCAAGGAATGGAAATATGAAAAACTTGATCAATAGTAGTTGTTCGCCTAGGTCTATTGTGACATTACATACTTTGTGAGTCACATCGGATGCAGTACTGGACCTCCACATGCAACACAGGCAGCAGGAAGTGACCCCATCATGTTTAAAATTGTTATCCTAGGGAAACCAGACAAATGCTATTGGCATGTGGAACATTTGTAAAATTGGAAGCACTAAGGTAATTTAGACACCTAGATAATTGTATTTGAACGGGATCTTTAGGCCTTCAAGATCGAAGTATAGGATTCTCCAGAGGGAGCCATGTTCATACTGTATCCATATTGGACACCATTACTTTTCAGATACACACAAATGCATGTCCAAAAACTCACGCACCTAAATAATTTGAAAATATATTTGAAACTACCTATCAATACTTAGTTGGATGCTCTTAGACATAATATATTAACATGCTGCCTTTCTGGTACAGGATTACGGTATGTTTGAATATATATGTATATAAATAAACAAAAGGCTTTACTATCAGTGACCAATTTATTAAAAGATAGAAGTTGCACATAATGAATGTAACTCATGTTGATTCAGCATGCCGTGTGAATGCAACATATCCAAGTTTCTTGCATGAGATTTAACATTTCAAATGACATACGAGTATTTGGAATATTTAATAAAATAATAACAATGTTTATGTAATTTCAAATATTTTTCACCGGGAAAAAAAATTAATTGTTTATGTAGTACGTATACATAGACATACAAATATAGTAGTAACCTAGTGGTACTTCTTCACTTTCTAAATAGAAGATCAAAGGTTCAAGCCCCCATGGGGGAAAAGCGGGCGTGTGAGTTTCAACTAGGAAAAAAAAAATTTGCAGTGTGTAAATCAGATTTTGCTCATATCAACTACTATCACTCTAGATTCTGAACTATCAAACAGGTCAAGTAATAGTAATAGCTCCAAACTGGAAGTTATAGAATCTACATGAAAAGGCTTAAGGTTAATATTAGAAACACATATAATCTTTTGTGTTTGGCTAAAGCTAGAAGAATATAGAAAAAACAAGATCAAGGCTAATAAATTTGTAGAAGCTAACTTCCAAATGCAAAACTTCACTGATCTTGAGAGGTGCTAGGTAGGATTCTAAGGTTAGTGACAGTAGAGAGAGATCGAAAATGTATGGCATAGACCGGAAAACCAAAGAATTTGACAATACAAAGAGCAGCATTTAACAACCATGGATGTCCTACTGGTAGCCTAAGTAAATTAAAAAACTCGTTCAACTTACAATATGCTCTCTAATATATCAAATTTCAAAACAAGATTTACTAAGTCTCACAAGAAATAAAAAAATTCCTATTCAATGCAAAGGCAAGGAAAATTTAAATAAATTTGAGCATCAAAACGAATAAGATACTATTGGAACTTTCCACTCACCTTGGATTCATGACATACAGAACTATGAAGCTTATTGTGATAGATAAGCAAAGTCCGCCAACTACAAGGTATGCTATTCCTAGGAAATTATTTTTTCCACCTATCCAACTTGTGGTTGAAAGAACCAACTTCTTTTTGCCCCCAAAACTGTAGGTGTTATAATTGTTCTGTATTACAACTGTTATCTCATCGTTGGGTTCAAAAGCACTTTCATCAATCATTCCATATAGCTTTCTAAAAGTTGGTAATGCTGCAGTTCGCATCCAAACCATAAGCTCATTTTGCTCGCTCAACTGTTGCATGCAGCGTAAAGAAAAAGAATTAAAGTAGCTGAGGCAAAAACTTAAAAGAGAGATATAATAAAAGAAAAATTGGATGAAGTAACTAGATTGAACGAAAAGAAATAAATACTTACAGGTTTGTCCTCCTCAAGTTTTCCACCCCCGATAAGCTTTCCACTCTGGAAATTCTTAGGATAGACATCATCCCCAAATTTTGACTTATCACTTCTCCAAGCTATGAACCTTCTAGTGACATGTATCACATTGTTATTCATCGAAAACACATATGTGTCATTGAACAAACTCCAAGCAACGAGGCCACAAGGAACGATTGGCTGGTTGTTACTTTTGTGTTCAGGTTCACAGTCTCCTGTAACATTCTCGTATGCCCTGCTGAGCAATTGCTTGGCACTTCTACTCTTTATGTATCTGGAAACAAATAGCCACACGTCAGAGATAGAAAAGGTTCAATTTTTCCCGTAATTTAAATGATATATAATTTATGACACAATTTGATGTATATACTGATATTGGAAATCATCTATTGCAAATTTGAAATCAAATTTTAGTGACTCCTGACTTATATACAAATCGAAATGAAGTAAAATATTTGAAAAAGACTTCTGCACTGGGAAAAATCATAACTGGAAACTCAAATAGCTCTCTCAAGGGTAGATTATCATGGAGTAGAAATCACAAGCCTAGGCTAATTGACTCTCCCATTGCCCATACCCAAGGCCGGATGTGAAGAACAGATGGGTTGGTGTCAGGTAGACAACCGACCATAAGAGTCAAGTCAAATCTGTTTGATGAATTCTCATGTAAACAAAAAATAAAAATAAAATAAATAAATAAACCAAATACCAAGGCACAAAAAATTAGGCGAGCAACATGGAACGCAGGACCATTAATCAGTAAGTGTAATGAACTTGTGGATACTATAAAAGGGGGAAAAGTAAAACATCATTTGTTTACAAGAAACAAAATGGAAAGGTGAGAAGGCTAAGGAGTAAAGAGAAGAAATGGTTTATAAAATTATATCTACTCAGGAGGTAAGGATAAGCAAAGGAACGGCGTAGGTATTGTTGTAGACCATTGCAAGAGAGATAAAATTGTAGAAGTACGAAGACAAGGAGAAAGAATAACAGCCATTAAGGTTGTAATAAATACAACTATTCTAAATATAATTAGTGAGAGTGCATCTCAAGGAACAGTAGATGAAACTTTAAAGAAATTATTTTGGGAGTCGATGGATGAAATAATGCAATCCGTACCTAATCATGAGGATATTTTCAAAGGAGTGATTTGAATGGGCATTTAGGTGGTGATTGAGAAGGTCATACAAAAGATACAGTGAGAGCGAAATGAGATAAAAGAAACATTTTTAGACTTTAAAAAAGCATATAACCTGGCTATAGTAAAAACAATTTAAGAATAAGAAGAAGAACATTTAATAACAATTTAAAGCGGGGGGAATAAAACTCAAATTAATTATTGTTTATAAAGAAGACAGGAATCAGTTACTAGCAAGGATTGTAAAGTAATCCCGGTGAAAGCCTCACAAACCAACATATAAGACTTATTAATTATAGGATTTAAATATAAGAAAACATAAAAAGTCATCAAACCAAAAAAGTGGAAAGAACTAGAAGGTAACAAAGAGGTAGTATTTAGACAACGAATATTGAAAAAAAAAAGCAATGGAATTGGAATGATAACATAAATAATCTATGGGGGGGAAATGGAAAGTTATATTAGGAATATGATAAAGGAAATTATAGGGGAAACCAAAGGGAAGAAATTTATCAAAAAAGAAACAGGATGGTGGAGTGATGAGATAAAACAAAGATTACAACAAAAGAGAAAGACTTCCAAAGATTGGCAAAAAACGTAAGCAACAAGAAGATCTAGAAAAGTATAAAAAATTAAAACATGAAGCTAAGAAAATAGTAAGTAAAGCTAAAGAATATGCACTGAATGATTTATATGCAAAACTACGCACAAAGGAGGGTGAAAAAGTTATTTACAAATTAGCAAAGAGTAGAGATAAATCAACTAGAGATGTGGATCAAATTAGATGTATTAAAGATGCAGACGATAGAATATTAGTGAAGGATAATGACATACTAGATAGATGGAAAAATTACTTTCAACACCCTCCTAATGAGGAATATCCTAGAGAAGAAGTGGCAAGTAATGAATTTAGTGTAGGAGTAGCGAGTAAAATGAACAATAAGGAAGTTGGAGACACACTAAAAAAGATGGGTAAAAAAAAAAAAGTGGTTGGGAACTTGGGCAAGATAACATTCCTATTGAAGCATAAAGAGCGATAGGAAGCGTTATAATTGAATGGCTAACAAATTTATTTGACAAGATTCTAGAAGAAGTAAAACTGTCAAATGAGTGGAGGAAGAGCGGGAATACCTATTTACAAATACAAAGGGGATATACAAAATTGCAATAACTATCAAGGTATTAAATTAATGAGTCATACAATGTAACTATGGGAAAAGGTGATAGAACAATAATTAAGGAAGGAATCCACTGTGGCCGATGACCAATTTGGATTTATGTCAGGAATATCCACAATGGAAGCTATTTACTTGTGAACAATTAGTCGAAGAATGTAGGAGTAATATATGGTCTACATATGGTCTTCATAGAGTCATAGACCAAGAGAGAGCTTACTATAGGGTGCCGAGGGATATAATTAGGTGGGCTTTACAAAGAAAAGAAATTCCTTTGGATATGATAAAGATTATTCAAGATATGTACCTAAATACTGCAAGTATAGTTTGCACTACATGAGGTGAGACTATAGATTTTCTAATAAATGTGTGGTTGCACCAAGAGTCTACACTAAGTCCATATTTATTCTCATCACAAAATATTTACAAGAAAACATTCCTCGGTGCAAGTTGTTTGCTGATGACATGGTATTATTGGACACTTCTAAAGAGAAAGCAATTAAATTAGAAAAGTGGAGAGACGTGTTAGAAAAGGGTTGAGGGTTAGTAGAGCTAAAACTAAGTATGGAATGCATATTCAGTAAAGGGTTGGATATTAATGAGGTAATGATTACACTTCAAAATCTAAGGATTATCCAAAGTGAACATTTTCAGTATTTAGGGATATTAATAAAAAGGATGGTGAGATAGATGGTGATATAACTAGTAGATTTGGCGCAGGTTGGACAAAATGGAGGGAAGCTAGTGGCATTTTGCGTGATAAACAAATGCCATATAAACTAAAAGGAAAATTTATAGAACAATTATTAGGCCAACTATTTTATATGGCACACAGTGTTAGGCATTTAAAAATAAATAAATAAATAAATAAAAACAAGAACAACAAATTCATGTAGCGGAAGTGAGGATGTTAAGATGGATGATAGAGTGGTTGCTGGTTCTTCAACCGGTGGCTCCTTCGGTGACGCACAAGTTTTTGTCACAGTCATGATACCATAAAATAATTGTGTATTTTCCTTAAAGGCCCTTGTTTGTTTCAACATCTTACGACCCCACAAAAGTCATTTCAACATCTTTTTAGCCTTTCAATCCCTACTGGTGGATAATACTACCACTTCAGCTTCACACAAGATATTTAATCTTGGTTCAATTTGTACAAGAAAATTCTACGCATTAGTGTATTTGGCAACAGCAGGGTGCCAAATTCAACCTACTGGTACCTTAACATTGGGAATTCGGCACCCTGCTGTTGGTTCAATTTGAACATCAGAAATCAAGCCTCATTGATATACTAGTGCTACCTAAATTAACTCCATATAATCAACAAAAATATAACATACCGCCGATGGTTCTGGTAGAAGTTGTCAAGCTGATAATATATATAAATAGGAGGTCGCATTTTTTTTGGAACCTGAAAAAAATCAAGGAATTCATTTGATGCAATAAAATGTTAAGCTCAAAAGGAGAGAAGAAAAAAAAGGGGGAGGGGGATGAAATAACTTCTAGAAATTGGACTAACAATCAATTTCCTGATGCATGTTTTGTTAGTTTGGGTGCTTTGGATATATGGCAGTGCATCATCGGAAGGAATGCAGTCCTTGTCATATCGGTCTACAATTTCCACCACCTACATGTAAAATAAAGAGATAGTTCATGTAAATATCAGTCAGATGCGGGCTACAAAACTTCACCAAGGCAATAATGAGAATGATCTAAGATAATACACTCTCTGATGCAAACAAAGAAATGAGGCCGAAAAAGATGAAGGCAGTTCCAATAGAGACGAATGCTGTAATGACCTGAAACCATGTGAGAGAGAGAAAGAGAGAGTCAGCAAAAGTCCAGGGAAGAAAATGTTTTTCTAAAACAGTATGTTAAGCTTGACATATCATCACTCATACCGATCCAGGAGTAAGAATTGGTTTCCAAGCAGGAAGCTCTTGCTGTGTAAACCTGGAATCTGAAACATATATAAATAATAATAATAATAATAATAAATAAGCCAAATTGTTTATTCAAAAAAAAAAAAATTCAAAACAAACAAAATCAATGGAAATTTAGCCGTCAATTCTGAAAATACCTTCATCAACTCCTAGAATTAGGGTATTGAGATTGCAAAAAGTGAGAAAAGGCCCCCAATATTTGTGATGAAAATCTCTGACTATTTTGAAAAGTGAGTGTTATGTGCTATTGAAAAAATGAATTAATTTCACTTTTTCAGTACCAGAGACATGAGGAAGAACCACCATCCAACTTTCCTAAATATGACGAGGCTGATTTTCAATTTTAACAATTTTCAGAAACCTATGATGACATAAACCATGAGATTCAGTATTACCTACTGAGAGAGAGAGAGAGAGAGAAATTCAGTACTTAATCTTCTTTCTTTCGCAGCACCCAGATGATGAAAGACGAATCTCCAATTTTACTCACCAAAAGAAAAGAGAATAGACTGAAATGTGTTATTTACTTATCCTAAAAAAATATAAATGAAGACGAAATGTGTTATTTACTTATCCTAAAAAAATATAAATGAAGACGAAATGTGTACATGGTCCTATGCTGTCTCACGATACCTCAATGCTAAAATTTCCAGTTACCTTAGGAGCTTCAACCAAAATTGTAATTTTGGAACTACATGGAATTCCCGAACTTGAATAAAACTATTAATGTTATGTTCAAATTGGTGAAAATTTAGTTTAAAAGTTTAAGTTAATCTTTCTCCAATTCCAATTCCAAGACACCAATTCTATGCAACCACATAAGTAACTTTTGTTGAATTTTGAAGCTACTCACTGTGCCCTGTAGCTCTTCATAACTCATCAAGATCCATCACGAGCAATCAATAGTTCATTCAAATTTCATTTATCATAATGGAACCGTATCAATATCACATTACTCGATTAAATTCCCAATCAAAGACACCCAAACTTATAAGTTAAATGTTTTAAAAAAATATATCCCACGTGTTTAAACTGTGGCCTTTTGGCACCAACCAAATGAGTAATTTCCTTTTATATTCAAACTGTGTACATAATATGGATTTTTTTACCATAATATTTATATTGTCTTGTCAGAATTAACATTCTTGATCAATCCCGCCAAAGAGAAAACATTCTTGGTTTGTACCATAACCTATATAAACTTTGCAAACAGAACATTTAACAATGACGGAAATACTATTCTAAAAACATTATTGCATGAATTAATTCAAATCAACCAGAACACACAAAGTACAGAATTACCCGATAAAATTCCACACAAAAAAATAATAATAATAATTGCGAAGAGAAATTGAACAAATTGCGAAAAAAGAAAAGAAAAGAAAGAAACCAAGAACGTACATTTGGGTAAATTGGATATCCTCTGGGCAGCCGCAGAAGATGGAAGCAAGTTATCAGCCTCCTTGTTCTCCGTGTTCATCTTTGAGGAATTTTATATATACAGAAGAGAGAGAAAATGAGAAACAAATTAGGTAAAGAAAAAAAATGGAAAATTGTAATTGGGCATCTTTTAATTTATTCAAGAGGAAAAAAGAATGAAAGAGAAAATGAAATTACATTTTCTGCTCAAACATTGACAAGAGTTTCCTTCCCTTTCCTTCCTCTGTTCTTCTTTTCTTGGTGTATCGTCCTCGGGACCGTTTGTTTCGCCAAAGGAAATGGGGTTGGCGAACAACGGCTGTGAAGTCGAAACCCACCAAACACGCGTTTAAACGCGGTTTAGTTCGCACGAGGGAACACACAAATCTCAGTCTCACCCATTTTAGGAGAACCATGCTCTACTCAGTTGTTCAACGATGAAAGCAACCAAAAGAAAAACAAGCTAACCTTACATACCTCTGATTTATTAGTACTATTATTGTATATTTTGTAACACTATGACACCTTTGTTAATTTTTGTTTTTTTATTTTTTCGTTTTCTTTTTTCCGTTATTTTCAACAAATATTAACCTTACTTTCTTTATTCTTCTTTTTTTTAAAAAGATTAAACAACTGTATATATGTATATAGTGAATAGTACATAAGAGCCTCAGGCGAAAACAAGCCCATATAGAGCAAATCAAAAGAAAACTAAAGAAGCCCAAATATAGCCACAACACTCAACCTTAGTCCATAACACGGCCCAAACTTAATAAATATCCTAAATTAACTAACTAAATTATAGTCGCTAGTTAAGGTTTCAGAGCAGAAGTTAATGGAGGATTTTGATCCTCAATCCGGTGGACGTGGAGGAGGTCTGCAGCAAGAAGGAGGTAGATTCCAGTCTTGAAGAATTTGCCTTGAAGCAGTACAATCTTTTAAGAACCCTAGTTGAAGAATTGAAGAAATACTACAACTAATTATTGCCAATGTAGCTCGCTAAGAAGATTTCTTCCCCTTGAAAATGCAATGTTTCGTTCTTCCTATGAATGGTACACCATATAAGAAAGACACTTTTCGGTACAAGTTGAATGATGTATTTGCCTTGCATCGGATACTGATCCAAGAAACCAAAGGATCCCAATTTTGGGTTGAAGAATAGAGCCTGCACTTGTCTCGAATAAATCTCCAAATTGGAGAGATGAAGTTGCATGATGATCATGAGATTTTGGGGATGATTCACACAAGGCACATAGATTGTTGTCAAGTGTTGGCAGTCTTGATTGAACAGCAAGCCACAAATTGAACTTCATACGTGGGATTATTAGAGATTTCCAAACTAAGTTGTGCTATGTGACATGAGTAAGCTGTCCTGCAAGATGAACAGAGGTATGTTTTGTTGGAGGCACAGCGGAAGCAAAAGAAAGAAAGAAAACAACAATGCAAACCACAACACAAGATGTATACGGGGTTCACCCAAAATCAGGGTTACATCCACGGATTAAAAAAGATTCACTATATATGTAGAGATATTATAATAGTAGAGAATTTTAACATCGGACCATGCACACAAACTCTTGACTGGTTCTCCGTGTACTCCATGGGACTCCCTCTCGCCATCAGTGTTCACTCTACCAAACTCATAACTCACCCCTACCATCAACATACTTCTCCATGAGGCTACATCTCTCTCAACAATAGCCTAAGTATCTATTTATAGAGTCACATACCCAATTCCTTTGTGGATAAGAATTACAATTTCTTATACCTCAATTCACGTCTCTATAAGAAATTACTATAAAAAATACACTTTAAAATAGAAACTAATAATAATGAGGATTTGAGACATAATTCCTAACATGTTTGTGGCTGTAAGTACCTGTTGACGAGGCAATCCAGACAAGTTTTGTCATTTCTGGATGCACATGGTGGAGGTAATTGTAGAAGTTCTGGGATGGCCGTGGTAAGACAACGAGGGAAAGATCAAGAGTTATTTATAATGAAAGAGTCCATTATGGCGTCATCACTGAATCCAGACTCAGTATGAATTTAGGGAGAAAATCTTGAGCATAGAGGCCCCAGGAGCCTAATTGTCCAACCAGAATGAAGTATCAGATCCATTTCCAAAGATGTGTTTGATGAAAAGCCTTGCAATGTGCCTTAGTTGAAGGATGTTCCTCCAACTCCATAAATATGGTTGTGGAATCTTAAGACTCCAGAGATTTCTAGACTTGATAAGATGGGTTCTACAACAAATAATATTCCAAATCTTATCAGTGGTATGTGTCTAAATGTCCCAAATATATATCAGAATCATAGCTCTGTTGAAGATTATAGGTTTGGAATACCTAAACCACCAGCTTCTTTGGGCTTGCACATTGCAGACCAAGCAACCTTTGCACCAGATACTTTCATCTCTAGATCAGACTACAGAAAATATCTGAATATTCTATTGAGCTGGATCACTCCCATTGGTAGAATAAAAATGTTAGACTAGTAGAGTTGTGTTGAGACCAAAATAGAATTGATGAGCTACAATCTATCTGCATAGGAGAAGGATCTTAATGACCAATGTGTATTGCGATGAGTGATTTTTTCAATGATGTGTCTCTAATATGAGGTTTTCAGGTTTGTGGAGATCCATGGGACTCCAAGGTATTTAACTGGTAGGGTGCCATTCTCAATGCCAATGAGATTTGTAATGGTTTAAGAAAACAGTACTTACAAGGCTTATAGTGCCTATGGATAATAAAAAGGTTAAAATTATAAAACTCCCTATATATATTTTTATTTAGTTGGTATTCACACACACTGGGACTTGAATCCCTGAGATCAAGTAAGGCCTAATATCGTTAAGTCACTGATCTGTTGGTAACTCCTTATATTTTTAAAATCATACATAACACTCCTTTAAAAAAAAAAAAAAACCACCTTAAACTTACAAAATTTATCAAGTTACTCTCAAACTTGTAATCCCATTCAATGAGTTGTGAAATGTCAAATTTGACCTTACTGTTTAATATTAAATTAAAAGTTATAATTATTATTTTAAAATTATAAAATGCCCTTGTCTTTTTCTCAAGTAATTTGAAAGTCAAAATTGCAAGGCTAAATTTAACATTTCACATTCTATTTAATGGGTCAGAGGGATTTGGAGTTAGCTTGATAAGTTTAGTTGGTTAACCATGGTTTTTTGCACAATTTTAAAAGTAGAGGTGAATTTTGTAATTATAACCAATAATATCTGACAAATGAAATGACTAAAACGCCCCTACAAAATTTGCTTATTTTTTATTTTTTGGTTAAAAAGGTAAGCTTACAACATTTGCTTATGTTTAATCGACATTCACGCAACCCCCGCCTTATATCACCGAACGCTTCTCTCTCTCCACCCGTCCACCTCCATCACCGCCCCCCCTGTCTCTATACCGTAACAACCGTCTCCGTGTGTGTTTCTTCATCGATAGAGAAACATTTCCAGCCATCTTCGATCAAATCCCCGAGGTCACGTTTCTCTCTCTAAATTTTACATGTAACTGCTCTTACTTCGATTTTACTCGGTCATATCTAAAATATATTGGTGTCAATGCAGAGTTCTTCAACTTCTGGATTGATTCCATCTACAATTGGTCAATTTCTGGATTTTCTTAACGAGTGTTGGACTCAATTTCGTGCCACAGGTATGCGAAAAGAGGGTTGTTATACACATTATATTTATATATTTCCTATCGGAAACAGATCGTGGGATTGTTTCTAAAATTGATTAAGGAAATGATATTCTGAAACTTAATTGAGAATTGGATTGTGTGAAGCTTATATTGGATGATTATATTGACTGTAAAACTTGGAGCACTATGATACCAATTGTTTTGTTTATACCGAGAATACATTATACTCATCATCGTTACCAAGTTCTTCACAGTGTTCTCAGAATCAGTTTGTTCAATAGATTTACCTAGCTAGGGTTCAACTAACAGATCAATTTTATCTGTATTTTATTCATTATTTCTTTGATTGTCAACTGTCAATCTGGTAATGAGTTTATTCACCTCCAAAACTCTTCAGTGGCAAATTTGACTCCATAACCTATATCATGTCAGGCTTGTTAATTTTTGAACAACATTGCCTGCCATGAAGCAGACAACATGGTGTCAAATTCTATTTCAATATATAAGATAAGGAAATAAGAAATGGAATAAAGGCCATATTTCTTGAATAGCAAGTGGGCCTCTTCACAAATAAAATGTTTAAATACATATTCTTTAATGTTTATATGTAAATATATAATTTGTAACCTCTTTTTTTTTTTAGATTTTAAGTTTACGAATTAGAATTTATATTTAATATGTATGTTAAATATGTATATAATATCTAATTATGTATTTAATGAAAAAAAAATATATAGAAAATGTTATTTCTGTTATGTCCGTGAAAGTTTTCTTGGGCATAATTCTGGAACATCCATTTCTGGGGCGATGCATCCATTTTTGTGGCGATATTCAACGTGTCGACAGGGATAATCAGTACTGGAATTATGTTGATTCCGGTGAATCTAAAGGTCTTGGGCATAATTCCTGGGTTCATTGCGATCCTGATTGTTGCTTTCTTGGTGGAAGTCATGGTGGAGTTCCTATGTAGGAACACGCTTTCCAGTGAGTCGAATACCTACTGTCGCCTCATGGCCGAGTCATTTGGAAAGTTTGGATCAGTTGCTCTGCAACTTTGTGTCATCATATCCAATCTTGGTGCTCCGGTCATTTATTTGATCATAATTAGTTAGTGGGTATATACTTACCGAACAACCACCATACCTTTTTACCAACTACTTAGGGTTGGCTACATGAATCTCATATTTCAATTTCGCTCTATTTAAGTCTATAGTCTCAATCAATTCACATCCTATCATATCCTTTCTTACTTACTCTACCCACGTTAACTTTGGTCTTCCTTTTCTCCTAATATTACCCTCAATGTGGACTGTATTGGCGTACTTAAAGGTCGTCTTTGCACGTGTGGACATTCACTTACTGAACTTGGGTTTTAATTGTTTCTCCAAACTCAGGAATCTACTTCCTCGGATTTGTGTTATAAGCTCACAGAAAAGGATTGATGCCCCAGGATTTGAACACTGGGTTAACACCAATGTCCTTATGCCAACTTAGCTACGCGATATCGATTGCTTCTCTTTGTGAATGGAGACAAGCTATTATCAATTGTTGTCCTCGTTATTGTCTATACTGTGGTTTATATGAGTTTGTTAGCTATGTCTCAGACTATTCCTCAGTGGGGGTGTCATACTACCTAACTATTGGTAATAGTATGTGCTATGGCTTATAGATAAGACTCGATGTATGTAAGTATTCTTCATTGGGTACTCATTTTGCCCGGTATTGATGATTTCTCCAGTTGCTTTCTTACATACTACCTTTTCTTTAATCTTACAAAAACTGATAAGACATTCAGATTAAAATTCCCGTGTGTAGACTAAGGGTACTAAAAGTACTTTTGTCTGTCCGAAGAGTTTTAGTTGAATGGTTCACAACATGCTACTTTAGCTGAATAATTTTTATTTTCTTAAAACAAGATAATGTTGTTTGATGAAAGATTACATGACTTGACATGCTGTGAGCCAATGTAGTAAGTAATACTAGAGAGGATCTAATTTCTGTATGGCAGTCTACTGTCATTGTCTGTTTGTACATATTGTTAAAATCTAGAAATTTGTTTTTTCAGACTTGAGAGAAGCATAAGAGCCATGAGGATCTACGGTAAACACATCTTTCCGCGTCAGATCATTCTTTTCGCTTCCGGGTATGCATCTTTATATCTGCCACCACTTTTTCAAATATACATATATATACACACACATGTTGGTTGATTGTGCGTGTATATAATAGGCTTCTCTTCCTGGCTTCAACGACATACGATGTTCACAGATCCATCAAGAACAACCAAACACCCCCTTCAAAAGAACAGGTCCAAGCCCTTGAAGATTACATCAGATCCGTGCGCAAATCTCCTTAAGGAGTTACTCTTGTATTATTCTCACCCCCATTACTCTTTGTATCATACTCACGTGTATTGTCAAGTTTGTAAACTCAAAACTGTAACACTTATTGTACTTGCATGTTTTCTATTGAACCAAATTGCCAATGAATTCATGATCCCCTTAATTTATATTGTATTTCTACATTTGGGCACAGACTTACAAGAATTCATCCTTAATATGCTAGGTGCAAAAATATTTAATCGATTTTTTTTAAAAAGTTATTTACACTTGGATTGACGGGAATTTATCATTATGTGAGTAAATGTGGTCTTGGCAAGTGGTTTAGAGCATCCGGGTGGGAACCAAAGTAGATTACATCAGCATGAGAGAGAGAGAGAGAGAGAGAGAGAGAGAGAGAGGGGTTTGAAAAGTGGAGAACTAAATAAGTGGCCCAACTTGCTGTCCTGGAGAATTAGATAGATAAATTCGTTTGATATTATATTTTAATATTTTTTAGGGGGAGGGTGGGTGAAAAGTGGAGAACTAAAAAAGTGGCCTACTTGCTGTAATCTATTAAATTGTTCCGGAGAATTAGATAGATAAATCTGTTTGATATTATATTTTAATATTTTTTGAAGTGCCTTTTGGTCACCTTTCCTCTCATCATTTATTTATTTATTTATTATTATTATTATTATTATTATTATTTTGTCTCTTTCCACAACATCAACTATGCCCATTTGCATGTACATCTCTCAATCAACTCTCTGATTTTTCAAATTTTTTGTGCCATTTGTTTTCATTCAACAGCTATTTTATCATTCAACAACTCTTCTTCACTCGACGGCTCTTTTATTTAAAAAAGAAAAAACAGTATAAACACTAATTCAACTCTACTAATAATTCTTATCTTCAACAATAATCTCTCTCAATATTTCTTTTTAACATTTATCTCCATGGATTCTCCACCTTCATTCTTTTGCTCCATCTTAACCACTTTCATAACTCTGAATTACCACCGCAATCTAATTATAATATGAATTTTTAAAATTTTTATCAATCCGAAAATCCATCTCAACCTAAATACTCTTATTTTCTATATCCACCATATCCCCAATTCCAACCTCATTCCCAATTCTAACCTTCTCAATTTCAACCATCTCAATTCCTACCTTCTCAAACCCATCATAATTCAAGGCGTTTGAAACATAACTGGTCCATGGAAGAAGATGAAGCATTATCCAAAGTATGGAAATAATTAATTAATTAAAAAATAATAAAATAAAATTTAAACTTTTTATTTAATTTTAAAATTAAATTAATAAAATAATAAATAGATAATAAGATAATTGATTTCCACACTATGGAACATATTAGATAGTAAAAAGTAGAGTACTGCATCAATACCTTTTATTAAAGTAAGCTGATGTGGCACTTTACTTTTTTAAAAATAGATAGATAAGAGCATGTGTTGTGGGGCTAAAGCTTAATCTATCTACTTTTTAAAAGTAGATTGCTACATAAGTTAAAAGGTGATGATGTGGTATTTTATTTTTTGTTATCTAATATATTCTATGATGTGGAACTCAATTATCTCATTATCTATTTATTATTTTATTGTTATTTTATTAATTTAATTTTAATTTTATAATTTTTTGCATAATGTTTCATCTTTTTCAATGGACCAATTTTCTTCCGTACGCCTAGAATTATGTTGGGATTCAAATGGTTGGAACTGAGATAGTTGGGATTCTGATGGTTGGAACTGAGATAGTTGGAATTGAGACGGTTGGGAAATGAGGTTGGAATTGGGGATGTGGTAGGTATGGGAAATAAGAGTAGTGGAGTTCAGATGGATTTTCGGATTGAAAAAAATTTTAAGAATCCAAATTATAATTGGATTGCGGTGGTAATTCGAAGTTATGAGATTGGTTAAGATGGGGGCAAAAGAATGGAGGTGGGGGATCCATGAAGATGAATGTTAAAAAAAATATTGAAAAAGAATTATTGAAGATGAAAATTAGTATTTATAGAGTGTATTTTTTAAAAAAAATAAAATAGCCGTTTAATAAACAAAAGGGCCGTTTTAAAAGTGCCATTTCAAAACATATCAAGATGTCAAAATGAAGAGACATGAGCAACCAATAAAATATTAAACAAAATGATAGATCATATCCAAACACTTCTATGTTTGTAGAGGAGAGCATAGAGAAGACTCTGTGGGGCCATAAATTAAAATGATACTTTACTTTATGCACATACCACCCCTCTCTTTCTCTACTTTTCAGACTTTTTCTTTATTAATTGCCCCACACCAAATGCTTTAATATTTGTCAATCACACCGAATGCTTATTACTTATTCTCATTAACCCAAATTATGGGAAAAAAAGGCTAACCAAAGATGTGTTGGGCTCGACATTGAGTCTCATTATAAAAATTGATATTTCAATGAGTAATGTTTCCTCCTCTTATGCGAAGAGTTATTATTATTATTATTATTTAATTTAGATGTATTATATAATTAATTTGACTTTTCACACATCTCAAACAATAAAAAGAGTTCCGAACTCTTCTATTTTAACCATTGAATTAAATATTTTTTTATAATATATAAAAAAATCAAATCAAATATTTAATATAAACTCAACTGATGATTAAATATTTTTTTAAAATATATAAAAAGTCAAATCAAATATTTAATATAAACTCAACTGACAGAGACATCGAATCAACGTTTGTGAAGTTCAGCACACGCATTGTGGGCCCCACGACCATTGTGTGACTACCCTAAATTTTTTTTGGGATTCTTACCAATACATAGGCTTAAGGCCCAAATACTACAATATAATGATATCAAACTTTGGCTACAACTAGAAAATGGGAGGGACACACAAACTTTTTCTTAAATATGGAGGGACCACATAAATTATTTCTATAAAATGAACTTATATTCTACTTTAGACCACACAACAAATTATATTACTATAATGACCCAAAACACTATACTATTATAACATAAAATCCTTGGAACATGAAATAAACTTACGAAAAGATCCTTGAACAAACTATTTAATATTTTAAAAGTTTTTTTCAATAAATTAAAATTTCACAGTAAATTAATATGAACTTATAGATTTCTTTAGACAAAAGATCTTATATATAAATTAAATTAAACGAAACAGTATGGCTCTGATACCAAAATTAAATTCAAACCAATAAGATAGAAGCATGCAATAACATAGAGATAAATTTAACAATTAAATCACAGAGATGACTGCCGAACCTGATAACGCTCTGATCGATAATGCCCTGTAAAAATGCCTAAACACTGGCTAGAACGGGCCAACAAGCCAACAGTTCGAATCAATTCATAGAGGAAATTGCTAAATTAAAACTAAGGCTGTTTGTACTGGTTGGAGTTAAGAAAATTGTAAAATCTACACTGTCTGGCTGAATGAAATCTATATATTTGATCTTTTTGTCAACCAAAATCTTTTGCCCGAAAGTACGGAAAATACTAAATAGAGATAAGAAATTTTTGAATAAGAGTAAACTGAACGATTTATTTCATAGAAAATATATACATGGATATACACTGTTTATACATGGATACACTCTCACACAATATTTTACAAAGGGAAACGTACTGAAAGAAATCACAAAAGGAAACACACTAAGAAACTATGGCTGAAGGCTGGAATGCTCGATGGTTCTAAACTTGATTGCTCTAAACTCAATGATCTTCTCTTGAGCTGAAGGCCTCTTTTTATAAAGTAAACCGAGAGATGGATCAACGCTTAAGATTGAAGATGCGGCGTAAATGCCTGAGATGTAAGATGCTTTGGAGATAAGGTTCATTGAATTATTACGGGGCACCCTTATCTTTTAAACTGTTTTACACTTGACTTTTATCTTTGGAATCTGCTTTCGGTGGATCTTGGCTGCTTTTGGATACTGTTGAGAATCTGTTTTTTATCTTGAGGCTATTGGAGAGTCTGTATACTGATGGAGAATCTATTTTTTTTCTTCGGATGCTCTTTAGACTTCTGACATATTAGACAAATATTTGTCAGTATCGTTGTCTAGTGAGATGTCTGGAGAGATGTCTGGTGAGCTGGTCTCTTCATTTCTATAAGTTATTTCGTATTGCTCAATCAACACCTTTTCTAAAATCTTTGGAGATATCTTAATCTCTGGGGCAGATCGGATGACATATGGAATTCTGGCTTTGACAAAAAAATTCATATTTACATTGTGGTCGAAAAGTTTGAAACCAGAGTTATAGCTTGGGTTAAGTTGTCGATAAGTTTTAAAATACATTAAATGATCAAAGGTGGCTGGTGCGAAATCATTACGAAAGTTGTTTACAAAATCGATATGTCTTGTCAGGATCTGGACTTCTGTTGGATCAGAATGAATGTAGATTTGATGTTGTACGAGAATTATAGCTCCATTTTTTACCTATTTTGGAAGAGTGTGTTGGCCTAAGGATTTTTATCTAAAGGTTTTGATGATTACAAACCATTAATGATGTTTATGTACTAATATTTTCATTGAGTTATATATAGTTCATATCTTATATGATGAGCTAGATGAGCCATTTCAAGCATTCAAGTACTCAAGCTATGGACTCAATGAAGCCTCAAAGATTGCAAGAAATCAAAGAAAGACTCAAACTTCAAAGATCAATCAAACAATTTCAAGGAAGAAAGCAAGTCTTCATCAAGCTCAAAAGATCATGGTCAGGGAATGGAGAAAGGGGTAGATAGGATGGTGAGAGCTTTAGATTTAAATGTTAAAGCATATTTGAATATCTTCTGAAACTCAAGTTTTTAGGTTCATGCATATTTTCTCTAAAAATCAGTTTTTAGAAGGCCTAAAATCTTTCCATGAACTTTACTTATGCATGCTCTCATAATAGGAAGTGCACAGAACAAGATGTGTTTCATTCTTAGTCTTATACAAGGATTGGAGCCGCCTCCCAAATATAGGAGCCTGCTCTTTGCACTCCAGTAGCCAAATTGTGTGTCGTAGAATGCATTTTGTGAATTGGAGCCGCCTCCCAGTTATTGGAGCCGCCTCCCATTTATTGGAGCCTCCTCCAATTTTTTGTAGAGCCGGCTCTTCTAAGTTATTTGAATCTACAACGGCACTTTTCTGCATTTAAGTCTTCCAACTACTTCTAAC